ACTACAGACAGCCCTTCCCCTGAGCCCTGGTCTGACAGCCTGACAGCAAACCCCGGACAGCGCCCCTGACAGTGCCCGACAGCCCGACAGCGCTGACAGCACTTTCTCCGACAGTCTGACAGCACGTATCTGACAGTCTGACAGCAGAGTCTGACAGTCGAGGGGTCCCGTCGCTGTCAGGCCCTAACGTGACAGCCTGACAGCTGCCCGACAGCCCGACAGCACACAGTGGTCTGACAGCAGCGCTGACAGCCCGACAGCAGCACAGACCGTACACAGACCCCGTAGAGCCTCTTTCTTGTGCCCCATGAGGGTGTAACAAAATTACATGCAAAGACATGTGCATGTGAGTGTGGTCCATGTCCATGTCCATGTAGTCATGGGATGGTCATGGGTCTCTCTTTCAACCCTCCCGCCCCACCTCTGCGGACCCCTCTCTATCACCGGCGGCTGTGTGCTACTACAAATGAAGCTACCAGCTAGCCTTCTGGGGCCCTACAGCCATATGCCGGCGTCTGGGTGGGGGTGGCCACCGCCGTCTGTGCCGCCGCCGCCGCCTGCGCCTGCGCCGCCCTCTGCGCTCCTCAGGCGGCCGCCGCCGCCGGCGTGATCACGCCGTAGGAGGGGGGCAGCTGCGTAGCCGCCAGTAGAGTCCTGCTGGTCTCCTCTTGATAGTGTCATAAGTGTTGCTGGTGTGTGTCAGAGCCTGACAGCACCCCGACAGCACCACCTGACAGCACCTGACAGCAACAGCCCAACGTCTGACAGCAGCAGCAGCCTGACAGCTCCGACAGCTCCGACAGCGTCTGACAGCAACACCCGACAGCTCCGACAGCACCCGACAGCTACAGATCCCCTCGACTGTCAGACACGCACCCGACAGCACCCGACAGCACTGACAGCACCTGACAGCTGGTCTGACAGAGGCACCTGACAGTGCCTGACAGCTGCCCGACAGCCCGACAGATCACCTGACAGCACCTGACAGCCTGACAGCCAGGGCTCAGCCCTTCCCGACGGGGACGCCACCACCCTCGCCCAGGGATCCACAATGCTGTCTCAAGGTCCGACAGGTTCGGCACCGGGCACAAAATGCGCCTGCGGGCGGACCCTCACAGATCACAGATCACAAGGCTGTGAAGCAACATGCACATGCACCGGTAATGTGGGTTCATCATGTTCGTGCGTTCCGGCGGTAACCGAACGTGCAGGACCGGGATACATTGTAGTGGGTCATGCCGCTCCGGTCCGAGTGGCCGCCCGGCTCCGACCCGCCGTCCCCAGCGGGCACGAGCGAGATTCCATGGTGGAAGCAGCGTGTTCTCAGCCCGGGAGCTCCATCGATCGCCGTAGTTGAGAGGGAGGTTGAGGTGGCATCGCTGCGGGATGAGCTGAGGAGCGCACGCCGGCATCTTGAGGCGGCTGCCCGGCGAGAGGCAATGCTGAGGCAGGCGCTGCAGCAGGCGCATCAGGATGAACCTGCAAACCCCGGATTGGGAGGAAATGCTCCTTTACCCAGCCTCGAGAGTCGGTCGCGTCCCAGCTCGGAGCCTCGGTCCGTCCCACTATCCAAAGGCTTTGGCACGCTGGGGGAACCGGCACCGGCACCACCGCGACATCAAGCGCAGGGCGAAGCTATCGAGGCGATGTGGCTTGGGCTGAGGGACGAGGCAGTTCGCCCGTTGCTACCCTCCGTCGTCAAGGAGGCGATTCGCGCCGAGGTGGCGAGGCGGGTGCCACTGCGCCGCCGCCGGTCGTCGATAGGCGGCGCGACCGGCCAGGAGGGTCTCGTGCTCGAGCTCGCGCGTGCCGTCACCGCCGATGTCCTCGCCGAGGAGGGCCGTGCGGCCGTGCTGGCTGCGCTCCGGGCAGTCGCGCATGATTACACCGCGCAGATGCGAGCGGAGCGGGTGTTCGCCTCTCTGCTGACCGAGGTGATGCGCGAGGAGCTAGAGGGAGCGCGCTATCGCAGCAGCGCAGCCTCACCGAGAGATCGGGAGGCGACCGTGACCCTGCCTCGCTATGTCTGGACAAACGACACTCCGCCACTGTTGGCCGACGTGCTCAGGGGCGGGCCAGCCGGCCTCATCTACAAGTGGAGGTCCGAGACGCTCAGCCAGTGCACGCTCGAGTTGCTCCTCGAGCCACACATTGAGCTCGTCGCCCGTGCGGCGCTCCGGGAGGTGCGAGGTGCGCACGCGCGGCGGCGTGAGGCGGAGGAGCGTGAGCTTGTGACCGAACGCGCCGTGGCGACTGTGATCGAGCCTCTAATTCTCGAGAGGTTCACGCAGCTGGTGGCGACGAGAGCAGAGCCGCTGATCCTGCAGCGACACGCGGCGCAGTGGCTCGACGAGCTCTGTGCGGATGCGCTTTTCGAGCATGCGCTCGCGCAGGCGGGGAGGCACGCCGAGCTCGAGGCGAGCCCGGTACTCGCTCAGACGCACCGCGAGCTGGCGCAGGAGGCGATGCTCGACGAGATGATTGAGCAGGTGCTGAGCATCGTCCCATCCGGGCTGCACCCCGGCGCGGTCCCGTTGTCTCCGGAGGAGACGGACGAGGACGAGAATGGCGAGGGGTGACGGTGCCCTGACCAGAGTCACTACGTGCGTGCGTGGGAGCGAGCGGCGGATGCGGTCGGCCAAGTGTGTGAGTGTGTGACTTGTCGATGTGACTTGTGGCATATGACCTGTGCACGCCTCGACCCTCGTGCGCACCGCTGCGAAACATGGGTCGCTCGTTGCACCGTGCGCACCCTAAAAAAAAACGGTATATGACGATCATCCGGCCCGCTAGGTGCGCTTCTCAGCTCCCCGGCCCTGGATGTGAGGCTAATGACTGCACTCCAAGTGCTCCAAGTGACGCTGGGGTTGCCCCGTTGCCCGGCGCGCGGGGTGTGTGTGAATCTGGGTGTGTCGTGTGGCTGAGCGCTGAGGCTCGGGGGCCGGCGCACCGCGGGCGCTGTGACCCTGTGCACGCAGCCTGTGGGGTTTCCAGATGCAGATCTATTTTGGGGCTCACAAAGTGTCACAAAGCCGAAAAAGCGGGGCCGGCAGCGACCAGTCTCGCCACGCCGGGTCGAGATCCATGGTTCCAATCCACGGCTCGACACTCGACTGCAGCGTGGAGCTAACCTCTGTGCGCTCCCGACGGTCACTCTGGCGCTAATCGCTCGACGGCGGTTCAGGCTGCAAGCGCCACAAGGCAGGCCCGGGGCGCAAACTCGGCGGCGTCACGTCTCGCCCTCGCTGCGGCGGGCGGACGCCTGACGCGCCTCGGACGCGTGCCGCACGAGCTGCAGCTCTCGCATCAGGGGCGCGTCTCCCTCCAGCGGCGCTCCAGCCTCGCCAGCCGCCCTCGCACCTGCAGACGCCTCCGCCTCCGCCTCGCCCGGCGCGAGCGGCGGCGGCTTGGACAGCTTCTCCGTCGCCGCCGCAACCTCCGGGTGAGCCGCCGCGGCCGGCACGGGCTCCGTCGACTTCTTGTACCCGAGCCCGAAGATGCCTCCCTTCATGGCTGCCCAGAGGTGCTCCCCGGTCTTTGCCTGCAGGTGCGGCTGCTCGAGCAGCGCTTGCACCAGCTGGCGCGCCTCGCCGCGCACCTGGGGGCGCGTGGCGGGGGTGTGACGGACGCCTCCTCGGCACGCTGCGAGCCCCGCCCTTGCCGCGCGCCTCCTCATTGTCGAGCACGGCCATGCTCGAAGACTGCAGCACCTCGGACACCGCCTCGCGCACCTCTGGCCGCTCGAGCCACCGGACCGCGAACTCGCCCGCAGCCTCGAGGAAGGCCTGGGGAGGGCGGGGCGTGGGCGGGCGGTCACGGCCGCGGCGGGACGCGGGGCACGGGCCCCATCTCCCTCGCCTCCTCTCCGTCGCCGTGGGTTTGTTGCGGGGATGCTGCGGGTGTTGTGTGGTGGGTGTTTGGCGGTGCCTCGGATGTGAGGGCTGCGATGAGGGCGGTGATGACGACGTCGCGCGTGTCGTCGCGGCCGAGCACCCACAGGGTCAGCTGCAGCGCCTCCTTGAGCACCGCCTCGTCCTTGAGCGCCGACACGAGCAGCGAGAGGAGCGCGGCGCGCGTGGTCGGGTGCTCTGCGAGGGCGGCGACAAAGCCGACAGACCGCTGCTGCGTCACCTCGTCCTGCAGCAGCGCGCGCAGCGTCTGCAGCGTCAGGGCGGTCGCCTGCATCTGCATCTTCTCGTCGCCGAGCGTGCCCGACGCGGCCTGAGACAGCTCCTCGACCACGATCTCTCGGGCGCGCTGCCGGTTGGTAAACGCGATGCCGCCAAAGACGATGAGCGCGCCGCACAGCGCCGCGGCCACTGCGCGCGACCGCTCGTTGAGCGTCTGCTTGAAGAGTCGCTCCATCTCCTCGCGCTGCTGCTGCGAGACGGACGCGCTGATCGTGTCGCTCAGGACGTGAAGCCGCTCGGAGACGACGTGGCGTACATGATCCGCCGACGCGGCGGAGGCGCGCGGGCTTGAGAAGCCCCAGTGGCCGGCCGCCTCGCTGTCGGCGACGCCCGCTGCATGGCCACCGCTGCCACTGCTGCCGCCGCCACCGCTGCCGCTGCCACCGCTGCCGCTGCCACCGCCGCCACTGCCTCCGCCACCGCTGCCACCGCCGCTGCGAACATTCGGGCCGGCTGGCCCCTGGACCCCACGACCGCCCGGCACGCCCGGCCCAGATGTGCGTCCGCTCGACAGCAACCTCACACGGCACCTTGCTGACGCTGGGCGCAGCGCTATGCGCAGCATGTACACTGCTCTCTGTTGCCCGCCAAAAGAAAGCCAATTTCTCACCGCGCCCTCGGGGAGCCAATTCTTGACTGCGGGCGGCCTTATCTCGAGGTCTCGAGATACACAAAGCGGCCAACGCTCTCTGTCGGATGAAAAAGAAAAGACCGAGGTTTTGTCGGAACGCGTTCATAGCTAGCCTGGATTTCTTTGTATGTGCGAGGAGAAGAGAAAGAGAAAAAAGAAAACTGGCTACACCTCGCTAAATGGTTGCGCGCTTCCTCGCCTGCCTCACGGCATTGATCGCACCAGCGCTGGCGCTTCACCCGGCCCGCCTCGCGCCACGGCCTCTGCCGTGCCTCATGTGTGTGCCCGCCGGCTTTGAGGAGGCGTGGCCGCAGCTGCTCGAGATAGTCGACGAGGAGGCAGCCGATCTCGCGCTGGCAGTGGACGACGTCGCGTTCGCGCGCGGCAAGCTGAGCGTGCTCGCGAGCGGCGGCGTCGACGACCTCGTCGCGCTCAATCGCCGGCTGAGCGAACGGCTCGACGACTGGGAGGCGAACGCAGCGGTCGAGCTCCCGCCATACATGCTCGAGGTGGCGAGTCCCGGCGTGTCGGACGTGCTGCGGAGCGACGCCGACTATGCCGCCTTTAAGGGCTTTGGCGTTCAGGCCACGCTAACGGAGGAGTACAAGAAGCGGACCGTGCACGAGGGCACGCTGCTCGGCCGCGACGGCGAGCACGTGCTGCTCAACCTCAAGGGGAGGGTGCTCAAGCTGCCGCGCGAGCTGGTGGCCGAGGTGCGGCTGCCGAGCGCGAAGCGAGAGAAGGGTGACCCGTACTGAGCGTGCAGTAGTTAGGAGAGGACTCTGCTCTATCGCTGTCGCGCTATTCCCCTCTACTACTATGTGAAAATAGTGTCGTTTTTGTGTTGTCGATTGCCACGGCCCACCGGCGCTGCACAAATGTCTCATAACTGCATGTATTCAGACACCTCCTCCCCTTTCCGAGATCCGCCGAACGCGTCAACACACAGCCATGCCGAGATTGCGTGCGCTGCGGCCTCGCTCCCGCCCGCTCGCTGCTCGCTCTCGCGTCGACCCCTCCCGCGTGAGCCTAGACTGGACGCATCGCCGATCACCGCCGCCGGATCGTCCGCGCTGGAGAGCGGCCCGAGGATTGGGCCTGCCTGACAGCGTTGAAGAAGGCGAGCGACTCAGGATCCGCCTTGAGGATGCGCTCCTCCGCCATCGCCTCGTACTCCTCGTCCTGGTCGAGCGCCTCGTCGGGGCCAGAATCTGCGCTGACCGCAGGGGTGGCCGCTTCCCCACCCAGATCGGAACCGCCCCACGCCTCAAAGTCAGCCACAAGCTGCGCGCGGCAAGTCTCGACCACCTGCTCGGTTAGATCGACCTGCGCGCGTGCCTCGACCAGCCTGTCAAAAGCCTCGCGATATGCATGCTTGGTCGCCTTGAGGCGCGTGAGGCAGAGATACTCCTCCTCGTCGATCACGTCCACTGGCTCTCCGTCCGCCGACGTGGACCTCTCGGCGCCGCCACCGGAGCGGTGCTGCCGCTTCCGCTCGAGCAGGTCCTTGCACTCGCCGATCGTCCGCGTCGCCGCGTTGACGTCCTGGGACAGCTGCCGCACGACCACCCGCTTCTCGCGCAGCCCCTTCTTGCCCTCGGCAAGCGCAATGGCAAGCTCTCTGCCTGGACCCGCCTTGAAGGTGTCGTACGCTTGGTCGCGCGAGCTGCCGGCTGTCGCGCCTCGACTAGACGCGCCCTCGGCTCCTCGCGACGGTTCGGCTGCGGGCGACGACGACGGAGGATTCGTCGCTCTGGCGGCGACAACTGTGATGCCATCGCTTGGCCGCGCGTCCGCCGGCGCCTCCCCCACCGCAAAGCCTGTCGCGGAGTCATCGCCGACCAGCACGACCTCGGGCGCCGGTGTCTCGAAGGTGGCGCTGAGGATGACTGCGGGCTCGTCGGCCGGGCCTGCCTCGGCGGCTGCAGCACCGCACCTGGGGCACTCCCATTGGCTGCTCGCTGCGCTGCGCTGGTCCTCTCCTTCACGGATGAGCTGCTTGAAGATGGCGAAGGCTTCGTTGATTTGGCGGAGCGACCTCGGCTCTAGCCTCGCCTCCGGGCCGCCCGCCACGAACCCCTGGATTTGAGCTCGCAGCTCGTCTCGCTCCGCCGAAGAGAAAGCGCCCGAGTAGGCGACCGACGTCCGGCCAGCAAGCTGGTCGTGCATCGCAAGCTCGCGCTTTAGGTCCGCCAGCTCGCCGCGGCACCGGCGCAGCTCCTCCTCGGGCGACCGCACAATGTCGGTGTTGACGGTGGCCGTCGTGGACACGCCGGCCATCCGCTGCGCAAAGCGGCAAGTGCTGAAGGTCTCCTCGACGTGGACGTCGTCCGTGCGGATGTTTGCTATAAGCACCGTCCTGCAGTTGCCGCCGAGCGAGTCGCGCAGCACAGCGGTCAGCCGCGAGGAGCGATGAGGGACGTGTCCGCTCGGCCTCTTGCTGCCGAGCGCAATCACGACTTGCTCAAGGAAGGAGAGGGACTTGTTGATGCACATGGACTCACGCGCGAGCCGCTGCTGCCGCGTCGGAGCCACCCCAGTCAGGTTCAGGGACGAGGGTGGCTGAAAGCCCTCGTCACCGTGGTCGCCGGACTTCTTTAGGCGCTCGGAGCCTGCGAGGTCGGCCAGCGTGAGTCGCGACTTGAGGACGGCTCCGGACGAGTCGACGCGTGAGCGCCGCTCGACCAGCAGCATGTACAGCACGTGCGACCGGCTCGAGCGAGCGTTCAGCTTATGCTGCTCCACCGCCCGGTTCGCCTCCGCCTCAAAAACGAGCTTATGCGCCTCCTGCTCTGAGCTGACCTTCGGCGAGGTCAGGCCGACCACCTCCGAGGAGGAGGACAGGGAGAGCTCGCTGCGCTGGGCGCCGGGCAGGGTCGACAAGAGGTCGTACATTGAATCGTTGTAAATCTCGAGGCACTGAAGTCGTAGGGTGTACTCGTACTCGGGACGGTCGGCAACCCCGCGAAAGATGGAGGCGAGGGCCCGAGGCAAGATGCCGCGCGTGTGGTAGTCCTGGCCATTCCCAACCATGGTGAAGGACTTTCCGGCGCCCGTCTGGCCGTAGCAAAGGACGGTGGCGTTCACCCCCTGCATGACAGTCTCACACAGAGGCCGGCCGACTTCCTCAAACGTGCGCTCCTGTGAGGCTCCGTCGAGGACTGTGTCGTAGCTAAAGGAGGTTGAGCGCTGTGCACTGATCACGCGGACCGTCCTCCCATCCGCACCAAGCTCGACGGAAGAGCCGCCTCCACTCACCGGCCGGTCCCGGATCACCACTCTCACGGGATGGCGGGACATGAAGGCGCCTCTTGTTGTAACGGCTGGTCCAGCGAGTTCGAGAGGGAGATATCCGGACGCGCGTCACAGGCCCGCTGAGGCGCAGTGCTCTTGCAGAGGCGGTTAGTGGTGCACTAACCCCGAGAAACCCTTCGGGTCACTCCTCATCGCAAACCCTGTCAGCAGTCCTCCTCCGGGAATGTACGTAAGAGCCACATCCATCCTCGATCGCCGTGCAAAGCTCGCTTCCGAGCTCTCACGCCGCGCGTAGGGCCCTTAGGGGCCTAGAGAACACAACCCCCTCTCCCTTTTCTCCCAGTAAGCTAAAAGCTATTGAAAATTATGAAACCGTCGCGCTCAGATAGTTTACGTGACGAGCACGCGCGCGGCAAACTGAGGGTGCTCGTTGTACTCGTCGGACTCTGGCGAGACGCACACCTTGGCGCGCGGCTGCTGAGGAAGCACGTGCTGACCCCGAACGCCGCATCCAACGTGAGCATCGCTTTGATCACGAATACCGACGAGCTCTGCTCGATCAAGGATGGCGTTCGCAAGAGGATAAGTCACAGTTTGCTCGGTGTCACCAGCCGGTTGCTTATCTAGGACGGATACAAGCGACGGGATCGCTGTGAGTGCACACAGCCGATCGAGCGATCGCGGGCGCTGAAACATTCGATACGCAGCCAGAGCCTCTTCTCCGAGGTCTACCAGCGACCGGCCGCGTTTGTCGTGCTGAATGGAGGTCGCCTTTGCGAAGCGTGGAGAGGGCAGCTCGGGCGACAACGGGACCAGGCGGGGCTCTCTTAACGGGAAATTCCGAGCCCCACCCCGACCCCAACCCGCGCCTACCCCCCCCCTCGCCCAAACAGTACGATGCGTTCATGGTGATGCGGCCCGATGCGTTCCTCACGCAGCCACTGAAGGTGCCGGAGGCGTGCGCCGCATTCCCAGGGCTGTCGCTCATCCCTGGCGATCGCCCGTTCAGCAACTTCCTCTACAACGCCGACATCGACCTTGCGCTTCTTGCATGCGGCGCTGACGCCCTGGCAGCCTACCTCTCCACTTGTGACAATCTGCGGACGCTAGCTTGGCCGCCTTCGCCTTCGCCACCACAGCGCAATTTCGTCGCACCACGCTGTAATTACTCCGTGCCTCCACTTCTGCCTCCCGATTTCAACGGAAGATGGATGCTGAAGGATGCGATTCCCCATAGCAATGTCCTTGAAGGGCAAGTCGACAGAAGCGGGCGCGCTGGAGAGGAGTCGGGATCACCTATATTAAAGCTACTTAGCCCAAGGCGACACTATGATCCTAGGAGAACGGCCTGCCGGCGCGTGGCGATGTTTGATCAGCTGGGCTTGCGCTTTGGCACCCTGGACGCGCTTGGCGTCAAGTCGCGCCTCGTCGTGGCGAGCGACGTACCGCGCGCAGGTCGACAAGCACACTCGCGGCGCAGCTGACCCCCACCACCCACCTCGCCCTCAGTGGGACTACGAGTACGATCGATGCGACGGCGAGTTGAATCAGACTTTGCTGGAGGAGCAGTTTGAGTGGCGGCCGCCTGGAGAGGACTCAAATGGCCTCTTCTTCAATAAGCCGTGGCGGTACCACTCGATGCAGGATCCTTACCAGGCACACCACCAAGATCTCCTCTCACTCGACGAAAGCTCAACGCTCCCGCACCCTTCCCTACAGGTGGGTGGGATCTCGCTGCCACTCCTGCGCAGTGGGAGATGGCAAGCACAAACATGGCCTGATGCGACCGACCCTGCCGTAGAAGATCAGGACACGCGGCTGTTTCGCCGCCGATGGCGCCTCCAGCATCTCAAACGCGCGGCTAGGCAGACGGTCAAGGAGAGATCCGGCAACCGCACCCGACGGTGGCTGCCACGTCGGACAGAGGACAAAAGGCAGCAGGGGCCGGCCGAGCACATGCGCGGGCTCGCAGCCTTCTTTGAGCGCGTAGCCAATGCGCCAAAGAGGCCTTCGCGGACGCGGTCCAGCTACCAGCAACTAGACGTCTAGGAACTCAAACTCTAACCTACTGAGCGAAGAGATGGTAACCACGCGCAGCAGAGTGCGGAGTGCGTTTGTGGTACGCGCGCGGAGGTCGGGGTCGATCTATCTCGCAGCTGGGTGTCAGGTGTCACCCTCACCCCGCGCGCTTGCTCGCCTCTCTCTCGCGGGTCGCGGCTCTCTCTCTCAGCTCTCAGACACAGTAACCTATGGCCGGCCGCTTATTTCTCTCGCTATCGGACGTAAAACACCCCTGTTCTCACAACTCGTCACGGTACGGGGTGTCGGCAAGCGCGCGCATAAAGGCGGAGCTCGAGGGCAGCTCCTTGGCGAGGCGGCGGTTGGGTTCCTGCGCCGCCTTGCCCGCGACGACCGTCTCTGTCGAGAACACGCGCAGCGCCTCGGAGACGCTCATCGTGCCGAGCGCGGACGAGCGGCGGCCCGAGAAGGGCAGCTCGTCCGGCGAGCGTCCGCACTGCGTGTTGAGGTTGATGCGGCCGACCGAGGTGGAGAGCGCGTCGATGAGCGGCGCCGCCGCGTCGGTCGACTGGGTAAAGAGCGCGGCCTGCTGCCCGAAAGGCGAGCTGCGCACGTACTCCACCACCTCGGCCTCGTCGCGGTACACGCCGACCGGGATGACAGGCCCGAACTGCTCCTCGTGCCACAGCCGCATCTCGCGGCTCACCGGGAAAACGACGGCAGGCGTCATCAGCGCGCCAGCGAGCGTGCCGCCGCCCTCGTTGACGACGCGCGCGCCCTTGGCGACCGCGTCGCCGACCAACTCGGCGAGGTAGGCGGGCTTCTTCGGCTCGGGGAGCGGAGTGATGAGCACGCCCTCCTCCCACGGGAGGCCGCGCGGCAGCGCGGCGACCGCAGACGCGAGGCGGCGCACGAACTCGTCGGCGATCGAGTGGTGGACGAGGATGAGCTTGATCGCGGTGCAGCGCTGCCCGTTGTACGAGGTGGACCCGACCACGCACTGGCCGACGGCGACGTCGAGGTCCGCGTCCGGCGCGACGACGCCGAGGTTCTTTGCGTCGAGCTGGAGGAAGGCCTTGAGCCGGTGCGGCGCAGGGTGCTCCTTGAGGATCGCGTCGCCCGCCTTGGAGCCGCCGATGAAGCCGAGCACCTAGGTTCGGGCTGGGGTAGGGTGCAGCACCCGCGGCGGGGCAGCGGGGAGGGAGGCGCGGGGAGGGAGCGGCGGGGAGGGCGGCAGGGAGGGCGGCAAGGCGGCAGGAAGAGCGCTCACGTCGACGAGGCCGGTGCGCATCACTGGCGGAACAGTTGCGCGACCGGAGCCGGAGATGAAGGAGAGCGTGCCCTTGGGCAGCGCCTCTGCCCACACCTCGAAGGTGAGCACGTGCGCGAGGCCGCCCACATTCGGGATCTTCATCAGCACGACGTTGCCCATCAGCAGCGCTGGGATGAGAGCCGCATACGTCTCATTGAATGGGTAGTTATAGGGACCGAGGAGCATCATCACGCCCACTGCGGCGCGCCGCACGAAGGCCATCACGCCCGACACGACCCGCCACCCAGCACTTTCCTCGTCCAGCCGACGCAGCGTCTCGATCGTTTTGCCAATGAAGGCCACCGTCCGATCAAACTCAGCCGCCGCGTCGGCGCTGTTCTTTGCAATCTCCCACATGAGCACGTTGACAATCTCGTCGCGTCGCTCCTTCAAAGCCGCCACCGCCCCCTCCACGCGCTCGATACGCTCTGCCAGCGACATCTGCGGCCAGGCGCCTTGCCCGCGGTCCCACGCCGCCGCGCTCGCCTCTACCGCACGCACGGCGTCCACCTCGCCCATCGTCGCGAGCTGGCCAATGACGAGGCGCTTTCCGGTCCTCGCGTCAAACACGGGCGATGTCACCTCCTCGCTGGGCCCGCTCCACGCCTCCACCGCGCCGCCAATACAAGTTTTACGGCCATCCACGAAGGGTCGACTGTCCCACATTGAATCCGAGGCGTCGACAGATGCCGGTGGAGCGGTCGGCAGTGCAAACGGCGCGCTCGCGCTCATCAACGGCGGTGCCAGGAGGAGGACGAACATTGCTGTGCGAGGCAGCGAGCGCGGCGGTGCGGCGCGAGCTCCAAAGCACTCTATGAATTTAGACCCAGTCCGCGGATGTCTGGTGTTCCTCATCCTCGAGTAGCTCCGAGTAGAGGGGGCGGTCTGCTGCTAGGGGAAACCCGGAGCGCGGAGCCAACCCTCGGAGACCCTGTTTACTTTACGGCCCTTTCCCTGCGAACGCGCACCCCCGCCCGGGGCTAGGGCTCTCTATAGCCCGTAACCCGATGCCAATCATCCGGCCCGCTGGGTGCGCTTCTGAGCTCCCTGGCCCTGGATGTGCGGTTGATGACTGCACTCCAAGTGCTCCAAGTGCGCCAAAACGCCCTTGAGCACTTGAGCACTGGATAGGGTCGATTCCGCATGGTACGGGACCCCTACCTACCTACCTACTATTGCGGGCGCCAACCGCCAGGCTCCGTGCCCCTACCTATTCCCAGGCCGCGCAGCGAAGCGAAAAATACCCGTTGAGCCCTCTGTGTATGAATAGGCTCCCAGCGCCCGCCGTGTTAGACCTAAAGGTCGGCGCTTCGACCAACTAGGCTACCCTTTGCGCAAAAGGTGGCCTAGTTGGTCGAAGCGCCGACCTTTAGGTCTAACGCCGCACCCGTCTCGGCTGGCGTCCCAACCGCAGGCGACTCGTCTGGCATGGCCCCGTTCGCGGCTAAACGCGCCGAAGCGGTTTTCCCACTCCTCTCTTCGGACCCCCCCCCCCCACCCACCCACGCACCCCACCAACAGCAACACCACCACCACGCCTACCTACCTATTGCGGGGCCCTCTGGGGCGGTCAAAACCGGACCTCCTACCTATGCACAGGGTCTAACGGGTGGGAACAGACCCCCTTGCCTATCTGGGTAGGAGCCGGATCCCAGGTCACCACTGATGAAATAATTGACGTAACTATGAGGTATGACGTTGACGACGCGGGCACGGACCTCCAAGAAGAAATCACTGGCAGTGATCTCGGACCACCTCAACACGTAAAATTCTCTCTCGTCCGTGCCCGGTGTTGTGCGAGGGATCCGTGCCCGGTGTTCGTTGTGCGAGGGACCGAGCGAAGAATTCTTCGCTTCTCTCACCAGCTCTCACTCACGCGAAACATAACCGCGGGCCAAGACCCACCACCATGCCCACCACACGCACCAGAGCACAGACAGTGCAACACAGTGCAACACAAAAGGCCCCAAATGATGTGTGAGTGTTACCTTTAGAGTTGTTTGGTATTGAAACTCTCTCTCTTCAGACCCCCAGGGCTAGGGCTCTAGAAACTAGAACGAACAAGAACCACCCGAGGTCGCCACTCAACGACTCAACCTCCCGGAGGTCATATGGCAGAGAGCGCCGGGCGCCATGCGCCCGCTCGCCAGGGCCCGGCCCGGGAAGTGGCAGTCGCCCTTCATGCGACCTGCGTCAAAGGCTGCAGGGCGACGGTTCACGGGCCCAAGGCGGTGGTTCACGCCTCGGGTCCGGCGGCAGTTCACGCCCTGCACAAGGTAAACTCCCAGTTCCGCAGGCGCAGCGAGGACTCGGCCGTGAAATTCTTTCTTTCTTGCAGCATTTTTTCTTTTATTTTTGGGTAGTTTTCCGCCTTGTTGTGTTCCTTTTCAGTGTACCCTTTTAAAGAGAGTTTTGAAGACCAACAAGAAATAGCTTACTTGGAGAAAAGGGAGAGGGGGTTGTGTTCTCTAGGCCCTCTCTCTCAGTGTACAGTGACAGTGTACGGTGGACTGCTGACAGGTTTTGGTCTCCGACCCCAGCTGGTCTAAAGTACGTACGTAGGGGTCCCGCGTCGGGCCGAAGCCCGCCAGACACTCTCATCACACACACTCCTCTCCTAGAGTCCCGTGTGGCGTCGTCCTAGAGTCCAGAGGTCCCGTCCGTCCCGTCTCGTGACCGTCGCTCCGTAACCACCAAGACTCGACCTACAATCCCAGAGTCGGCCGCCGGGGCGGGCGTTTGCCCGCCCAGGCAGGACGATCCGGCCGAACGTGGCAGCGTCGTCTGTTCGCGAACAGCCTTTGGGAAGCCCCAACGCGCTATCCTACATCTCCGCTCAATGCTTGCAAAATCTTCATCCCCGCCTTTCTCTCGGCTCTCGCACACCGCTTGCGATTCACTCTTTCCCCTGTGCAACAAACGCGGTCCAGTTGGCTCCTGCCACCGACCTCCAGCGCCCGAGCACGCGCCGAGGAGCTTCTGCAAACCAACCGCGCCGCGCCGCTCCCGTATAGCATGCGGAATCGACCCTATCCAAGTGCAACAGCAAACACAGTACGTACTTGGAGTGCAGTCAGTGTACGTTACGCTGATTTCGTGCGATCTCCCTCAAAGGCGTTCCAGCGAATCCTTGCGAAGTGTCCGACTTTGCTGTACCCCTCTGTAACTATCAATAAAAGGAAACAGCACGTTGTGCAACTCTCGCCTTTTGCACCCACGTGCCGCGGCGCAACACGAATACGAGCGCCGTTGGTTCCGTCCGCGCCCGTCCAGCTCCCATGCTTGCGTGCGGCGGGTATTCCAGTCCGCCACCGCCGCCGAGAACCACGCCCAAGCGTGCGTCAGCCTCACCGACGCGCGGCTCGCCCACAATCGCGGTCACTTGTCGGCAAGGACTCTCTGCCCAGCAGCTCGGAGCAATGCTTACGATGCAAGGCGTCGTGCGCGACGGCCGCGACGCATCCCTCTCCAAGATGCGTCTCGCCCGCACCGACTCTGCCTCCTCCATAAGCTCCTCCTCCATCAGCTCCTCCTCCCTTGGCGACTCGCCGCTCTCCACGTCGCTGACGAGAACTCGCAGCCGTGAGGAGACCACCCTGGTGCCCGCCAAGCGGGTCGCGCGCCCCGTCCCCACGAGCGTCAAGTCGGACGCCTCGTTCCTCTCGCAGCTTACCCCCATGGTCCCTCCACCCCCGCAAATCACCAGCATGAGCTCTCTCCACCAAGTCGTGGCGCGGGCTCAGGAGCAAGGCCGAAAGTACCAGCTGGCCTCTCCCGGCCTCGCCTCCCTCCGGCTCGTGCAACTTCAGCGCGAGGTTGCCTCCGCCGCCAAGTCCGCCTTCGTGCCGCCGCCGCCCGCTCCTGCCCCAGAGCCGCCACCGCTGTGGGACGCGGAGGCTGAGGAGTTGCTCGCCACGCTGGACAAGGAGAGCGCACTTGGTTTCATCGAAGGACATGCAGACGAGGCGACAGATTTGGAACTCGAGGCGTGGCTATGCCAGAACAGCTCGATCTAGGCGTCAGATCTGAGGCCAATTTTGATGCCATGAACCTTCTGCAGTGCTTGAAGCACATGCACGCATATCAGACACGTCGCATTTGCTCTTGTACGCATGCATGCTCTTGTCGCTCCGGCTAGAGGCACGCATGTACCCTCGACGCAAGCAAGCCGCCTGGGTTAGAGCCACGCGGCGAGCAACGAAGCGAGCAAGCCGCCTGGATTAGAGCCACGCGGCGAGCAGCGGGGGAAATAGCAGAGCAATAAAGCCGTACAGGGAATGGGGGCGTGCGTGGTGGGGAGCGGGGTGGAGCGAGAGCGCACGAGCGTGTGCGTGTGCGTGAGCATGGCGTGAGCTAGCAGCTACCATGCAGCTCCTTGCCCTCTTTTTTCTTTTTGTAGCGCCCATGTTTGAGTATTGAGACGTTTTTGTATTGGCCGTCGCGTTTTGATCTCTCGCCTAAAAGATCGCAAGGGCGGGGGCCTGTTCCTTTTTACCCATCTCACAGTAGAGAGGTGTCCGTTTTTATTTATTTATTTATTTCTCGCCTCTCGGTCTCTGTGATGGGGGGCCGAGGGCCCGAGGCGCCTCGGGGTGGCGGGCGGGCGGGCGTGTTGAAAAACAGAAAACAGAAAACAAGGGGGGGGGCGGGGGTCCTGGTGGAGTAGACGAAAATACGCCCAATGGGGGCCAGAGGGGGCCACAAGGAGGAGGCGCGGGGAAGCAGCATTCAGGTGTGAGAGCAGGAAGCTGGAAGGATGGCGCTTAGGGTCGGCTCTTTGCATCTAGAAAACCCCGGCTCTATGAAATCATGGAGAAAAGCATGCTGCCCAACCCGCTTGCTTGCTCGTCACCGGCGAACTGGTCGCGGCGGTGGTGCCGCCCGGGGTGATGGCGGGCGGAAGGCATCCCAAGGCTTGCATACGCATCGCGCGACCGCCTGGCATGTTTTGCCCGTGTATCCACGACGGCGGTGCCATTATGAGGGCGAACGCCGGACACGACAGGAGACGTTGCAAAGCGCGCGCCCCGCTTCGCGCCAAGATGTACAGAATGTACAGAAGGCCTTTAGCAAGCTTAGCAAAATGTACAGAAGGCCTTTAGCAGATGTACAGAAGGCCTTTAGCAGATGTGCAGAAGGCCTTTAGCAGGCTTTTTCAGCAGAATGTGCACAGGTACCCATGGCCTCTCCGAACTGTCCGGCCGCTGCACAGACAATGTGTGTGGATGTCACTGCTCCAAGAGGGGCTTGCTCCTGCCTGTGCCCTGTCTCGTCTGGGCATGCCTTGAGGGCCGTACAACCAGCCAGTGAGAGCTGATGCAGCTTTCTTTTCCTTCAACCTTCTGCACATCCTTCTGTACATTCCTTCTGCACACCTTCTGTACACCTTCTGTACACCTTCTGTACGTCTTCTGTACACCTCTGCACATTCTGTACATGTCTGGACGCTCCACAAACCCTATTGTCAGCGAGGACCTTTTTTAGCACCCAGCGCAAACACCGTCTCCCATCGTGGTAACAAATTGTATTCAATTACTAACAGCTTTTCTTCTCGATCGATTTTTTTATTCGCACTCACCACAGCAGACAACACAAACACTCTCCACAGCAGTCAGCACACACCCCCAGCAGCGCACGTTAGAATTTGGTTCAGTGTGTGTCAACATCTGAGACGGCCGAGTCGGCTGGCTGTCTCGGTGAGGAGCCTTTTCCCATAAGCAGATGTTCCCCATGTTCCCCCAATTAACCTCGGTATTCCCCACGCCTTTGCTGACAACCACGAGGTCCAACCCTCGCCTTTCCCGTTCCGCTCGCACTGGCACCGCCGCATCGACGCACATATGGCCGCGGGGAGCTGCACGCCCGAGCGGCCCGACGCCTCTTGCTCACGCGACCCGCCGCTCCCTCTCCGCTCCCACCATCTCGTAGTCAAGCCACCCCTCGCGGCCGCCGGCCGCCGCGCCGGTGCTGCCCGCGGTGCGTCGCTGGCGCGTGGGCGGCCGGCAAGCGGGCGGGGGCTGTGTTGACGAGGGCATCGAAGTCGAGCTGGACAGCGATGGCGCTCGAGGAGACAAAATCGAGCCGCAGGAACTCGGGCAGCTTGGTGGCGCCATCGCTCGGCTTTGCGCCCTTCGCACCCTCCGCGGCGCGCGCCTCGCTCTGCTTGCGCTTGCGCTCCCGCTCCTGCTCGCGCCGGCTCTTGCCCGCTCCCTCTCCGGGAGCGTCGGTCGGAGTGGCCTGCGCCTGACCCCCGCCGGCCTGCGCGCGCGGCTCCTTCTGCGGTCTCGGCTCGGACCTCTGCAGCTCCTTTGGCTCACGGCCTTGCTGCGCCTGTCGCGGCGCAAGCGCCTTCTGCTGCGCCTTCCCCTTTTGCTGCCGGCCGTCGCCCTTGCCGTCGCCCTTGCCGTCGCCCTTGCCGTCGCCCTTGCCGCGAACGCCCTGCTGCTGCCCCGGCTGAGAGCCGTGCGCGAGCGACCTGTGCGTCCGCTCGCCCGCCTGCCGCGCGTCCTTGTCCCCGCCGCGGCGCCGCTTCTTCGCGAGCTCGAGCTCCATCGCCTGCGGCATGTGCCGTGGACGTGTCGTGGACGTGTCACGGGACGGCTCCTCGCGAGTCGGCCTACGCCGCCTGCACGGCGCCGGCGCTCTCCATCTCGATCTGGACCATCCGCAAGCTCGACGGCGGCGCCGCGGACGAGGCGGCCAAGCCCCACGCGGGCGGAGGGGCAACCTTCGGCCGGCCTGCGGCGCCGCCCGGCACGCCGCCCTCCCCGGCAGGCGAAGGGAGGGCCGCCGGGTCCGAGTCGTCGAGCAAGTCGTCCACCCACGCGAGCATCGGCGAGGGCGGCGCCTCCTCCTCCGCCGACCGCCTCTCCCTCCTCCGCGATGGCGGCGGCGGCAGCCCCTCCGGCAGCGGAGGCTCGCTCGCGCCTCCGCCGCGGCCGCCCCTCTTGCCTCGCTCGCGCGCGCCGCCCTGCGGCTGTGATGGCGGCGCCTTTGGTGCGCCGGGGCGCTGTCGCGCGGAGAGGACGGCCGCGCGCCTCGCCTCGAGCCGCTTCAGGAGCAGCTTGCTCTTCGCCTCCTTGAGCCCTCCCAGCGAGCGGGCGAAGGCCGCCTCCATCTCGACCTCGACCAGCTGCTCCACCGACTCGACTCCCTTCTTCGCGCACCAGCGCAGCGCCGGCGCCAGCTTGTCCTGCAGCTTGCAGCTCTGCAGCAGCTCGGCCAGCCCGCGCACGTCGGGCGGCGGCGGCGGCGGCGGCGGCGCGTTCTCCCTCCGCTTGCGCAGCTCATCCCACCGCGGCTCGTCGCTCGCCGGAACCGCGCGAGGGCCGCGCGGGCTCTTCGGAGTGTGGCTCTCTTCGGACGCGTTGGAGGCGCGCTCGGCGCGGCCGCCTCTCCGCCCGCCGCTCCGCGGTGGCGGCTCGTCGACGGGCGCCCCCTCGAGCTCGAGCTTGAGTCGCTCCGCCTGCGGGGAGGGGCGGGCCGCGGCTGAGCGGCACTCCCTCTCGCGCGCGCGGAACCTCGAGACGCGCCTGCCGGGCGGATATATGGGGAGATGGGGAGATGTGGGGAGATATGGGGAGGCGCGCCTGCCGGGCGGAGACGTCGCGCGCGCGGGACGCCTCCTGCCGTCGCTGCTGCAGCAACGCCGCTTGCTCCGCCTCGCTCCGCCCCGCCGCCTCCTCCTTGCTGAGCTGCAGCTCGTCGAGCGCCTGCGGGAAGGCTCCGAGAAGGGTCCGGGAGGGCCCCTCCTCGCTGAGCTCCGCCTCGCCCACCGCCTGCGACGCGGACGCGGACGGCGGCGCACTCGCCGCTGGCGGAGGGAGCGCGGACCGGCGCTGGAACTCGCGGCCGGAGGGCCGCTGCAGCATGAGAGCGCCTACAGCGGCCACAGGCGAGGCCGTCGGAGAAGGCTGCCTCCGCTCTCTGCGGCTGCCTGCAGCGGCGAGGTGTGCCTCCTCCGAGCGGCTCCGCCGGCGGAGCCTCCCACGACGACTCGTTCGTGTTGAGGTTGACGTAGTAGACGCGCCTACGGCCGCACGCCGCGCGCGTGTCTTCGGCGTGTCGCCGAGAGCCGCCGCCGGCGCAGGCGAGGCCGGCCCGCTCTCGCTGACTCTCTGCGCCCACCCGTGAGGCAGGTGTCGCTCGTCCGCAAGTCCCTCGCCGCCCGGCGCAGAGTGACGTGCCGCGCCGCGCCGCCAGTCGGACGCGCCGCCCTGCGCCCCACGCCCCGGCGGACCCTTCCCGCCCACCCTCTCCGGCCCGCCAGGCGGCGCCCCACCAGACCTCCGCCACTCGCCCACGGTGCGGTCTCCGGCCGACGCCTGCCGCCTGTCTCCTCCTGCCGCCGCCCCGCTCGCCGCCGCCTCTGCCGCGAGCCTCGCCGCGCGCGCCGCCTCGAGCGCGGCGAGCTTGGCCGCCGCCCCGCTCGCCGCCGACCGCTGCCTCTCCTCCTCCTCCTCTCGCATCTTCGCCCGCCTCCGCTGCTCAGCCAGCTCGGCCATCTTTGCCTTCATGTCTTGCGGCGCGACGTAGTCGTCGTCTGTCGGCGCCGCCGGCGGCTCGGGCGCCGGCTTCGCCGCCGCCGCCGGCGCGACCGGCACCGGCACCGGCTTCGCCGCTGCCGCCACCGGCATCGACACCGCCGCCGCCACTTGCTGGGGAGCGCCGCCTCCGCCGCGCGGCCTGCTGTCCGGCGGCCTGCTGTCCGGCGGCCTGCTGTCCGGCGGCCTGCTGTCGTCGATGGCGCGGCCCGCCACGCCGCGCCCTCCGCCGCCCCCGTGGCGCGGGTCGACGGAGCGGACGCGGTCGGCGGGCGGCGCGGCCGGCCCCCGCTGCTGCGCCAGCTGCTCCTGCTGCGCGCGGAGCCGCTCCTCCTGCGCCCTCGCCTGCGCGCGCGCCGCCTGCAGCTCTCGCTCGAACGCCGCCTTCTTCTCCTGCTCGTAGGCGAGCGTCTTGCCGTCGGCGAAGGCGGGGAGGAGGGAGAAGTCGAGGGCATCGTCGCGCGAGCCCCACTCCTCCTTCCCTCCCGACGACTGCCCCTTGCTCGGCGAGCGCGCCGTCACCCGCTCGAACTCGTCCGGGATGTACTGGTCGAGAGCGTCCACCGGGTGCTCGCCAAAGGTAAACTCGTCGAAGGCGTCCGCCCCGCCGCCTCCGCCGGCCGCAGCGGAGGAGTGGTGGGCCGACTCATCGATCTCCTCGTACGGCGCGTCCTCGATCAGCGCCTTGAGCGCGGAGGCCTCGCGGCTCAGCTCCCGGTTGGCGGACGGCGCCGCCGCCGCCGCTGCGCTCACGCCGTTCGCCGTGGGGCCTTCGCGGGAACTCCCCCCGGCGGTCGCAGACGTGCCGCTGCCCGAGCCGTCGGCCGACCCGCGCGCAGCCGCAGCGCTCTCATCTCCCTGCCCTCCGTCGGCCGCGGAGGGGTAGTCTGCTGGCGCCGCCGCGCCGGCAGCTTGGACGGACAAGGGCGTGACTCCCTCCGATCGTCGCGACGGTAGGTTGAAGGGCTTCGGGCTCACTATCGGCTTCTGGAGGGAGGTCCATGTCGCGCCGCGGCCGCGGCCGCCGTGCGCTCTGCTGTGCCCGGCTCCAATCCTCATGATGATGCCACCGCAGAGTTTGCGCGGAGTGGAGTTCTTTCTCTGTCTGTCTGTCTCTCTCTTTATCTCTCTCTCTCTCTCTCTCTCTCTCTCTCTCTCTCTCTCTCTCTGTGTGTGTGTGTGTGTGTGTGTGTGTGTGTGTGTGTGTGTGTGTGTGTCTGTCTGTCTGTGTGTCCCCTCTCGTTGATTGCACAAACACAACAACAAATCTCTCTCTCTCTCTCTCTCTCTTGATTGCATTGTGCTCTTACAATACACCTCAAAGGCCACGCGCTGGCCACGTGGCGTATTTGCAAACCCGAGTCAGGCTCCTACTTGTGTGCTCACACCACTACATACACTGTGGGGGGTGCCCGAGCATGATGTATGTGCGCGCGTCTGTGGACTGTGTGTGCGTGTGTGGGACAGACGTTCTTGTCCTATGCGCGGGGCTTCCCGCGGGGACCGAGGACGTAACAGCAGCAGTCAGGCTGTTGTCAGGCTCCAGAATCCGTTCTCCTTCTTTTACATGCATTTCGAAACCCCTCCGCCTTCGCCATCCCCCATCTGTGCGTTCCACTCCGTCCGCTCCCTCCCGCTTGGCGCCCATCCCGCCCTCGCCCTCCGCCCCTGCCGCCTGCCCTGGCTGGCCTGGGGGGCATCTCCTCATCATCACGCGCCAAGTGGGAGGGAAGTGGACGGGGCCCTGAGCCGACCTAGCCGCCAAACGGAATGGGTGGGGCGCCCAACACGTGCCGAATTACTGTGCCTTCCCCGGGCACAGCCTTTCGGCTCGTGAAGGGTCGGTGCGTGTCGTGATCCCCTGGAACACCCGTACTCTCCCGCGCCATTTCCGTCGCCCTGTTCGGCCAAGATCGGGAGGCGGCCAGGGGCAGGGCTCACTCATAGACTCGGTTGAAAGACCCCAGATTGGCTGGCATCCATGCCTCTCTCTCTGGACAGGGTGGCCCGCCACAACGACCCCTGGAATTGCGACTCCGCTTTCCTCCCGCTGTGATTCTGTGTGAGCTCTGTGTCTTGACTTGCCAACAACATACCTGTCATTTCGAAAGAGAAAACGCGCCTGAAACTCGAGTAAGCCACATCGGTTACTCGCCTCACTGACAGGCCGACGCGGACCGACACTCATGGTCGCGGCCCCGGCCGAGGTGAGCGGCCTGGTGGCAGAGGAGCTGCAGAAGAATGAGCAGCTGCGCGCAACGCTCCAGTCGATGGGGGGGGCGACGTCGCCACAGGTCGCACGGCCCAGCCCTGAGCTTGAGGGCAAGCTCAAGGCGATCGCGCTCTCAAAGGAGCACCTGACGCTGAAGCAGCGGATCGAAAGGAGCGAGCTGCAGATCAAACAGCTTCAGGAGCAGGTTGAGTCTGATCGTGTGCAGATGAAGAAGGTGCAGAAGCAAATGGATGAGTACTCACGGGCTGGCGATCCGGTTTGGGAAAAAACCGGCTTCGGCACAATCGCCTACACAGACCCGTTCCACACCGGCCTCAGCAAGCGAACGCCAACAGGGGGTTACTTTACGTCGTGAGGACCACCAACGGCAGTGAAAGGAGGACCAGATCTGGCTTTGGACCGAAGTGTAAGTGTGTGGAGAAAAACGGCGCGCAGTGTGAGGTCTGAGGAGTCCACATCGCAAAATATGTTGGTAAAATGCTTGACAGATGACACCAATGGTCTAACAGGGTTTCTCAAGTGGAGAGAGATTTGGAACGATGTTTAAAATTCCCCCTTCAGCGGCAAACGCCACGAGCGCGCCTCTCGCACGGCCGTGGCACGCACGCCGAGCGGGAGCTCTGCGGGCTTCGTATAGAAGGCGGTGGCGCCTGGGCGGTGAAAGTTGGTCCTCGAGCAGCACCAGCTGCCGTAGAGCACCTTTTGGTCGAGCAGGCTGCGCACGTACGCCCCCGTCGCCGCGTCCTCGAAGCCGCCCAGCACGTCCTCCGCCTCGGAGAGCATGATCACGGCCGAGCCGGCGGCGACTGTGCCCGGCCCGAGGGCGGCGAGCACCTCGGCGTCGGTCGCACCTCGCGGGAGTTCGACCAGCCCCGGGGCCGCCGCCGACGGCGCGTCGCTCCGAAACCGCACCTCTGTGCGCGACTCGCGCAGCCGGCGGCTCAGCCAAGGGTGGGTGAGGAAGGAGTGCTCGCGGTACGGTAGGCCGCGCCGGCCCTGCAGCCCGTTCTCGATGCCCTGCATGAAGTGCACGTTGAGGAGGAAGTTGAGCGGGCAGCGGAAGGGGAACTCGAGGTCTGAGTTCTCCAGCCGGCAGGTCGGCATCACGTCGGGCCACTCGCTCCGGTCGCAGAGGCACCTGTTCACAGCTGCAGGCGTGAAAAGGCGTTGTCCACCGGCGGCCGCTCTCGCCCCGGGCGCAGGGGCACGCGAACTGCGGGAAGACGAAGGTGCGGTTGAGCAGCCACGCCGCAGCCATGCCGTCGCGCAGCGCGACGAGGTAGCGGTCGGCCATGCGGAGGTGTGCCTGCAGCCGCGGGGACTGCGCGATCGCCTCCTGAATCGTTACGCCGTGCAGCCCCTCCTTGTCGTCGTACTGCCGCACCTCCTTGACGCAGCGGCTCTCGCTGCCCGGAGGCGACCACCAGCCGACCGCACCCGCGGGCGGGGCCCCGCCGCGCGCGACGCGGGCGACGCACTCGTCGTACGGCTCGACGCGCGCGGCGGGCAGCGGTCCTGCCGGCACGGGCGGCGGGCGGAAGGAGAGGTACCTATGAGTAGCCAGCCAGGCATTGAGGAATGCCTGCCGGCACGGGGCGCGGGAGGAGAGGTAGTAGAGGGCACCGCCCCTCGTCGTAGTACTGTTCGGGCTCGAGGCCCCACAGCCCCGCCTCGCGCAGCCGCCAGAGCTTGCCGTGCACGCCCCCCTCGGTGAAGGTGATGTGCACCTGCGGGACGGGTCTCGGACATGTCTGCCATGGACGTGTCCTGGACATGTTCCCCTCGGTGAAGGTGATGTGCACGTTGAGGCAGCCGCGCCGCTCGCCGCTTTGCTGCACGAAGAAAGTGTGGCCGCCGCAGAAGAGGCCGGCGGGGAGCGGCATCAGCCACAGCGAGCGGTTGGCGGCTAGCACGATCTCGCCCGTCTCGGCGGCAGGCGGTGCCGCGACGACGGGGTAGAACGCCTGGTTCTCATCAACGGGGTAGACATGGTAGACAGCCTCGGTCACGAGGATTCATGATCAATCAGAGTGGGATAGGGTAGAAGGCCTTGCGCGAGGATCAATAACCAACGAGTATGAGTATGGCTATGTAAGCATGAGCTGAAGATGGATGGGGCAGAAGGCCTCGGTCACGAGCATGTTGAAGGCGCGCTGGTCCTCGAGGTGCCTGCAGCAAGAGGGCGAGCGGCTCGCAAGCGGCTCGGGGAAGGCGCGCCGGGCCGCGGCAGGGGCAGGGGCCGCGCCAGTCGTCCGTCGGCGCGACGAGCTTTGCGTGCCACCGCTCCGCCAGCGTGAGGGTTCGCGGCGTCGGGTTGAGGAAGAGGACGCCTGAGGAGTGGGTAGCAGTGGTGAGGAGGAGTGACTTGCAGTCCTCGGCACCAGTCGGGTCGGAGGGCGACCTGCGGGGGACGCCGCGGGGACGTGTCACGGACGTGTCCGAGGTGTGCCGTCCCGCCGTCCTGCCGTCCGAGGGGGAGAGGAGGGGGAGAGGAGGGGGAGAGGAGGGGGAGAGGAGGAGGAGAGGAGGGGGGGGGGGGAGGCGCCGGTGTTGAAGGTGACTCCGTAGAGGTTCTGAGGGTTGTGCCCGCAGAACCAGACGCCCTTGGGGTCGAAGCGCCTCGAGTCGCCGCGCTTGTTCGCGTCTGCCTCGCGCGAGAGGCAGTCGCTCGTGACAGCGATGTCCGCCGCGGCGGCGCGCGAGCGCAGGAAGGGCTCCGGGTCGGCGAGCCAGACCGTGTCGACGTCGCTGCAGAGGACGGGGCGGCCGCGCCGGAGGAGGGAGAGGAAGGCGGCGACCTTCATCGCGCCCATCCGCCGGAAGCGCGCCTGGTCGGCGCCGATGCCGCGGAAGTCGGACGCATCTCCGAAGACGGAGAAATTGAGTACCGGAACACCGAGCCCTGCCCAGCTCGAGAGCGAGGGAGGGTCGAGCGCAGCAATGGCGAGCTGGTGCGCCCGTCCGACGGCCGCGCAGGAGAGGTAGAAGTTCTGCGCAAAGTGAAGGTAGGCGGCGTTGCTAAAGGTAAGCCACACGACGGCCCCCTTTGGCAGGACAGCGTCGAGTGCCTCGGCGGTGACGACGCCACGCACCGGCGACGAAACGGCCGCGGCCGCTGCGCGCACTCGTTGCGAGCCCTTCTCGAGAGCAATCCTGGTGGCCTCCTCCGAGGACAGCGCGGCAGAGCTGCGGGATGTCTCTACAGCTGCCCATCCACTATCCGGCGGCTTTTGACGGCTCCTCTGGAGGGCTAGCTGCCGGCGCGAGACCACGGGCGCGTGGCTCGGCGCACGGGCAACGTTGACGATGCCGACCAGTGCGAACGGGAGAAACACAAGCCAGATGGGAAAGCGACCTTCGGAGATGCTGGAGGAGGTGCGAGGCATGCCAAAGCTGACTGATGCTTTTTTCCGGCACTGCCACTGGGGGCGCTCTTTGGAGCACTTGGAGTGCCAGTTGGTAAGGGCCGGTCCGCGTTTCTTTTTCTTGGCAAGTGAGACACCTCACTAGACCCCACATACGGTCTCGTCCGTGCCTCGCCGGCCGGAGAGATTGCTGGAGGTAGAGCAAGCCTGCTCTAGCCTCACATGTCACTTCTTGTCGTCTGTTGTTTGAGTTGTGCCCTTGTTTGTGCCCTTGGCACCGTGGAGTGCTGGGGGGGGCGACAGGGAGGATGTGGCCCTGAGTTATGTGTACGCCGACTCAGGGTGTGTGGCAGCCAGCTGGCTGTGTGTCTTGTGAGCTTGTTTGTGTCTGTGTGTCGCTCGTGCGTGTAGTCATCATCTGTCCAGCGTCCACCCATACCGCGTTGGTGTCCAGTCCGAGCCTGGCTGTTCTTCACCTTACTACCTACCTACTAAGTGAGTCAACGATGCTGGCGTAATGTGCCGACGAGAATGGCGACACATTGCCGACAAAAACACCTACTTTGTATTTCAACCAGCACGCTAACCTGCTTTACCGTTAGCTCTTGCCTCAAGCCTCAAGCGTCAAGGCCCCGCCAGCTCCACCTCAAAAGGGAACGGCCCGTCGAGTACGTGGCGCCGTTTGACCAGCTGCGCGACGTGGGGCGAGAATCCCAGGTATTTTCGGGTTTTACCCGGGGTTTTTTGCATTTTCTGCTTGCTGACCACTGAACAAAACAAACTCTCTGAACAACAGTAACAACAACAAAACAAAACAGTAACAACAGTAACAGCTTGGGCTGGCGTGGGGAGAACACTTGAACAACGTTGAGGATTTCAGCCAACAATAGTGCAACTGTTAGGCCCACACAAAGTTAACGATAACGTTTGACAACCCTATTCCCGCTACCGTCGCGCCTCGGCGACCCTGTCGTCCCTCCCCCATCCCTCGTTTGGGTTGTCTATTTTCTTTCTTTCTCTCTGCGGACACCCCCCCCCCTCGCCATGTTACCTGCATGTTACGTGCAAGGGGAGAGATATTCTCTGGTATAATAAAAGGAGGGGGGAAAATCAAATGAACTCGGGGGCGCACAGGACGCGGCACGTAGAAGAATGTGTTTAGGGCTGGTGAGCTCAAACTCTCAAGCGAACAAGCCTCATTCGAAGGCACGTGTGTTTGCCTCCTTCGATGGCGCTGGGCCTGGGGGGGGGTTCAAAGCTGGCTGGGCGAGAGGCAGCGCTCCGGCTCCAGGTTCTCCGCGTCGAGCACGCGTGGCCACGCGAGCTTGGAATGGCTCCACACGAACTGCTGCAGAACCCACTTGTCGTCCACGGCGGCCTCGGACTCGTGGTAGGCGTTGTAGTCGGTGTAGCCACCTGATCGGGCGCTCGTCGCCGGGAAGTGTACCACCGCCATGCCCTCCTCCGGGGAGATTGAGAAGCCGGCGCCCGAGCCGCCGGCAACGTCCGTCGCGCCCGTGCCCGGCCCCGGCTGCTCGTAAAACGCGCGCCCGTGGTTGCCGCCGAGAGCCGCGTCGTAGTCGGTCCACCGCCACCGCGTCCGTCCGCCGCGCACGCACGTCGTCAAGTAGACAAAGATTGTGACGATCCGGTTCACGCCGCTGATCGGCGCTCCACGCACACCGTACTCGAGCCGCGCTCGGTCCGCCCACCAGTCATCGGGGTCGGGCGGCGCACCCTGCAGGTCACCCCGCCAGGCATCGGTGTGAATGTCGAAGCGCGCGCCCTCCTCGTACCGCGAGATCTTTAGCGGCTGCAGCTGGCCCAGCTCGACGCTCGCGAGGCCCGCTAGCCGCTGCCGCAGCGATGCAACCTCCTCGCTGCGGGCGACGCAGCCGCGAGACGTGCGCACACCCGCGGTGGCGTCGTTGTCGAATGTCTGCGGCGCCAACGTGGCTGCAGCCTTCTCCCGGAGAGCCGCACACTCGGCCTTGGACAGAAACTGCCGGTGGACGAAGATGTACGGCTCTGAGTGGACCAGTTCGAGACCGGGCAGGGAGAGGTTGACGCGGTGGAAGGCGGACGCGCGATAGCGATCGAGCGCGGCGGTGGAGAGTCTGCGCGCTGTCAGGAAACCGCCGAACCGCAAAGAAGAATTTTTCCACAACTCGCACGTTTCGTGCAAAGAAGAAGTGCTGTTAAAACCGGATCTTCCAGTGGTACCCGTAGCGCCCCCCCCCCCCCCCCCTTTCAAAGTCTGTGCAAGTGTGAACAGCAGCTCCTGACCACGGCGCCGCAGGGGCCTGTTGATAGGTCCAGGTGATAGCCCTGGAGAGGCAATTATTGAGTTGACTTAGGGATACCCGCCATAAAAACGGTGTGTATGGTCGGTGGTGGGTGGAGGCTCTCTGCTGCCGCGGCGCCCCCGTAGGAACACCATTTTGCGGTCCTGAGCGGCCGTCTTGGAGCAGAAGCTTCCCTGCCTCCTTAGCCATGTTGCGGTGCCCTCGCGCCATCTGGTCCTCGCACTGCTCGCAAGTAAAGCGTCTTCACAGGTCGGCAGATACGCCTCACCTTCAAAAAGGTGGCTGCCTACCCCAAAGCCCAGCCCGGGGCATCGATTTCTCTTGACGATCTCACTTTAAAACGCTGGTGCAGATGGGGTTTTCTCTATAGAAGTCGGAGCCTTGCGTCGAAGGAGAGGCAGCGTGCGGCTCCGTGGACTCGGCCATCACCCGCGGGTGAGAGGGCGATAGGAAGCACTCCCGCCCTCTGAGGCGGCCGTCCGAGTCGGGGAGGCAAACACACAGCCATCCTCGCGGGTGTGGGCAGCCTTATCGGCCCGCTATACTAACCCTTAAGTCGGCCCTTCCTCGGGTCGGCTTCGGAGGCCCCTTAGCCCTAGCCGGAGCTAAGGGAGCCGGCTTTTTCGGCGCTAACCCTAGGAGAAACCGCTCCGGAATAGGGTTACCGGCACCATCGGGCGGCGCCATGCGGATGGAGGGAGTCGGGTCTGCCATCGGCGGGCCGTCAGGGCGCTGAGAAGTCAAGGACGACTTTTTAGCTCCACTTTCGGCGTGCCGGAGTATAGCTTAACGGGGAGGGTGGGTGAGTGGGTGTGTTCTCTAGGCCCCTAGAGGCGAAAATCTAAAGGCCCTACGCGCGGCGTGAGAGCTCGGAAGCGAGCTTGGCACGGCGATCAGGTAGATAGAGCTCTTGTTGTTGCCAAATCAAGATACAGAGCTCGGACACATTTTGGCACAAATTGCCTCTGCGGCGAAGGCGGTCGGGGCCCGAAGTGCCTAGTAGGCCGGATTTCTTGTTTTGTTATTTGTTAGTGCCAGTGCAGTCCGTGCCTAGCTAGTGTTGTCTGTTGTGGTGCGAGGGAGTCCGGTCCTAAAATTCTTGATTTCGCGCCAGTCCCGTGCCTAGTGCTGTGCGAGGGAGTCCGATCCTAAAATTCTTTATGTGCCTAGAAAGGAAGAAAGAAAACCGTCAACGCAAACGAGGGATGGGAGGAAGGACAGCGACAGGGTCCCCACCTGCACGAGCAGGAATTTGGAAGGACGATCAGGGACTTCACAGCCTTGTTATTGAGAAGAAAGTACCTCGTATGGCGCTGTGCGCTGGTCTGTGAGAGGTTGAGGTGCGAGCCCTGGAGGCCCTGGGGATGGGGTGAGACTACCCGCGGGCCTAAGGGGGGTGGGAAATTGAGATTCACACAGGGGAACGGGAGTGGGGAGAAGGGGAGTCCGCCTACCGAAAGCGAAGAATTCTTTATTTCGAGCGGTTGTTCACCGCACTTGGAGCACATGAAGTTTCTGCGGCACGGGATCGGGGTGCTCCCCTTTGGCGTGCAGGTGCCGCGCGAGCTGGAGGAGTGAGCGGGGACGGCGCGGGCGGGCGGCACCGGACGAGGGATATGGAGGACCCGCCGAATTCCCCGGTCGAACCGGGGAGCGCGGCTCTCGAGCGCCCCTCGGAGCAGGGGCTACCTTCGAGGCCGGATTCGGAGAGCGCTTGTGAGGCGCTTGCTCTCACACGTTGATCGTTGTTGAGTCACACATGAGAGAGCGCGGGTTTTAATTAAGTGATGTTTTTTGTGCGTGCGCGCGCGTTGTTTGCCTGCTGTCACGGAATACACTCATCTCGCTTGTCGCTAGAGAACAGTGTCTCAGAGGAGGTAATCGAGAAAAAACACACTTGACCAAAGTCAAAGAAATCAAAGAGCGATCGAGGCAACTGCGAGGGACGGACGGACGGCACGGACAATTTCGGGGATGCGAAACTTCAGAGTTGACAACGCGTCGAGATGGGCACGTGAAACTTGCCTTGGTTGAAAGTCAGATCTGCTTAAACTTCCCTTGCGTTTGTGCGTTTATCTTCTATTTTAGACAGAGCTCCGCACCCGAGGCGAGGTGGATGGGAGAGATTTTTAGCAATACCAAACAAATCTAACACTCACACGTCATTTGGGGCCTGGAGCCCCTGCACAATGATGTTTATGGAGGTTTAAAGTTTGCGGGGGCCCTGTTCACGCGCGCGCGAGACGTGCAGACGTGCTTGTTGTTGGATGGGTTGGGAGCGAGGGGGCGGAAGTGGCCAGCGCGGTAGATGGTACGCTTGAGGCGCGTGAGCCGGACTTGTGAGCCATCCGGCTTACATTTACCCTGCCTGCGTTCTCGCACATGGAGTGCGAGATACTCGACTTTCCGCCCGCCCCACGGTCTCGGGAACCGTACCCATACTACTCAAAAGTACAATATACTACCACAAAGCACCACTAGCGATTTCGCGCGGAGGGCGTAGTGAAGCGCTGGGGCGCTCACTGTGTGTTATTCGGGTGGGGATCCATCAGTGGTAACCGGCTTTAGTCACAGATCCAAGCTCAGACGCCACACCAACACCACAAACACGCTCACTTCGCCGCTGCTGTAGAGGGCCCCCGGGGGCCCATACTACGTCGAAGTACGGACCCGATCTCGGCACTCACGGGCTGTCACGCGCCCGCGCGCGGCGCGGGCCGCACCGCCCATGCCCCCGGGTCACCGACCCCGCCTCTCGGCCCTCTCGGCCCTCAGGAGCGTGCGGGAGACCGGCGAGGGGCGCGCCGCGCGCCGCCTGCAGTCCAGAGCCGCCAGAGGCATTGTCGCCTGCCGCTGGCGGGGTTCCCGCGCGCCCGCCCGCGCCCGGACCCGCGCCCGCTGCGCCCGCGGGCTCCGGATGCGCCGCCCTCCGTCTCCTTCTTCTCGATGGCAGTCCGCAAGTGCTTGTCGACGGGTCGGCGGCGTGGTCGAGGGGAAGGTCGCCGGCGGCCGCAACTCCGCCGCCGTCGCTCCGCCGGCTCTGACCGAGTATCGGGCGTTGATGGCGGCGGCGCAAGACGGGTGTCTGACGCATCCATCGCCACGAGCCTCGCGACCGCGGTCGTGGCACACCTGGTGGCGGCTCTCGGGGCCGTCTCTACGGCGCTCGACGCCGTGTGAGGTCGGACTCGCCAGCGGCCGCAACTCCGCCGCCGTCGCTCCGCCGGCTCTGACCGAGTATCGGGCGTTGATGGCGGCGGCGCAAAGTGGGTCTGGCGCATCCATCGCCACGAGCCTCGCGACCGCGGTCGTGGCACACCTGGCGGCGGCTCTCGGGGCCGTCTCTACGGCGCTCGACGCCGTGTGAGGTCGCCGGCGGCCGCAACTCTGCCGCCGTCGCTCCGCCGGCTCAACCGAGTATCGGGCGTTGAGGCCGGCGGCGCAAAGTGGGTCTGGTGCGCCACGGCCACCACCCTTGCCACCGCCCATGCCGCCGCCCTTGCCACCCTTTGCCGCCTTGCCTCCGCCGCGGGCGGCGGTGGGAGCGGCCTGCTGGGCTAGCATGTTGTCCTTGCTGGGGACGGGCACGTGGAACGCACGTTACATGTTCGAACGGCCTCCGGGATTCAAACAAAAAATAGCCAAGGCCCTCTCGCAACCCCTCCGACCCCCTGGGACCCGTGGGCGTCGAAGAGGCGCTCTCGGGGGGCCGTTCTGAGTTCATACTACCTCGAAGTACAATATACTGCGTCAAAGCACCGGCCCTGAGTCCGCCCAACCAAGCTGTCACTCCCCTTTCTCCCGGGGGCCGGGGTGGGCGCGCGCGGGGGCGGCGGGTGTGCGGGATGTCTGTGGGCCCGAGAGCGATATGCCATGTCCGCCTTGCTTTGTTCCTAACAACATCGAAGCTGAGCTCAAAAAGAAAACAATAATATTGTCTCACCTGCCTGCCAACCGGTTGGCAGTCAAACGCGAAGGCTCCTCCTCCTCCGCCGCTGCCGCCGCCGCCGCCGCCGCTTGTCTCCCCAATGCACATCGTGGAGATCGTCCTCGACGGCTTCAAGTCGTACGCGACGCGCACCGTCATCACCGACTTTGACCCGCAGTTCAACGCCATCACAGGCCTCAACGGCTCGGGAAAGTCCAACGTGCTCGACTCGATCTGCTTTGTGCTCGGCATCTCCAACCTGTCGCAGGCGCGCCACGCACCCTCAGCGAGCGCGCGCTGCAACGCCCATCTGCGGTCGCGCGGAGCGCTGGGCGACGCCCGACTCACACCGGCGCGCTGTGCCGCCTCGCTCGCAGGTGCGCGCGAGCAACCTCAACGAGCTCATCTACAAGCAGGGACAGGCCGGCGTCACCAAGGCCAGCGTGACGCTCGTCTTTGACAACTCGAACCGCGAGCTGTCTCCCCACGGCTACGACCACTACAGCAAGATCACCGTCACGCGCCAGGTGCGCCGCCGCCCGCCCGCCCAGCCCAGTCCAGCCCGCCCCAGCCCGCCCGCCCGCCCGCCGGCTCAAGTCCGGCGGCCGGCTGGGCGCAGGTGGCCATCGGCGGGCGGAACAAGTACCTGATCAACGGCCAGAACGCGCAGCTGCAGCGCGTGCAGAACCTCTTCCACTCGGTCGGCCTCAACGTCAACAACCCGCACTTCCTCATCATGCAGGGCCGAATCACAAAGGTGCTCAACATGAAGCCGGTCGAGACGCTGGGCATGATCGAGGAGGCGGCGGGCACGCGGATGTTCGAGCTCAAGAAGCAGCAGTCGATCAAGATCATGGAGAAGAAGGAGACCAAGCTCGACGAGATCAAGCGGGTGAGGCCGCCGCGCCCCCTCTCCCCACGGCCGCGCCTCTCCCCGCCGCCGCGCTCCCACGCTGACGCCGCGGCCGCCGATCCGCCGCCGTCCCGCAGCTCATCAACGACGACATCGCGCCGCGGCTCGACAAGCTCGGCTCGGAGCGCGCCCAGTACCTCGAGTATTCTACCCTCTCGTCGCAGAACGAGTCCCTCGTCCGCTTCTGCCAGGCCTACGAGTTCCACAACGCAGAGCAGGCGGGGGGAGGGTCCGGGCCGCGCCGCCCCCCCCCCTCCTCCCACCGCGCCGCGCCGCCGCGCCGCTGTAGGTGCAAAAGAAGGTGGAGGAGGAGCAGGCGGGCGACTTTGCGCGCCAGCGCGAGCTGCAGCAGACACTCTCCGACGCCAAGGCGGAGGACGCCTCGCTCAGCAAGGATGCTGCCGAGGTGGCCAAGGCAAAGAAGAGCGGTGCGAGCGACGCGGTCAAGGCGCTCGAGAAGAAGGAGGACGAGGCGTCCAAGGACCTCGTCAAGGCGACCGCCTCGCTCAAGCAGCGGCGCGACGCCATCGCGGGCCACGCCTCCGCCGCCGACGGCCACGCCAACTCGATCAAGGAGCTCGAGGCGGCGAAGGCTCGCGCCGCACCGCGCCGCACTGCGCCGCGCCGCACCGCTCCCGACCCTCGCCCCGCCCGCACTGGCTCACGCCCCGCCGGCGTGCGCCCCCGCAGGCCAAGGCGGAGAAGGAGCACGCAAAGGCGCTCGAGGCGGCGACGGCCGCCGAGGCTGCGCACGGCGCCGTTGCGGGCAAGGTCAAGTCGCGGCGCGAGCAGTACGAGGCGGACATCGGCATGGGCGCGTCCGCTTCGGGCGAGGGGGTCAAGAACCTGCAGGGCCAGCTGAGCGACGCGACGGCCGAGGTCAAGGCGCAGGAGACGGCGCTCAAGCAGTCCGAGATGCGCGGAAAGACCTTCTCGAAGGAGGCCAAGGAGGTGGAGAAGCAGCTCGCAGCCGCCTCGAAGTCGGGCGACAAGGCGCTCAAGGAGCAGGACTCGCTGCAAAACGCGGTCGCCGCCGCGCAAGCCAAGGTGGGCGAGCTCGGCTTCGACGAGGCGGCCGAGGCGGCGCTCACCGGCGCGCACGCCGCCGCCCAAAAGAAGCGAGACGCGCTCGCAAAGCAAGCCGACGCGGCCGCGGCAGCCATCGGCGGCGGCGCCGACTTCCGCTTCCGCGACCCGGAGCCGGGCTTCGACCGCTCGCGCGTCAAAGGGACGATCGCGTCTAGCCTGCGCGTGCAGGACATGGCCAACGCCACCGCCCTCGAGGCGCTCGCCGGCGGCCGGCTGCACCAGGTGGTTGTCGACAACGAGAAGACGGGCATGCTGCTGCTCACGAAGGGCGGGCTGCAGCGCCGCGTGACCCTCATCCCGCTCAACAAGATCAAGGCGACGACGGCCTCCCCCGCGCAGCTGCAGCAGGTCCACAAGCTCGTCGGCGACCGCGCCGTCGCCGCCGTCTCCCTCATCTCGTGCGCAGCGGAGCTGCAGCCGGCGCGACGCGCCGTCGGCTGCCCGCCTCGCCGTCGCACGCCCCCCTGTGGAGCGTGGGTGCGCGGTACTAGGCGATGGAGTACGTGTTTGGCTCGTCGCTCGTGTGCCGCGACAAGGAGTCCGCGCGCCTCGTGTGCGAGAAGCTGCGCCTCAAGACAGTGACGCTCGACGGCGACCTGTACGACCCGCAGGGCACCGTCACGGGCGGCTCCCGCCCTAAGGGCAACGCGTGCCTGCTCGTCAAGATCGCGGGGCTGCAGGCAGGCCGCGAGCAGCTCGCCGCCGCCGATGCGGAGCTCAAGGCCGCCTCCGCCGCCCTCGACGAGTGGCGCAAGCAGGCCGAGGTGCACGAGAAGCTTGCCTCCGACCTCGAGCTCAAGGCGCGAGAGTCGCCGAGAGACGCCGAGAGTCGCCGAGAGTCGCCCTCCTCCGACCTCGAGCCCAAGGGTCGGGCCAAGCTCAGTGCCGCGCCCCTCGCCGCAGGCGCACAAGCTGGCGATGCACCAGAAGACGCTGCAGGCCGGCGAGGCGCACGTCCTCTCCACGCGGCGCGAGGAGCTGCGCTCGCAGCTCGCCGAGGCGGAGGCGGCCGGCGTGGCGGCCAGAGAGGCGCTCTCCGCCGCCAAGGAGCTGCGCGAGTCGCTCGCGGCGCGGCTGACCGACTTCGAGGGCAACCGCGACGAGCGGCTCAAGCAGTCCAAGGCGGCCATCGCCAGCGCCGAGAAGGAGGCCAAGGCGTCGGCCAAGGCGCTCGAGAAGGCGCAGCAGGCGGAGCAGAAGCTGCGGCTGCAGCTGCAGTCGCTGGTCGACCAGACCGGCGCCGCGGAGGAGGCGCTCGCCGAGACGAGGAAGCGGAGCGCCGAGGGCGAGGCGGAGCTGGTCGAGATCGAGGCGCGCGTGACGGCCGCCAAGGCTGCCTTCGACGAGGCGACGGGCGGGCTCAAGTCGCACAAGGAGGCGCAGCAGGCGCACGAGGCCAGGCTGGCGCAGATTGGCGAGCGGCGCGAGGCGCTCGAGCAGGAGGTCGCCGACGCCGAGGTCGAGCTCAAGCAGCTCGAGCACCGCTGCTCGCGCGCCATCAAGGAGAAGGAGGCGGCCGAGGCAATGTGCCGCGACCTGCTGTCCAAGAACCCGTGGATGGAGGTGCGCGCGCTGGCTCGCTCCACGGAAAGGGAAGGGAGGGGAGGGGGGGTCGCAGCTCCCGCCCGCCGGCCCAGCCTCGCAGCCTCGCCACGGCCCGACCGGCTCTCACCCTCCCTCCTCGCCCGCCTCCCCCTCCTCGCCCGCGCAGCCGGAGCGGTCGAGCTTTGGCCAGCCCGGCGGCGAGTACGACTTCAAGTCGGCGAAGCATGTCGCGGCGCAGCAAAAGGCGCTGGCCAAGCAGAGCTCGCAGCTCGAGGCGCTCTCCAAGCGCATCAACAAGAAGGTGCTCTCCATGTTCGAGAAGGCGCAGGCCGAGTACTCTGACCTGATGGGGAAGAAGGCCACTGTCGAGAAGGACAAGGCCAAGATCGAGGCCGTCATCGCCGAGTGCGACGTCAAGAAGATCGAGGCGCTGCAAAAGACGTGGGCAAAGGTGAACGCCGACTTCGGCTCCATCTTCTCGACCCTCCTCCCCGGCACCGACGCCAAGCTCGAGCCCGAGGAGGGCAAGGCGGTCGAGGACGGGCTCTGCGTCAAGGTTGCGTTCGGCAAGGTCTGGAAGCAGTCGCTCCTCGAGCTTTCGGGCGGCCAGCGTTCGCTCGTCGCGCTCTCGCTCGTCCTCGCGCTCCTCCGCTTCAAGCCCGCGCCCGTCTACATCCTCGACGAGATCGACGCCGCGCTCGACCTCTCGCACACGCAAAACATCGGCGCGATGATCAAGTCGCACTTCCAGCAGTCGCAGTTCCTCGTCGTCTCGCTCAAGGAGGGCATGTTCAACAACGCGAACGTCCTCTTCCGCACCAAGTTTGTCGACGGCGTCTCGACCATCACGCGGACCGTCCCGTCCGGCGCCGACCGCGCCGCCGCCGGGGCGGCGGGCGGCAAGAAGCCGGCCGGGGCGTCTGCGGCGTCGCGCAAGGCGCTCACGGCGGTCAACTAGCTGCGCCCCGTCGGGGCGTGGCGCCCTAGCAGCGCCCCCCCCGCGCGCCGGTGCGTCACCGGCTGTGGGGGCGGCAGACCGCACCGTGCACTGGCGCCTCTGCGCTCCAGCTGCCGCGAGGGGACGGCTTTGCCGCCCCGGCCTGCCGCTAGCCACCCTCTGCCGCTGCCGCCTGCTCTTCCGGGACCCGGAATCGTTCTCTTCCCACTACTGCGCTTTGATGGCACGCGAGCTTGCGCTGCGTGGTCTGGCACTGTGGGGGGAGAGGGGGGATGGGGAGCGAGGGAACTGAGGGAAGGACCGGGAGCATGTCACGATGTCGAGCATGTCGAGAGAGAACACATACCGTGCGAGCAGCGAGAGAGTGGGAGGGAGAAAGACTCGCTGCAGGTTACGTTACGCGTCAGTACCCCGACTAGTGACTTTTTTCGCGAGAGATACAAGAATAAAATCCGCGCGCCTTTGTTTGGCTTTGGGCGCTCTCGCTCTCTCCTCTCCATGAGTTTCATATGTCTCTATCTGGGCCGAGCGTTTTTGATCTCTCGGTAAGTGGGGGGCCGAGCCGCCTCGGGGTGGCGGGCGGGCGGGCGTGTTGAAAAACAGAAAACAGAAAACAGAGGGGGGCCAGGGCCCCCACTACGATTAGACACACGCACCTGGCTCCTGGGACAAGGCGAGAACGCGCAGCATGTGCAGTACCGTTCAGCGGAGGGGGGGGGGGGAGCCGAGGGGGCGACGTCCCGACACGGCAGCTTGGAGCTGACCCCGGGAGAGAGAGAGACGAGCGATGGCACGCCCCCAATGACCCTAGACAGACATGACGAGCCGACAGCGATGCAGCGGCAGCGAAGGCGGCGAGGAGAGCCCGCGCTGCAGAGCTCCGCCGGGCGGCAGCAGAGACATCGGCGGACGGGGGAGCACGGGACACGTCGGCATAGGAGCCAGGGGGGTGGGAGAGTTGAGTCAGGTGCAGCAGCACCGTCTCGGCAGCGAGGCCGACGATGGCGACGGCGGCGACGTAGGCGAGACGGTGGCGAGGGTGGTGGCTTGACGAAATGGATGACGCCATCGCGCAACATGACATCCTCGATGTTAGGGTTGCCTAACGTTAAGAGCTGAACAGTGTTGCTAGTGTTAACAGTAACAACAGAACAACAGTGGGGCCCCCCAACAACAGTAGCTAACGTTAGGCCGGCTGAACAACAATAAGGAAGGCCTGGCAGTGACCCACGACGATCTCTAGTGTCCAGTGCGGGTAATACCCGAAAATACCCGGAAAATCCCAGGTATTTTCGGGTTTTACCCGGGTTTTTTGCCATTTTCTGCTTGCTGGCCGCTGAACAACAGTAACAACAGTAACAAACAGTAACAGCTTGGGCTGGGGAGAACACTTGAACAACGTTGAGGATTTCAGCCAACAATAGCGCAACTGTTAGGCCCCAAATTAACGTTAGGCAACCCTACTCGATGTCGTCGTCCTCTAGGTGGCGCGCAGCGCCGCTCTCGCAGGCTGTTTTTGACGGTTTCTACACTTTGTTTTTGTTTTCAGTCTAGGGGGCCCGACCCCCTCAGAGGCGGCGGGCGGGCGCCCACTTACCGAGAGATCAAAAACGCTCGGCCCTGCCGCATACGGCTTAGATTCCATATTGCATAATAGCTTATAGGAGTTGCGTTATTGGTCTTAGGGGACCCCTAGGGTTCTGAGGGCCGGATTTTTTAAGACCTTTCAAGAAACGAGGAGGTTTGGGGGCTTAACTTGCCATTTAAGAGATTGCAGGCACGGGGGGGATCCTCTTTTAAGACCGTTTAAGAAAATCGGCCTCGCCGGCATGCGTCGCTGGGTTCCGCGCCGTTTTCTCCAATACTGCCGTTATTAGGCACAAACCCGCCTCTGAAGACAAATCTGTAAGTCTGGTGCACTGGCAGGAGCCATACTCGCATAGGGGGCGCGTGCTAGCTGACTGTAGCCAGCTTCCCGGCCTCCGGCGTCTACCGGGCGCCGAGCCTCCCGGACCATCGACCTCGGGAGCTCTCCCGCACCGTTTAAGCGTTTAAGACCGTTTAAGGAATCGGCGGCCCAGGCAGCCTTAAAATGGGGCCATGGCCCGCTTTAAGCCGTTTAAGCCGCAGGCGCCCCAGGGCCCACCCTTTTAAGCCTAGGGGTCCCCTAAGTTATTGGTATATTCGTGTATTCAGAATCTCAGATTTCAGTGACTCGTAAGACCGACTGCTAAAACCGATATGAAAAAGAATAATAGGAAATGGTGAAGAGGCACACGACCCGTATAAACGTAAAAGATGGCAGCCCACGCTGGCTACGTAGTGCCATTTCACTCTGACACGCTAATCTTGAAACCGTCTCCAACGGAGCTCCGTGTTGCTTCCAGCGCCCTCCCCCGCGCTCCCTGCGGCCATGGCCGATGCTCCTAGGAAGAGAGGTCATCTGGCTACCGCGAGAGCGACCCAACTCGTCGACATCGTCCGATGATGGTGCCGCAAAGTCAGCCTTCGGAGGCTATCGTGGGGTCGAGCCGGCAGTAGCCGTGACATGTGGTTCCACCACCCCTCGTAGGCTTTGCCTCTGACCGCCACCGTTCCCAGGCTGCCTAATGGGATGGAAAGGAAGGCTCGGCGAGCGTATAGAAGCGTGCTCGACCTCGTCGTGGCAACCTGTACGGCAGCGCTGGTAGGCGATGAGCGTCTCGTGCCACCTGACCCGAGACGGGTCGCAGGCGTCGTACCGAGCGCGTCGAGACCGTGTCCTGATGTGATCTGCACGGGTGAGTCACGTCGGCGTCAAAGGAGCGACGTGCGACCTGTCAGAGCTTGATCTCCGATCTCTGCGGCGTCGAGTCGTCTCCGGCGGCGACGATTTGGTACATCTCCAGGACGCGCAGAGGCAGCTGCGATCCCGCCGAGTAGACGGCGTCAGCGCGTCACACAGCGCCACCTGCTGTGTGCAACCGTCTACTCGGCGGGGTCGCAGCTGCCTCTGGAAGGCACCGACATGTACCTTTTTGCGCAAATGGTCAAATCAAGGTTTTGTAACGCGAGCTGTGCCACAGTGAAATGGCACTAGCCGCTACCAACACTGCTGCCGCACCGCTACGCGCTACCGCTCCGACAGCAGCTCGTGCACGTGCCTCCGGATGAAGGCCGCCTCGGCTGCCAGCTCTGGCCGGTGCGGGTCGCCCGCGCGGTGGCCCGCCGCCGACACGATCGGTCGCAGCGTGGCCCGCTCGCCGAGCAGCGCCGCCTCGTGCTGCGCCTCGCCAAGGGTGAAGTAGCGGTCCTCGTCGCACGGCATCAGCAGCACGCGCGCTCGGACGCGGCCGAGCGCGGCGGCCAAGTCGCCTCCCGTGTGTCTCGAGACGTCGGCGTGGCGCCACGTGCGAATCTGAGAGAGCAGGTCGTCTGCGTCGCAGTTGGCAAAGGCGGGCAGGTACGAGTCCTGGGGGGCGAGGCGCGGGAGAGGAGGCGCGGGGTGAGGGGCCAGGCCAACCACCGCCTTATCAATCTCCGCTCGCGCACCCGCACGAACGCCTCCGCACACTCGAACCCGGCGCTCGCGTACCCGCGCTGCGTGTACCAGCCCGCACCGACGCCCCAGCCGGCGTAGATGCTGCCGAACGCCCGCAGGCCGCGATCGGGGCGCGTGGTGAAGTGGCCGCGGCTCGCATCCCACGCCGCATCCGCCTTGAGCGCCTCTTCGATCGAGCGCAGGAAGACGCCGTTGAGCTCGCCGCATCGCGCCGCGCCGCACACCGCGGCGACCCTCTCGACGTGGTCGGGGTGCGCGACGGCCCACTCGTACGCCTGCAGCTTGATGCAATTCATTCATCGACCCCAACTCATCTCTAATCAAGCGACGGCCCCCACTCGCACGCCTGCAGCGCGCCCATCGAGTAGCCGTACACCAGGCTCAGCGGCGCCATCGGCGCGCCGCGCGCCGCGTGCAGGTGCTCGAGCAGCAGGTGCTGCGCGCGCACGTTGTCGCCGATCGAGAGCAGCGGCGGGTAGCCGGCAAGGCGCTCGGCGTGGCGCATGCGCGACGGCGAGTACGAGACGCCGTTGCCGAGCAGGTTCGGCACGACCACCGTGTAGGCGCTCGTGTCGAGCGTCTGCCCCTCGCCGATGCTGTACTCGAGCTCGTCGTGGACGGCGTCGAAGCTCGTCGGGTGCAGGATGACGCCCTTGCTCGCGCCGACAGGCGGGCCGTGCACCTTGTATGCGAGCGTCGCCCCCGCCGGCAGCGCGTGGCCGCAGGCGAGCTCGAAGCCCGCCAGGTCGAAGTGCTGCACCTCCGGGTCGGAGAGGGCGCGCCTGTCAGGTAATTACTCATTCGTTAATTAAGTAATAGCAGCCTCCGGGTTGGAGAGGGCGCTGTAGGGTCAGGGTCAGGGGTAGGGGCAGGGGCAGGGGTAGGGGTAGGGGTTAGGGTCCGGGTCGGAGAGTGCGCGCCTCGCGGCGGGGGAGCCGCGCGACGGAGGAGGCGGAGGCGGCGGAGGCGGAGGCGAGCTCGCCTGGTTGCCAACGAGTCGAGGCGGAGGCGGCGAGGCATCTACTAACGACTGGCTCGCCTCCCGCTCGCGGCTCCAGGCCCTGTCGCGGCTCCAGGCCCTGTCGCGGCTCCAGGCCCTGAACTCGACCCCGAGCCGCTCGGTCGCCTTGCGCGCGCAGAGCACCGACGCGTTCCCCTCCATCGGCGAGCGGAGCGGCATCCCCTCCACGCCGAGGACCGACGCGAGGAGCGGCAGCGTCGGCTCGGCGAAGCGCGAGTCCGGGGCGGCGAGGAGGTAGGCCTCGTGTGAGCCGCGCGCGGCCGCGTCCTCCCGGGTCGCAGCCGCCACGTGGGCGCGTATGACGTCGTCCTCGTGCACGTAGGCCCAGAGCACCAATTGCAGCGGCTCGGCGGAGGTGGGCGCCTCCCACGGCAGCGACGACCAGAGCTCGCGCTTGACGATGTTTGTGAAGCGGAGCGAGACGAAGCTCGTGTCGGTGGCGGTGCGCGCTGCCGTCTCGAGGATCTCTTCGCCCGCGAGCTTGGACAGCCCGTACGACTCGTGCGGCTGCGCGCCATGCGCCTCGTCCACAGGGAGGTAGCCGACCTTGCTGCTCCACGCCTGGGGGCCCCGTGGCACGTGGCTGAAGCCCATCGCGAAGGCGGAGGAGGAGAAGACGAAGCGCGAGGCGCCGCCCGCGATGGCGGCGTCGCACACCGCGGACGTCGATGCCACGTTGTCGCGCAGGAGCACCGCCGGCGGCGCCGTCTCCAGCCCGATCGGAGGCTTCGTGGCGTCGCCGCTCGCGACCACAGCAGGCGGAGGTGTGGCGGACGGCCCTGGCCAGGCGGCGCAGTGCACCACCACGTCCGCGCCGTCCATCGCAGCGGTGAGGCACTCCCTCTCCTGCCCAGCCACGGCTGCAGCCAGGTCGATCGTGACAAAGTCGTCGCATCCGGTGCCGAGCAGCCCGGGTGGCGCAGACGCCATGTCCACGCCGACCACCGTGTGCCCGCGCTCCCTCAGCGCGGTGGCGACGCCGCGCCCGATCCGACCTGCGGCGCCTGTGACGACGGCCCGCATGTGGTGTTTGCTTCGTTGGTTGCAGCGGGATCTTTGCGGCGGCGCGTTTGTTGCGTTTGTGGCCTTCTCTCGCGTTTGTGGCGCGTTAGTGGGCCGAGGCGCCACAGTGTTTTCTTTTTTCTCGTTCCCGGAGGAGGGGGTTTACAGGGAGCCTTCGATGTGAGGAAACAAGCAAGGCGGACACACACATGACGCGAGAATTAATAGACAAAAATAAAAAAATGAAAGCACGCACCCGAGGCACAGCGCCGTCCCTCGAGAAAAAATACGGAAGGCCGATATATGTGTCGATGTGTGAGCTCCACGTAGACGACCTCCTCGCCGCTCTCGCGTGCGACGACGCCGAGGGAACTCCGCCAGCGCTCCTTCGTCTGACGGAGGAGATCCAAGCGGCGGCCGGCCGGCTCGACGTGCACAGCTTCCTCGACGCGGCCGACCGAGGCGTGCCTGTCCTCGACGTGCGCTCGCCCTCCGAGTACGCGCAGGGTCATGTTCCGGGCGCCGCCTCCGTCCCGCTCTTCTCCGACGATGAGCGGGCGCGGGTCGGCACCCTGTACCACGCGGCGGGCCGCAGCGCAGCGATGGAGCTCGGGATGCGGCTCGTGCGGCCCAAGCTCGGCTGGCTGGTCGAGCGGGCGGCGGAGCTGCTGGCGGTGGCTCGCGCTTCCGGCGAGAGCAGCGGCGCAGTGCTAGTGCACTGCTGGCGAGGCGGGCTGCGGTCCGGGGCGGTGGCCTGGCTGCTGCGGCAGCACGGCATCGAGGCGAGGACGCTGGGAGGTGGGTACAAGGCGTTCCGGGCTTGGGCAACCGCCTACTGGGGCAGCGTCGAGATGCCGCCCAAGCACGCCCGCACGCGAGTGCGCGGCGCGCGTCGCCCAAAGAGAGACGGCCGCAAGTCCGGCGGCGCCGGCGGAGCAGGAGGAGTCCCTGCTTTGGCGGCGGCGGCCTCCCAGGCCTCCCAGGCGTGCGAGGGCGGCGCGGCGGCAGCAGGCGCCGCGGCAGCAGGCGCCGCGGCGGGCGCGGCGGCGGCAGCGGCGGCGGACGCGGCAGCGGCGGCGGCGGCAGGCGCGGCGATGGCAGAGGTTGTCGCCGCGGCTCGCGCGCTGCCGGGGCCGCGCGTGTGTGTCGTCGGCGGCCGGACTGGCGTCGGGAAGACGCGAGTGTTGCATGCGCTGCGGTCGCGCGGCGAGGCGGTTGTCGACCTCGAGGGCCTCGCGCGGCACCGCGGCTCGGCCTTCGGGTGGGTTGGCACGGTGGAGGCGGGAGGCGGCGCGCAGCCGTCGTCAGAGCACTTCACGAACCTTCTCGCGTGCGAGTGGCGGCGGCTCGAGGCGCGGGGCGAGGCCAAAGGCGGGCGCGGCCGCGGCTGGGTCTTTCTCGAGGACGAGGACTCGCACATCGGCCACGTCTCTGTCCCGAAGCCGGTCTACGCGGCGCTGCGGTGCGCGCCCCTGGTCGTGCGCGTCTCTCTGCCCGAGCAGGCGCGCGTTCGCCTCCTCCTCGACGACTACGTCGCTGGGCACGCTGACGGCCCAGCCGCCGGCGAGTGGCTCGCCCGCATGGAGGAGTCGGTCCGCACAGCTCGCCGGGCGGTGAGGAACCTCGGGACACGTCCACGACATGTCCACGTCCGGTAGGTGCGCAAGCTCACCAAGAGGCTCGGAGCCGCGCGCGTGGGCGAGGTGGTGGCGGCGATGCGCGCAGGCGACTTCAGCGCCGTGGCGGTCGCGATGCTGCACTACTACGACAAGCTCTACGACGCTCACCTCGCCAACCACGGAGGGACCGGCTCCGGCGGAGGCTCGCGCGCAGGCCGGTTGGTCGAGGTCGCCCCGGCCGACCCCGCCGCCGCCTTCGACGCGGACGAGCTGGCCGGGCTCGTGCTGCGCCGCGTGCGCGAGGCGGAGAAGGCCGAGGAGGCCGAGGAGGCCGAGGCGGAGGAGGCCGGGCGGGCGGGGGTGGTGCCGGGCGGGTGCGAGGGAGTGATCGCGGGCTCAGGCGTAGATTGGGGTGCAGTGGTGCTGATTGGCGCCCTTGCCGCCGCGTGTATGGCCGAGCGTCTCCTGCGAAGGAGCTGATCTCTGGGCTCTGGCGTCTGGGCCAAAATCCCCAGAATTTTTGATCTTGAAATTGAATCCACTCACACAAATAAAGAAATATTGGGACGACGACATCACAGGCGATGCCGGCAGACCGTGAGAGCGATACCGCAATGATGTTTTAGGACTGTGTCTCTGTGATGCATGAAGATGAACCGAAGCCTCGGCGTGGAGAAAAAGAGGAGCGGGGCCCGCGGAAATGTTCGGGGTTGTGCCGCCTCGCGGACCATAAGCCGCTGTCGCGCGCGACACCCCCTCCGGCGCTGCGGGAAAGAGCATCGAGGCTCCCGCGCCCCGCGCCGCCGCCGTGGGGACTACATGGCCACCGCTACCTTGTTCTCCGGCGACCCTGCCGCACCAGTTCGGCTGAGCAGCAGCAACAGCGTGTCGTGGGCCCGCACCTTGGCCTCGAAGCGGCGCGAGAAGGTGCCGAGGCTCTGCCTCGCCCACACGTTGCGCGCGCCTGCCGTCTCGCCGTGCGTCCACCTATCGTCCGGTGGGCGTCCTCAGACTTGGCGCTCAGCGACGGTGCCCCCGCACGCGGTGCAACCCAATCGCATCGAGGCAGACTGCCAAGGAGGCGGTGTGGTTGCCCCAGTTGGTCAGGGCCACCGCAGAGTCGCCGTTTGACAAGCGGCGGACCCACGCCTGGGGAGGGGAGGGGAGAGGGGACGCAGGTGGGCAGAGGTCCCGCAGCGCCCGGAAATCGCGGTGGGGCGGCGGAGTCAAAGTGGATTAACTCAGGTGAATCAGGTCTCGCGGCGGGACGGCTGCACCTCTTGAGAAGAGCCGTGGCAGGAGGGCATCGCGTCGCCTGGCACCGCCTTGTAGTCTTGGTTGATGGCGATGGCCTCCTTGTTGAGCAGCAGCTCCTGCGCGGGGCGGGAGAGGGCGTCGTGATCCGGCCTGCTACGCGTGCTCCACACCCCGCCGCGCCGCCGCACCTTCATGATTGGAGTCATGAGCCGGATGTCCGTGCCGACCATCAGCGGGGAGGAGACAACCACGTAGAGCGAGGCCTCGGTGCGGTACTCCTCCTCGCTCATCCCGGGGCAGTGCTCCGGCTTTGTCCAGTTGCAGTGTCCCTGGTCCGACTCTGGCCCAACGCACTGGTCCTTGCAGCCCTGCCCGCCCGTCATCATCATGTCGAGGTAGGCCCACCCAAACGGCCCGCTCCAGCTCGCCTTCCCGCGTACAGCCTCCACCTGCGGGCAGAGCTCGCTGGCGTGGCTGAGTGGCAGGGCAGCCGCGGTCGAGTGGCAGGTCAGCCCCAACCTGCTGCCTCACGCTCGCAAAGTTGTCGTGGTGGTCGCCCGTGGCGCGCCAGCCCTGGGCGATGCCCGGCGCGTAGCCCCAGTGATCTTGCTGCTGGTACGGGCCGCGGCAGAGCATGTACGACATCGGCCGGCCGGTCGCGTTGAGGGCGCGCGACATGTTACGGTGGCCCTCGACCGAATCGTGCGAGCCACAGTAGTCGATCTTGACATAGTCCACGCCCCACGCCGCGAAGGTGCGCGCATCCCTCTCGTAGTGGCCGAATGACCCTGGTGACCAGCCACCGTGGCACGTGCGATCGCCCACGCTCGTGTACAGGCCGAACTTGAGGCCGAGCGAGTGGACGTAGTCAATCACAGGCTTCATCCCGTCTGGGAAGAAGCGTGGGTACGGCACGAGCTCGGCCGTCGCGTTGTCTCGCGTCGGGTGCCAGCAGTCGTCCAGGACGACCCAATCGTAGCCGAGGTCCTTCATTCCGCTCAAGACCAGCGTGTCGGCCATCGCCCGAATCTGGCCGTCGAAGCAGTGGTCCTCGCCGCACTCGCCAACGGAGCACCACGTCTGCCAGCCCATGGGAGGGCGCTCGCCCATCCCGTTGTTGTACGCACTCACGGCCGTGGCGAGGGCGGCAGCGAGGGCCGCCATCGTGTAAGTCTTTGTAACTCTTTTTTCTTTCTCTTGGCCCGCGAAAGAAAAAAGAATTCGCGGCACAGCAGTGGGTTTGGGTTGACGGCCCTCTCACTCCTCCTAGCATACATGGCTTCGGGGGGTGCGCTCGCAACGGAGGCGAAGGGCTTGCAGCTGCACCTCTCGAGCAGCAGCACGGGCTACAAGCTGCAAGGGCGTGCAAAAACGCGGGTTCCTGCCGATTCGCTGCCAATGCGTCCGGAGGCGTCATGCGCTACCTGGGCCTCTTCGACACCGCGGTGGAGCCGTGGAGGCGAGAGGCACTCGTCAACCCTGCGCTCCGAGCCGCTTGGGCAGAGCTGTCGAGAGCCCTGGCATTGCAAGCTCGACACCTAGCGAGCCCAACTGGGCCTTTGCAAGTCGAGCCGCTCGGGCTCATGAGCGACGCCGCCACCGAAGTTGAGAGCATCTTCAATGACGGAGGCCAACTCAGCAGCCTGAGTCAGCTGTCGTCGCTCGCCACGCCACTCTCCGCCCTCCGCAAGAGCTGCCCTTTGCCAGGGCAACTACGAGAGGCGCTTGCGACGGGCGGGGCGGCCTGTTCTCGGCTGCTCCAGCTGCTGCCGCTCCTTCACGTGCGGACATTTCTCGTCCACCCAGGGGAGCGTGTCGACGCAGTACTCTTCCCACCTTCGTCCGCGTTGCCGTTTTCCGTGTCCCAGGTCGAGTGCGTCGGGGAAGGGGCTGTCGCCGAAGAGCTGCGCCAGCTGCTCTCGTCTGTGCAGTCCGAGCTCCCGTCAGGGACAGGAGGAGTCGTTGCCGCTGCCATGGCAGCTGGAGCCGCTGGCTCAGCTCCGGTCGAAGCTGAGTCCTTCGCAGCCGAGTCGGCCTCGCCGGTGGTGGAGGCGCTGAGCGATCGGCTGCAGGCGTGGCTATTGCAACTGCAGCTCGCAATCCAGCGCTGCCTAGTCGTGGTGGGGAAAGCTCGTGCGTGCGCCGCATCAGCAAGAAGCGCCGTTACCCGGTGTGGCGCCGATACTCTTGACGGTGCGGATTGCGAGGAACGGCGCGTGGCAGAGGACGTCTCTCTCCTAGCTTCAGCTCTTGCCTCGCTCCTCTCTCTCTCTCCGGGCAGCAACCGTGGTGGTCTCGACGCGTGCGCAGAGGCCACACTGCCACCGGGTTGCACCATTGGCGGAGCGCCGACTGTACAACCCCAGTCACCGCACCCGGCCACGACCATGTCGCCGCCACGTTGGCTACGTCACCTGGCGCTCGATGGTGACTCTCCGCAGTTTGTTCGGCTGCCGCCATCCGCGCCGTTGACGCGTGCGCGCCTGCGAGACGGAGGAAGGGACGCCACTTGCGGCGCACCATCACTGGATGCGGCAGCGGCGATTGAGTCGGCCGTTGGTTCTGCGGGTGCCTACCTTGCGTTGCTCTCCGAGCCGACCCTCTCGCACTTACGGGCGGCGCACGCTCAGGTAGGCGGCTCACTGCTGTTGCTGTCTTCCTCTTGCGAATCCAGCAGGCCTGCCGCGACAGCAGCGTTGAAGAGACTGTCGCCAGCGATGGAAGCGGCAGCTCATACCGGCGATGTGGAAGGCAAGCACGGGTGGTGGATGAGCGTAAACGAGCCGCAGGATGTTGCTGGGCAGCTACTGGAGTGGGCTCTGGGCAAAGACTCACCCGACAATAACCTGGAAGCTAAACGGAAATGGATCTTTGACACCCATTGGGAGGATGGGCCGTCGTTTCCACCTCAGCGGCGTCCAGAGCAGCGCTCAGGTGAGGCGCCGGCATGGGCGCAAGCGAGAGCAAGCTCCACTTTGACTTGCACAACGCCGGCTGGCTTTTTAGTGCAGGCCGAGGCCGCCCGGCTTGAATTGCAGGCGTTGAACGCGCGCGCTTCGTTGCGCAACCTCGTCGGCGCGCGCTGCCCTCCTCTCGACGATGCGCGGTTTGATGCTATGTTCGAGGCGCGCGTCTTAACTCCAGCGAGAGCCCTCGCCGCGCTGCCCGTCGGTGCTGCCGTGGCTGTTGGAGCGCCGCTCATGCGACTCTCCGCTGCGGTGGCTCTTGCCTTGCGCTGGCTGCGACAGGAGGAGGAGGAGTGTCAGGAGCGCGGTCGAGAAGCTTCCGAAGGCGCCACTCAGTGGCCAGGCAGCTTGTCGGCGGAGCGGGCAATCGGGAATGGTGATTGCCGCAGCGACGAGTGGCCTGCCGAGGTGCGGGCGCTCGCCGACGCGGCGCTCCTCAAGTCGGGCCTCGCCACCGACCCTGATGTGCTCCACAGGCTCCGCGTCGGCATGCAATCGGGCGCGACACCGGCTCTGTCTTCACGAGAGGCATCCGTCAGCGGCAGCGGGCCAGCCTCAAACGACAACGAGATTGTTGCCCTCGTGCGTGAAGCCTTTGGTGCGGGCTCGCCGTGGGTTCAGAGCGGCGGTGGCAAGGCGCTGCGCCTCGCCATGGATCACGCAATGCGGGCGGTGCAGCACGAGGGTGCCCCTTGGGCTTGGCCACGGCGCGATGTGCTCGCTGGCGAGCGCCCCCCGCTTGTGATCGAGCCTCCCTTTGTCGCTCCCCGGGCGCAGCACGTCCCGGAGCAGCTCCTCAGCCGGCTCCTCGACGCAGGCGAGCCCGCCGACCTGCAGCGACTCGAGCCATTCCTTGACGTTGTGGCCTTGCGCGATCTACGCTCAATGGATGATGCAGCACTTCGCGACCGGGGGGCAGAGTGGCGTGAGCGTGCGGCCTTTGAGGCGCGCCTTGACGCGGCGGCGAGGCGGACGGCAGCGGCGCGCGACGATTGTGCGAAGCTCTCAAATGATGCGGACGAGGCTATCCGCGTCGCCGCGGTCGAGCGGCGACTAAAAATGCAGCACGAGGCCGACCGCTTGCAAGAGGCGCTCGTCAACGCGGAAGCCTCAGCGCACTCGCTCGAGGGCCGCGTGCGTGAGCGACTTGCTACCGAGTTTCGCGCGGCCGTTGCCGAGCGGACCTCACAGCGGCTAATCGCGCAAGGCCGGCACGAGGAGGAGCAGCTGGAGCAACGAGCCGCCTTTGATCGAGCCGCGTTCAATGCGAGGCGGGAGGCGGCTGTGCGGCTCGTTGAATCGAGCTCGGTGCCGGTCGAGGCGCGGCGGCGCGAGTTTGGCGCCATGCACGACGAGGAACGCCTGCAAGAGCTGATTGATGAGAACTGGCGGCTCAAAATCTTGCTGGCGCGGCTGCAGCTCTCGGATGACCTGCGGCGAGTGCGCGAGGAGCATGCCGCTGAGGAGGCGGAGGCCGAGCGGCGCGTCGCCGCGCGTGCAGAGGAGGAGGTGGCGGAGCGGCAGGCGGCGACCGAGCGCGCGACTCTGAGGTCGACCCACCGCCTCGCCGAAACGGAGAGCGCGCTCGAGCGGTCAAAGCAGGAGCTGGCGGCGCTGCAACAAAAGCTCGCCCGCATTGGCCGCGCCAATCTAGCTCTCGGCAGGAGCAAGGCGCCGGCAGAGACTACGAGTCAAGCTTACGGACACACCGCAAGGTCGCTCCGCCGCTCCTTCGAAACACTGGACGGGCTGACGGCATCGCTCGACGCCACGCCGAGGCGGCCAACTCGGGCGGTGGCGGCATCGCCGCCAGATTCGCCGCGTACGCGAGAGCCGAGGAGGTGCCAAGTCCAGCGGGCGCACAGGCAGTCCCTGTCGCCGCGCGCAGGCGGGGCCCCGCGCATGCCGCCCGTTTCGGAGAGGCCGGCACCTGGAGCGGGAGCTGCGGGATCGGGAGGCTCGCCCCGCCGATTCGTGCGCTCGGAGAGGCGGCGGGCCGTGACGCTGAGGGGCGTGCCCGCCTTGGCGGAAACAGCGCCTTAGTCTTGCTTTACACGACGTCCCATGAGCCATGTTCGCCCTAAAGAAAGAAAGAAAAAAGACAACCCAAATGAGGCATGGGAGGAGGACAGGGTGGTCCCCACCTGCACGAGCAGGATTTTGGATGTTGCAGTGGAGCACTTGGAGCACTTGGAGTGCAGTCAGCAGCCGCACATCCAGGGCCGGGGCGCCGGTGTATTTCTTTATCCCGCCTGCGCCTGGGTTCCAACTTTTTCCGGGGTATGGTATGGTAGGGTCGCGGCCCAAAGGGGTAGGGGGTATGGTCCTGCCCGCCCAAGACTAGCCCTACCATACCCCCAAGCAGGTCTGCCAGCAGGCGGGGGGGTATGGTCTTGAGCTGGCAGCTAACCATACCATACCCCGGAAAAGTTGGAACCCTGTCGCCGGGAGTGTCGTGCCATTAGATGCTCTCCCAGTCCGAGTTCGAGCGGATGGCACGTCAGTTCGCCCTTCTGCATCACACGGCCCCGACCTGGGCCTGGTTCGAGCCCGGGCCGTTATCCGACTCGGGCGCCTTTGCGCCTCCGCCTGGCTTCCTCCGCTCAAGTCCGATTGTTGTGCAGCCTCCGATCGCCGCCCGCAGGCAGGGCGGAGAGGAGGAGGACCCTCCGGTGCTGGAGGAGCCAATCTGCAGCACGGCCGACTCATCTGCACTCGACGTGTCTGCGCTGGACGACCAGCCGCAACCCGACCTGCTGAGCATACACATCTGCCGCTCCGCCACGTACCAGACGCCGCAGCTGCTGCTGCTCGGCTGCCATGGCTCGAACGGGCGGCCATGGGACGTCGACGAGGCACGTGCGTACCTACAGAGGCAGGCGAACGGCTCGCAGCCTCTGCCGGACCAGATGCTGACGCCGGCAGAGCACCCAGGCCTCGGGCTGCCGTGCGTCGCACTGCACGCGTGCCACACAGCCGAGCTCCTATCGCCAATGATGCGCGACGCGGCATCGTGCTCGCGCGAAGGGGGCAGACCACCGCTGGACCTGCTTGGCGCGTGGTGGTCCCTCGTTGCGCCTCTGCTCGGCTTGCGCGCTCAGCCAGGCCCCCAACACACCGTGAATACATAAACACGTGTCCATGCCGCATGCGGGCATCGGCAAGCATTTCTTACTAAAAGATTTGTGTTGAGAAATGCTTACCTGCACCTAAGAGGGTCTCGTGGATCGTCACAGTATCTTTAGTTGGTGCCTCATCTGCGCAGGTACCGCCTGACCGGTGGCGTGCCGCTTGGCCGTCTGCACTCGCTCAAGGCGTAGGTGAGGATCGCCTGCTGGTCGTCCTTGAGCGAGCGCAGCTGCTCTCGCAGTAGCCGCTCGAGCACGTCGTACTGCTCGACGAGGCGCTCGCACGCGACGAGGGTGGTGGGCGAGATCTGGAGCAACTCACGCGCTTGGTGGGCGGTCGGCTGCCGAGGGGCAAAGGCGAGAAAGTCAAGGATGTCTCGCCACCGGTTCCCAGGCCGTTGCATCAGCACGTCCTCGTAGAAGAGCTCGAGGGTGCGCGCCTCGGGAATAGCGTCGCGAATGGCCCTCCGGTGCCGCGTGATCATGGCGACGTAGTCCATTGTCAGGCCCGCGAGCGCCTCCGGCGATACCTGGATGCGGTCGATCTTGCCCGTGCCCGCGGCGCTCTCTTTCTGCGCCTTTGTGTGGTGCACGCCCGTGATTTGCATCCGCTGCACCGAGATTGCGCGCCGGATGACGGACGCGCGGATCAAGTGCAGCACCTGCCACCGCCGCTCGACCGCGGCGGACAGGAGCGCATCGGCGCCACCCCTGGGAGGCAAGAGCGGCAGCATCACCTTCATTCCGCGGGACGCGCGCGAACAGCATGATGGCTCTCCGCTGCAAAGCTTCCGCGGCGGTGGTATGCGGCAGGGCGGCTTGCGGCATGCCCCGTCCCGGTGCAGCTCCCAGGGCGCCGTGGAAAAGGCACTGTCGAGGTCGTGCAGCACGCGCTCGGCGCTCTGGCTGTGCGTCCAGTTTTGCCACAGCGTCATCGGCGCCACTTTTGTGGGAATCCAACCCTGCAGGACCGTCAGCGGCTCGGCGGTGACGGTAGCGACGCAGTTGTACCGAGCCAGCTGCTCCATGAACCAGGTCGAGCCGGCTCGGCCATAGGTGAGGACGAGGAAGTTGCCGCTCTCGCCGCCGCCGTCGCCCACGCTGCCCCTGCTCTTGTTGCCGCCCGCCTCGCTACCGTCGGAAATTTGCAACGCCGCGCCGCCCCGCGGCGAGGGTTGCCTGCGTCCGGACACCAACAGGCCCATGTACGGCGCCGTGACGGCGGCGGGTCCTCTGAGGTTGGCAAGGCACAAGCGGTGCAGATGCCCGCTGGAGCTTCGAACTAGCCAAGAAGTGCCCCGCAGCCTCAGTGATGCGAGCCATCGCCCAGCGTCCGTCCCAGCCAGCGATGGCGCGGGCTTGAGCGCCTGCACGCTTTCCGCGTTGCTCCTGCCCCACGGCACGCTATCCATGCGGTACGCGACAGTCCCTTCGGGGTCGGTGCGGTACTCCGTCGAGCACGGGCCGGCGGGCTGCTGTTCGTACGCCTGCTCCAGGTGGGCACGGTGGTCTTCTCGGTAGTCCGAGCTTGCGCAGTTGCCGGTGAAGGGGTCGGCCTCAGACCGACAGAGGGAGCAGCGGATCGGGAGAAGACTGTACGCCAGAGAGCTCTCCTTGGAGCGCTTGCAAAAGGCTCGCACCGCGTCAAACTCCGCCCACATGGGGAGAGCCGTGGCCGTGGGGAGATCCGCGGGCAAAGCTCTGCGGTGAGGCGCACGCAGAAAGGTGCAGTTGGCCCGCGCGGCTGACCGATTGGTGCAGCGACGGTGCAGCAGCGCATGACGGCTCCCCACCGCGAGCTGTGGCCGCGCAGCCTCGCTGCGCTGCGCAGCGGGCACACCGAAGCGATCAAGCTCTGCCGCGAGCCGCGAGGTTGGACCGGCAGTGAGCCACCTCAGGTAGGTGGCGAAGCGAGCCAGCGCCTCGGGAGATAGGATTAGGACTGCACGACCCGCGAGGGCCGCGACACTCGCGCCGTGCGACGGACTGCTCCGCACGACGTGCAGCCAGCGCTTGATGTCCTGGAAGAGCAGCACGTTGCGTTCGACGAGGACGAGCGCGGTGTCTGGACGAATATCCGGCCTCTCGCGGATCACCTCGCGCAGTATCAGCCAGCGGCGGATATTGCGCTGGACTGTGGAGTCAGACGACGTTCCGTGCCGGGCTGCTAGGCGCGCCCAGTGCTCGGTGGCCTCCTCTGCACGTGTCAGGTTGGCCCAATTCGCGCCCACGGAGAGCACGGCATGCTGAGTCCGCGGCGGCGAGATAGCTAGCACGTGTCCCTGCGAGCCCTGCAACTGTCGTACAGCGAGACTGATATCGGGGGTTGGGTTCTCCGTCACAAATGCGATCAGGCCCGGGTGGAGGTCCTGCACTTGCGGCGGGTCACCGACCGTAGCTGCCATGTACGATGGAGGATGCGGCTGTGGCGGTGGTGCTATGTTGGGTCGCCTGCCTGCCTTGCACAGCGGCCAGCCGCGTCGCCCCCAAGCGATATGTGACTCTCGTTGACACGCAACAGGGAACGGCCGCGTTTTCCGTTTTTTTACCGGGTACGAGTATGTGGCTCTTGCGAACGTACCCTCAAATCAAACTCAAAGGTTTTCAGTGTATGTAGCTCTTACGAACATACCCGAGGGTGGACTGCTGACAGGGTTTGCGATGAGAAGCGATCCGAACGTGGCATTCGGGTTTTAGGTATGTTGTTGATTAGATCACTACCGCCGTAACGCAAGAGCACTGCGACGGATCGGGCTCATGCTAGCTTGTTTCCCAAATTTTACAAACAAGAATTCCCGTTGCACAGCCGCCAAGGTCCGACCTGGTCCTGGCCTGTGCATGTGTGTATGTGTCTCGCAGCCGGCGACACTGGCCCATTCTCGCACGCGCTGGCCTCGCTCGCCGACAGTCAGTACACGAGCAGCGACGCCTTCCTCCATGCGTGTGGGCTCCTTCGGAAACTGCTGCTGAATGCCGCCGACCCGGCGAAACGGACCCTGCGCCGCGCAAACCCGCGCGTTGCCGCGGAGCTATTGAGTGTTGCTGGTGTTGAGGCGGCGCTGATCCAGCTCGGATTCCGAGACCATGGCGATGAGCTGACCATCACGGACGAGGCCGCTGCAGATGTCCACAGTGCGGTTGCTACAGTCGATTGCGCGGCAGGTAGCGTGCGTCGCCGGGCGCTGGTGTTGGCCTTGAGGCCGAGCGACCCTCTTGGCTGGAGCGCTGAGCTCCACGATCCCGCCATCCTGATCTTCAATCCCAAGTTCAAGGGAGCCGTCTTCGACTGCACACCACGGAACGGCGCGCCTTCGGGCGTGATCGCCTTCCACAACTCGCCGTTTAGCAACTTTTGGCCCTGCGGCGCCGGTGTGACTGTGAGCCATCGTGGCATGAGGCTGCGATTCGCCACGTCAGAGGCGCTGCTCATGGCCTTCAAGCAGCATTTGCTCGCTCCGAGCGGTGGCGTGCCGCCACACGAATCGCTGGCGGACGCCCTTCGCACGCAAGCTACGATCCGTACTGCGGCCGAGTCGAAGGAGGTGGCCGCAAGAGCAACGAGGCGGGTGGCCGACTACACGTGGTGGGGCCACCACGGGGTGCACGTACTGGTGGGGTCGGTCGTCTGCCTGCTCAAGTTCTCGCAGGACGAGGGCCTGCGCCGCCTCCTGCTCAGCACGCAAGGCGTCCTGCTGATTGAGGCTGCGCCGCACGACGGCGCGTGGGGCGTCGCAGCAAACTCATCAAACGCTCTGCAGGCGCCGGCGCTCGCTCGCACGTTCGGCCTGTACTCGGTTCAGCAGTCGCCATTCGAGTTTGAGTCGCGCGAGGGGCGGGTGCACACTCGGCTATGTTGTGAGGCGAACGCGCTGGGGAAGGCGCTCATGGTCGCTCGAGCCGCGATCCTTGCAGGCGTCGAGGCGACGTCGGGCATGGAGCTGAGGAGCGCCTTTGCCGCTGTTGCGAGGCACCTGCGGCTTCTCGCGCTGCCGTGTGACTGGCGCGCGGCGGAGACGCATCTGGAGGACTCCTTGTGATCGTACGCTCTATTGTACAAGGACTGCGTGAATTCTTTTTCTGTGTTAGTCTTAGTGCCAGTGCGCGCCAGTCCCGTGCCTAGTGTCGTGAGAGCGACGGGGTAAAATTCTTTTTCCTCTGGAAGGCGGCGAACGACGAACGTGCTTCGTGCTGAACAAAAAATTTAAACAAAACAACTCTCTCTCACAGCTATGACTGGCATGTTGTGCGAGTATATGGGACAAAAGCGTCGAAAATGTCCCAAAAAGCGTGTCTCGAGTTTGTGGCAGCTCCGCAGCCAGCGCGGGCTGCCGGGACGCACCACTTGCTGGATCTGTGCACTCCCTGGGTCCCAGGGAGTGCACAGATCCAACAGGAGTGAGTAGGCTCGACGCCGTACTCGAGATGGAGCTGCCACAAACTCGCCGCCGAGCGTGCCATCGAAGGCGTCCCGGCGGAGGTGATGGAGTGTGAGACCTGAGGCTGCGGAGGTGACGCCTGAGGTACCGGTCCGTGCACAGCGACTCAGCCGGCGACCGCCACGGGCTCAGACGAGACCTGTCGACGCGTTCCGGCTCAGCTTCACCGTGGTCATCGGGCGTCTGTCGACGTCAGGACCACCCATACAGCTCGCGGGTGTGAGGTCGCAAGAGCCAAGATGGTGGCGTTTGGACATCCCAACCATCACACAAGACAGCCTGTAGGTGATGGCGGGACGGCGCAGTGTTTGTGGCACTCGGCAGTAGGCACCCGCGGCACGGCCCCGCTGTTGGCTCTCGCGGGCTGCGGAACCGGCCCCAGAAGGGGACGGTCCGGGCGAGTGTGGCAGCTCCTGCGCTAGTATGGGCACCCTCTATCATAGCACTACTGATCCTGGTCATTAGAGCTGCCAGGGATAGCGTCAGGAGCCGGTAGGAGTCAAAACCCCTCATATTTGAGACACCGTGTCCCATATACTCGCACAACGAGCCGACTTTGGACCTTTGCGAGAGGTGGCGAGCGGAGCAAGCGCGGTGTAGGCGCGCCCACGCGGCGCAGCGGCTCTCCCGCGACCATAGCCCCTCCCGCAGCCGCAGCCGCGTAGCCGCAGCCCCAACTCTTGCTGCTCTTCTAGTGTCGGGTAGTGACCAGGGGGTGAGGGGACGGATTGAAGATCCCTCACACCAAGATCGTGCAGGGCGGGGACACATGTCCCTAAATCCCATCTCGTCTCAGAGTTTGACCGTTTTTATTTATTTATTTATCTCTCACAGCACACAGGCTCGACACAGGTGCGAACTGGCGTGCTAGTACTATCACCGGCACACAACACCACTAAGGTCTAAGCTGACGCGGGCCCAGTACCTCGACGAGGTGACTTGGACCACCAAGAATTGGCTAGGGCTGCAGGAGCAACGTATCTTCGTTCTTCACAGCACACAGATCACAGTGCCATCGGCATCGCAGAGCAGAGATTGTGAATGAGCTTGCCTGCGGCGAGGGCGGTAAAGTGAGCTAAGTGCCTCGCCGTCCTCGCAGGAATCGCTTAGGCGGCCGGAAAAAATGTTTTTTCTTCTGAGCAAATAACGCTTCCCCGACGGCAAGGCCACCCCACCAGTGGCGCGCACACCGGAGATGCCCATGCAGACGTCACCGCCACGTCCCTCGCCTTGCCGCCGTCTCATCAACGCGTGCTATTCGGGACGCCAGCCGGGTCCGCTGGAGTCGCCCGCGATGGCGTCGTACAACCGGTTCCTCTCCGGCCACGCCATCCATCTGCGGCAGAGCCTTCCCGTCTCAGAGGTTGAGCGATGCGAGGTTGAACTTAGCGGCAGCATGGGGAAGCGGACGGCCGCCGCGTCCTCCCTCCTCAGCCTCCACGAGTCCTTCCTCCCCGAGGCGGCGCCGTCCGACGACTTTGAGACGCTGCAGTCCCGCGTGGAGGCAGCAAGGTGCAAGGTGCCGGGATGCGGGACGGTCCTGAACCTGGTCGCCGCCTTCAACCTCGCCTTCCGGGCGCTCCTCTCCTTCGACTCCGTGCTCGGCTGCGTGATTGCAGTCGCGTCGGTCATCTTGTACGGCCGCGGCGGCGCCTCGGTGGGGCTCTCGTTCGGTCTCGACTGGAACCTGGTGTCGATGGCGGTCATCTTCCCGATCTCGCAGTGCATCGGCTGGTCCTTTGGGCGGCGGGAGATGGCCCTCTCGCTGCTGAGCACGGTCATGTCGCTCGTGACCCGGCTGTGGAGTGCGGTGCACACCTGGAAGGTCAAAGACGGCGGCGAGTGGAGGAGGATGAGCGAGCTGCTCGAGCCGCCAGCGGGGCGAGAGCAGCTGCACGACCTCTTCGGCCGGCTGCTCTCGACGCTCGTCGCCTACTTCGCCGTCCCCCGCTACATGCGCCTGCGGCACGTCATGCGCCTCTACGGCGCAGCAGAGGACCAAGCGCGGCGGCACGCGCTTGCCAACGAGTTCAAGCTGCTCGTGGACGGCTCCCTCTCGCAGCTGCAGGCGCGCAGGGGCAGATACGCGGGGCCTCCCGGACGAGCCCGTCGCCCCTCCCCCCTCCCCTCGCCACCCCCCCCCCTCCCTCCCCTTCCGCAGGCGCTCGTGCAGGAGCTCAAGACGCGAGGCCTCCAGACCAGAGAGGCGGGCCCCGGCTCTTCCACGAACCTTCTCGGGAGCGGCTCGGAGCCTTCCCATAGGCCTCCCGGGCGGAGAGGCGCACCGGCTCGACTCGTACATCTCGCAGATCGGCATCGCGTGGGAGCAGCTCACCGCCATCAAGGAGTACCGCACGCCGCAGGCACTGCGCGCTTTGTTCTTGTCCATGTCAGTTGATGTGAGTTGAGTCTAGATCAAGGAGCGCCGCACCGCAGGTGTTCCGCGCCTTCTCGCGCGTCTACGTCCTCATCATGCCCGTGCTGTACGGCCCATACTACGCCTCCATCGTCGAGGAGGCGGAGCAGTCTGGCGACGACCCCGACCGCGCGCTCCTCTTCGCCATCCTGTTCGCGTGCGCCGTCCAGCTCGCTTCGGCCGGCCTCGTCAACCTGATGATCGCCCTCGAGGACCCCTTCGCCCAAAAGACACGCTTCGCCGGCAACTTCGACCGCATACGCGTCTCGGAGATCGCCGAGGCCACGCGGAGGCACTTGCTGCTTGTCGAGCAGCAGGCGCCAGACGGGTGGGTGACCGCCTCCAGGCAACCCTAATACGTAAGGACAGTCATCCTCCTCGCCGTGGGCTCCGAGTCTGTAGTTGGTTGTGTTGGCCGTTGTGTATTCGTCATATTACATGATAAAAGAGACGACATTGGATGACGCTGTCCCCCGAGTTATCGCCAGTTATCGCTCTCCCGCTCTCTCTTCCTCTCAACTCGTCGTGCGCTCTCGTTCTGAGAGACGGCTGCGAGTAGCCTCGCGTGTTTAGCCTCGCGTGTTGCCCTGCTGTGCTGGTCCAGACACACTGCCCTGGCGCGGCCCTACCAAGGCTCGCGAGACGCCTCGCACTGCGCGCTGCACCGTCAGACCTCGCGAACCGAGCAGTCGATCCTCGAGCTCGTTCCGGCGCCTATCTCGTAATCGATCAGCGACATCGGGTCCATCAGCGGTTTGCCGTCGAGCCGCAGCTCCTGCGGGGTGGGGAGAGGGGAGGGACGAAGGCTGGGCGACAGACGCCGCGGCTGGGGGTTGGGATCGCGACTCGCGTAGCACCAGCTGGGCGTCCGCGTAGACTCCGCGCAGCGAGTCGGCAAAGTGCTCTCGCGCCAGCAACTTGACGTACTCCACTGTGAGGCCGACGTCGACGCGCGTCTCCCACTCGGCGCCCTCGAAGAGCAGCAGCAGCGAGGCCTCGCCGAGGGACACCCCCGGTCCGCACAGCCCAGGTCCAGGAGCCCACCCCCGGTCAGCCTCCATCGACTCGCGCTTCTCCTCGCTGCTCGGAAGCCTCCCCAACTTGGGCACGGCCGAGTCCAGCTGGGCCAGACTCAGCGCCTCCTCCCAGTCCAACGCCGCGTTTGCACTCGATTGCAGCACGCTGAGGAGCACGCCAAGCTTCGCGGGGCCGCCGGCTTGCTGCAGCTTGCTGGACAGCTCCGACGTTTTGACCCGCCCGTCGTCGTCCTGTGCACACGCCTCGAAGACGAACCGCAGCGCATCTCGGTCGGCTGATCCATCCATGCCGCTATTGCCTCACCACCACGGCCAAAATCGTCGGCGGCAAAAAGAATTTTACTCGCAACACTGGGCACGGGACTGGCGCGCACTGGCACTAACACAGGTACACCACTGGAGCCGCCTCAAAAAGAATTTCGCTCGCTTGCGCACCCCCCCTAGCTAGGGGTCAGGGCTCTCTAGCCCGTAGCCCGATGCCGATCATCCGGCTCGCTGGGTGCGCTTCTCAGCTCCCCGGCCCTGGATGTGAGGTTAATGACTGCACTCCAAGTGCTCCAAGTGCTTGGCAAAACAAGACACAGAGCTCACACAGAATCACAGCAAAAAGAGGTGATTAGTAACTGAGGAACTCTCTCTCTCTCTCTCTCTCTCTCTCTCTCTCACAGCAGACATCGTCGACGAGCCGTTGCTTCCTGCCGATGCTCCGCCAGGCCGCGCGTCGGCTGCATCGCCAGCGGCAGGGTCTCCAACCACTGGCTCGCTGCAGTTGGCGTTGTGCTCGAACCGGTGGGCAGCTGGAAAGCTGTGGAGCTCGCTCGTGTCTGCGTACCCGCCGCGCGTCGCCGCTGCCGCCACCCTCGCGTTTCGCTCGCTGCCTGGCGCAACGGCGGACGAGGCGCCGCTGAGTGAGCTCGTGGGGAGGTTGTTGCCACCACTGGTCTGCGCACGCCTCTCTGCCTGGCCGGCAACCGCGGTGTTGCCGTACGGCGGGTTCGTGCAGTGGCTGGCAGATTTCTTTTGCGGCGCGTGGGACGAGGCTGCTGACGACAGCCCCTTTGCCTCCCTCGTGCGCCTCATGGCCCAGCCCACCACGCTGCGCTCGGAGCAGGACAGTCTGTCAGCGAATCCGAGCTTGCTCGAGGTGGCAGGATCGGCGCTGCTCCGCGACAAGCGGCGCTACCGCAAGCAGCCCAAGGCGAAGGCAACGGTGCCAGAGGACGCGGAGAGCCTCCGCAGCGACGCGCTCCACCGCCTTGCGTCGATTGTCGACTCGCTCTCTGCTCTCGAGCCAGGGGTGGAGGCGGGCTCGACGGCGGTGAAGGAGACACTCCGTGGCATGTTCGCTGCAACCTGCCGCGTCGAGGATGAGCACGAGCCGCTCCACGTCGTCCTCCCGCCCGAGCTGCACGTGAGCGCGGCCGAGGACGTCCTCGAAAAGACGTACCGGCTCGAGATGCAGGGGATGCTGCGGGTGGAGGGGCCGGACGCCCCAGCAGACATGGCCCACACAAAGCCCACGTTCGAGCACTTGCCACACGGTGGTGCCGTGCTGGCTTCGGGCCGCTGCACCTTTGACGATTGGGACTACTTTCTAGACGAGACGGCGCCAGATGCGTGGCGCGAATGGCTGCACTGCCTCCGCTGGCTCTCGGTGGGCAGCAGCAGCTCCGTCCTCTGCCGACCGGAGACGCTGCTCGAGTCTGGCGAGACCACCATGCGCTATGAGGTGCTGCTCGAGCGCGAATTCTCCGCCGGCGTGCTGCGGTGCGCGCTCACGGCGATGCAAAGCAACGGGGATGCAGATGGAGAGGCAGAAGCAGAGGGCGACGATGCTGACGCGATTGCTGCTGAGGGTGCGGGCGAGGACATGGCGGCGACGGAAGACCAGGACACAACAGACGAAACCGCAGCGGACTGCACCGAGGTGGCACGCGAAGGGGCTGAGCGGAAGGCGCCCCGCCTAGACTGGAGCTTGAGCGCACTGCAAGTGCAAATCTCTCCCTCGTTCGTTCCTCCCGGCCCGCTCGCGACTTGGCACGACACCGAGCCTTTCAAGCCACCGGACGGTGGCACAGAGCAGGAGGCTGAAGACGATTATAGGGCGGCAACACCGAGAGCCGACGACGGTTGAGCACTCGAGAGCACACTCACTCGCCGCACAGTGTACGTGCACACACACAACCGGGACCGCATGAGACTGCACTGATGTTTTCGATAGATGTAGATCCGTGCGAGATTACAAAATGGATCAACGAAAGGAGGCCGCGAGAGCCATGCCGCGAGCGCGGCGCGCGGCGACTTAGTGTCTTGTCTCTCTCTCCCTATATCCACAATCCAGTCCCTATCCAACCCCCCACGTGTCCTCGACCGTCCCACCTAGCAGCCACCCTCCCCACGCGTCCACCCTCCGTCCCATCTAGCAGCCACTCACAATGCATGCCGTCGCCGCCTCCCCCTCGCCGCCGCCGCCGCCCTCGCCGCCGCCACCCTTGCCGCCGCAGCCGGCAGCCCTCGCCGCCCCGCAGCCCTCATCGCCGCCTCCGAGCCCGCCGCCTCCCTCGCCGCCTCCAGAGGCCGTCGGCGTCGCCGCCCCCACCGACTTCTTGAAGACCCCCCTGACACCAAGATACCCGACGCGGCACGCCGAGAGTGCAAGCCAAAGACGGGCCAGGTGCAGGCGAACGCGCAGCTCGTCGCCCGTCTGCTAGGAAAGCTGCCGATGCAGCCGCACAAGTGCGAGGCCTATGGGTGGGCCCCGCCGTGAAGTCTGATCTCTGAACTGTGAGCCCCAGCCTGAACAGACCGGGCGGGCGGTGGCCGGCTGGCCGCGGGGGAGGCCGCGCAGGGCCGCGCACCCCGGGCGGTCCCCGCGCCCGCAGGGCCGAAGGTCGCCGGAGCGGAGCGAGCTCTCACAGTTCAGAGCTCACGAGTCAGAGGCTCTGCGCTCTCTCTGTGCGAGTTACGACTTACGCACTCTGCGTGTCGGACCGCGGCGTGCGTTGATCGTTTCAAAAGTGGGCGCGGTCAGAACTCAGATCACAGATGGTTCACAGTGTCACCTGCCCGCGCCTCCCCCGCGCCACACTCTCGCGGGCGGCGAAAGAAGAACCAGCTCGAGACGTGGTCTGCCGTGATGAAGACCTGGTGGACGTCGTCCTTCTGCTTGGCGACAAACTCGACGACGGCGCGGCGAACGCCCGGCCAGATGAGGTCGTGGCCCAACAGCACGCCGCCGCGGCACACCTTGCTCCACCATAGGCCCATGTCCTCCTTGACCGACCTGTAGTCGTGCCTCGCGTCCACGTAGACAAAGTCGAGCGAGCCGTTGCGCACGAGCTGAGCCGCCTCGACAGAGGTGTTGCGGAGCACACTCACGCGGCCCGCGGTGAACTGCCCCTCGAGCCGACTCTTGGTCTTGCTGTAGATGCCGTCAAAATCGCTCTGCGACGTGATGCAGTGCTTGTCCCGCTCATGCTTGACGCAAGGCTGCGCGAGGTACGGGTCAAACCCAATGTGCCGCCTGCCCGAGGGCCACGCCTTGAGAATCAGCTTGGAGAAGTCTTCTATCCAAACACCCAGCTCGGCAGAGTCGCCGCGGTAGCCAAGCTCCTGCATCAGCCGCGGCAACAGCAGCCGGTCGTCTTGCGGCACGTATGCGCAGGGCACGCCCGCATGCCGGACGTCGGGGCACACGAAAGCCTCGCGCCCCCTCCGTTTCCAGGGATACGTGTGGTGACGGCTGTTGAGGACGCGCCGCGTCGTCTCCTCCGCCCACATTGTGTAGTTGCTCACGCAGGGCGGCGCCGAGCAACTTGCTCCTGCGGCGTCGAGCATATATGACGACGAAGAATTAAACAACGGAGTGTGTAAATAAGTGCTGCCGAGCCCACACAGGACGGCGCCTCGTGCAGTGCGGGGTGTGAAATGCGGATTGATATGTGAACATGGGGAGGCGAGCTAGCCCCCGCACACAAGGCTAAACACAAGGGGGGGCCTAGTCGACGCGGAAGGCGTGGAAAACGCGTTGATATAGATGAATGGTGAAAGCAGAGAGTTTGGTGTTGGTTGTGCTTGCCCTTCGTGTTGGGTCATTCACGCTCAATAGCTGCAATTTGCTCTCCATGTCACCCGAGGCGGCGGCATGCGATTGCCCTACTCGAGAGGAGCCCAAAGTTGCTCTCGTTTATAGTTGGAGTAATAAAATACAGGCCTCTCGCAGAGCATGACACAACAAGGGCGCGGACTGGCGCAGACTAGCACACACACCGGCACATTATAATTGATGAGTGGTGGATGGTCTAGCACACACACCGGCACATTCTAATTGATGAGTGGTGGATGGTATTGCTAAAATGTGCGTGCTCCACACGCGGACGCACATCCTTCAACGACAACAACAAATTTCACCAATCTATTGTATCTTGCAATCTCTCCACACAAACCAGCCTCGTCCGGCACCACACGGAGGTATGCGTCCTTAGCTTTGCGCGACGGGCGCTGTCTGTGACAGTGGCTGGCACCCTGCAGGGAAGGCGACCTGTTCGGGACACGTTGTCAAGGGCACGCGGAGCCATCCCTGCGCGCGCCTGCGGAGAGGTCCTCATTACGGAGAGGTCCTCACATCAGCTAGGTCCTCACTGTGCGGTGCCCCCCCCCCCCCCTCCCCCCAAATTCTTCACCCAACTTCCCACCAACAACTACCCTCCATGCACCCTCCGGTCAGATCACGAGTGTATTTTAGGAAGTTCATGGGGCACGAGAGAGCCATACCCGTGACAACACTGTCGCGGCCAGAGGTCCTCTCACTACGGAGAGAGGTCCTCACACACACGCACGGCCACAGCGAGCGGTGTGTTCACACCTCCCGTGCGCACTCGCAGATCACCATGGGAGGAGCCAGGGCAAGCAAGAGAGAGCCACAGGGGGAGGCGAGCTAGTCCCCGCACATCAAGGCTAAGCCCAAGGGGGCGGTTGACCGTGTAACATGCGTTGATTAACAGGTACGATACATAGTGAAAGCAGCGAGTTTTGGTGCGTGGCGGTCATTTTGGTGTAGGTAGCTCGACACGAGTTCATTTTAGTAAATAGCTCGACACGCAATCCACTACATCATGATCAATCACCTTGCGATTTCTCCCTCCCTCAACCTTCTTCACGCTTTTGTTCACGCCTGACAGAGCTGCAATTTACTCTCCATGTCATCTGTAGGCACTGCCAGTGTGTCCTTGCGGCCAGTGTGTACTGTAAAACTCGGCTACCAAGCTCCCGAAACGAGCCCCAGAATGTATCTCGCTGTCCCCTCCTCCCCCCTCCCACCGTGGGACTCCCAGCCTCACACGATGACACGATCGGGTGTGCGCCGACAATCGCACCACCACAGAGACACACATGCGCATGCACACAGCCGCGGGCGATTGGCCGGTACCAACTCATAGGGAGCGCGAGAGTCGACAGTAGCTCCGGCTCTCGTCGCCGCGCCCCGACTAGCAAATGGGGCGCCACGCACGGCTCTTCTCCCCCCCGCCGGCGGCCGACGAGAGAGAGAGCGAGCGGCGCAAGAGGGCGCGCCGGCTAGCCGAAGACGCGGAGGGCAGCGCTGAAGGCGCCGTGGCTCAGCTGCGCGACCGGCAGCGCCACCGCCGCGCCGATCAGCGCCTGCTCAGCGCGCGTGTGCCGCGCGCCCGCCAGAGGCTGTGGGCGGGCGGGCCCAAACTCGAGGGGCGGGTTGCTCTGGCGGTAGTTTCGCTTGAGGCCGAGAGTGCCCGTCGCCTCGTCGTCATCCCGCTGCTGCCCGTGCCGCACGTACACGCCCGACGACACGTACTGCTGCGAGCCCGCCGCCCTCCCCTCCCAGCCCGCAAAGTACAGGCTGCCCTCCGCCTCCTCCGCACGCGCAAACCACTCGCGGAAGAGGGCACCCCCGCCGACCGACGAGGGCGACGCCGCGCCGCCGCCGCCGCCGCGCGCGCGCAGGGCCTCGTACCCCTCCGCCGCCGCGCGCGTCGCCTCCGCCCGCACCGCGCGGCAGAGAAGCGCCTCGCCGCCCGGCAGAGACTGTAGCGCGCCGAGCAGCGGCGAGGGAGGGAAGGAGTGGCGAGCGAGGGCGCGGCAGCGGCCGGGCGCGATCGGCTGCACGCTCACCTCCTCGCCCAGCCGCGGCTCGCTCGCCGACGACCGCGCCACCGTCGGGCCGTCGAAGCTCGCCTCCCCGAGGGCGGCGCCGGCAGACAGGGCGCGCAGCAGCGGGCTGGCGGCGGCGAGCGGCTCGGCGTCGAGTCGGTGCGCCACCACGGCGGCCCAGTCGCACTCGTAGTCGAGCACGGTGCAGACGGACAGCCCCTCCGCAGGGGCCTCGGGCAGCCGACGCCCGTCCGCCGAGAGGGCGTTGCCGCGCCACACCCACAACGCGCCCGCGCGCTCCTCGACGGCGTAGCTCTCGCAGCTGGCCGTCCTGGCGGGCACCTTGCCGCCGGGGATGGTGGGGATGCTCGTGCACCGACCCTCCTCCCCGAACGCCCAGCCGTGGTAGAAGCAGCGCAGCTGGCCCTCCTCGACGTCGCCCATCGAGAGCGGCGCCGACCGGTGCGGGCACACGTCGGCGACGGCGACCGGCGCGCCGAGCCGGTCGCGGTAGAGGACGATGGGCTCGCCAAAGAGGCGGGTGGCGAAGGGACGCTCCGTCCCCAGCTGCTCCGACAGCGCGACCGGGTACCAGCGCGCGGTCATGCCGCTGTGCCCTCGCGGCTCGGCGGCCGCCGCCGCCGAGCCGACCGCGGTCGGGAGAGAGAGCCCGAGCTCCGCCACCATGCACGGCGGTGGCGAGCGCGAGGCGGGCGCGGCGGGCGCGCGCGCCGCCGCCTGGTAGCCGGCAGCCAGCGCGATCACAAAGTGCTCCATTGTGTGTGGGCGAGCGAGCCGGCGCAGGGTGGTGAATTGCTCGGCTCGCTGTTTCATTAACGGTGCCACCAGTACACGCAATCACAGACAGGGACGCGGGATGCTGAAACGAGAGGAGAGAGACACGTGGGTTAGATTTATCTTTTAGATATCTTTCACCGCACACCGGCGCGGACTTTCTTTGTTTCTAGAAGGACTTCGGCGGCAGGCCGCCCCTCCTGTCTCTGTCAACCCCCGCAGCTCCGCGTCCCCCCCCCGCAATGGCAGCGGCCGCCCCGCCGGCCAGCGGTCGCGTCTTCCAGTTCAAGCTCGTGCTGCTCGGCGACAGCGCAGTCGGGAAGAGCTCGCTTGTGCTGCGCTTTGTGCGCGGGCAGTTCTTCGAGTACCAGGAGTCCACCATCGGCGCTGCGTTTCTGACGCAGACGGTCGCGCTCAACGACACGACCGTCAAGTTTGAGATTTGGGACACGGCCGGCCAGGAGCGGTACCACTCGCTCGCGCCCATGTACTACCGGGGCGCTGCTGCAGCAATCGTCGTGTACGACATCACAAACAGGGTGCGCGAGCGCGCGCCCGCTGCACGCGCCCTCGCGAGCGCGCCGCCCCGGCGCCCCCCCGGCCGTACCCCCCTCCAGCCATTCCCGCGCGAGGGCCGGCTCTGCACGCGCCTGCTGCGCGCGTCTGCCGCGCCGCGTGCGCTGCGCGCGCCCTGCGCGCGCGTCTGCCGCGCCGCGGCCGTCCTCCCCTGCGCCCGTCGCGGCCTGAGGAGCGTTCGCTGCCGCGCAGGACACGTTCCAGCGCGGGAAGCAGTGGGTGAAGGAGCTGCAGAGGCAGGGCAACCCAAACATCGTGATTGCGCTTGCGGGCAACAAGTCTGACTTGGCGTCCAAGCGCAAGGTGGAGCCGGAGGAGGCGGAGTCGTATGCGAGCGACAACGGCATCTTCTTCATGGAGACGAGCGCGAAGACGGCGACCAACGTGAACGAGCTCTTTGTCGCGATCGCGCGCAAGCTGCCCAAGAACACGCCACAGCCGCGGCCGGGCGGCTCGGGCATCGTGATTGCGGGGCAGAACGGGCAGGCTGCCGCGGAGGCGAAGAAGGGGTGTTGCTGAGGTAAAGGGGACGCGCGGGTTGCAGCGGTAGGGGCAGGAGCTGTTCGGAGAGAGGCCAGCGTGGAGAGATTGCGTGCCGGGCGAGGTAGGGTGTGCGCCGTCCATCTAGGGCCCACGCGGAGAGTGGATGCGTGCGGCTCGCCCAGCCGCGCACGCCCGACTGCCGACACGAAGCTATATTTTGCCGTGTGTACTTTCTGTGACCAAATATTAAAATATTTACCACGCACTGACTGACCCACTGAACTCTGTGTAACAGTCCTAACAGGGTGTGTACGCGGCGGACTGGGCGACTGCGCCAGGACTGCGCGCGGGCGCGGTCTCTGCCAGGGGGCACACCGCACACGGCGACGCTGTATACTATTCAAGCCATAATCTGCGGCCAGATAACGAGACGAACGACACCGCGCGCAGCCGGCGGCATCGAGCATCGCCATCGGCGGACGGACCCGGACGGGGCGCCGCGCCATCCCGATCCGCCATCTCGCGCGAGAGATACTCGCGCGCATGCTCGCGCGATATGTGCCGCACGACACCCACACACGGTACGACGTAGCGCCCTGCGACGTAGTTAATATCCAGAGAGGGAGATAACGAGTGGAGACCTATGTCATCGCGTGACCATGCGGCACCGCTGAGCGCGCCGTGCCGGGCTGTCAATCGCATACAGCTGCGCGTTTCGCAGCGTGTGCATGTATTGCAGCGTCCGCTCATCCGCCCAAGGTGCGCTCTCGAGGTCATCGCCCGCTGCCTCGTACACGCGCCGCATATTCTCGCGCAGCGAATCCGCCGACAGCAGCCCGCCGAGCTGCTCTGCAGTACCAACCCACCAGTCGGGCTCGGCGGCGAGGAGGCCGTCGGCGGCGCACGCCTCGTAGTGGCGGTCCTCCAGCCAATCGGCCACGAGGAGATTCTGGCGGAGCGTCACGTCGAGAAGCACGTCCGCATCGGAGACCGCCGAGGGTCCCGCCGGTCGAAAGACCAGAAAGGTGTGCACGGTGCCCGCCTCACACCGCCAGAGCGTGCCCCGCACCCCGCCCACGGCAATGTCGGCCCAATACCTCCCGAGCGGCCCGGGCAGCCTACCCGCGGCGGAATGCAGTCCCGACATGCCGTCCCGAAATCCGCCATGCGCTGCCTCGCGAGCGAGTTTCCGCGCCCTTTGCTTCTCGTCGTCGGTAGCCTGAGCCGGTGGCTGGAGAAACCACGCCGCCATGAGCCCGTAGAATCTGCCGACGCCCTTTGTCGCGTTGACTTCTGCCATGCTGGAATCGAATCCGAAGCGTGCCTCGATCAGAGCGGCGGCGAGAGCCGAGTAGTAGGTGCAGCAGCGGGCGCGGAGGTGCGCTCCAGCCGCAGAAGAGAAGCATGGATCCCGCGAGCCCAACGCCAATTCGTTTGCGTGCACTGCTCGTATCCCCGTCTCGACCTCGCTCGCGACCAAGTCGGACAGAGTCGCGACGACGTGATCGAGCGCGGTTTGATCGAGCGGCCGAGCGAGAGCAGTGTAGAGCGTCAGCAGCGCGTGTGCCACGCTTCTCATTCTCTCTCCGCTCGGCCCACGCCGCTCTAAGCTCATAAATAAATAAATACAACGGACACGCTCTAAGCTCATGTCAGACCCCAGTCGCATGACTGCTCTATTTATTTATTTATTTAGACCCCAGTCGCCGCGAAGTTTTTCTTTTCTCTGTCCTTTTCGGAATAGTGGACCATCAATCCCTCACTCGAGTAGAAGGAGAGGTTTCCCCCCTCCCATTGATTGCTAGGCCGCCTTCTTCTCCTCGACCTCGACCGACTTGACCTTCAGGTCCTCTTCCAGCTGGCCGACCGACTTGGCCGTCGACTCGAGCTTGAGCACGCCGTTGGACAGGCGCGTGATCGCGGTCTCTGTCTGCTTGCGCCGGTCCGCAAGCATGCTCTTGAAGAGGGCAATCAGCTCGAGGAACGACTTTGGCGTCGTGTAGTTGTAGCGGCGCTCCACCCGCGCGTACTCCTCCGACTTCTCGTTGACGGCGAGGAAGGAGTATGGCATAAAGTTGGAGACGGCGAGGCGGACGTCGTCATCGCCGAGGTCCACGTCGGAGAGGAAGCGGTTCGACACGGACACGAGCGCCTCCTCCGGCCAGGGCTGGAACCAGTCGATGACGACGCAGTTGACCAGCGCAGGGAAGCGCCGCGTGCGCACCTTGATCGGGTCGCCGATCGGTGAGAAACAGAGGATGACGTGCAGGTTCTGCACCACCTGCTGGATGAAGTAGTCCCAGCATGAGCTCCGCGTGTCGGGCAGGCCGGCGCGCTTGACGGCGGGACGCACGCCGTTGATGATGTCGTCCATGTCCTCCGCCGGGAAGAGGCCGGGAATGTTGCCCGATGATAGCAGGTCGTTCATGAAGACGAGGAAGCGCTCGTCCGCGATCTGCTGGTCCGTGAAGATGAACGAGATGCCCTCGCCCTTGAGACCGGCCTTGCGGTACATGACCTGCAGGTCCGCCTTGAGGTCGTTGACTCCGTAGCGGGCGGTGATGACCACCTGGAACGCGGAGTAGCCGGACACAAACGTCGCGAGCCGGGCGAGCGACTGCTTGCCCGAGCCGCCGACGCCGACGAGTAGCGCGTGGCCGCCAGGCGACTCGATGATGCGCGAGATGCGCGCGACGTGGCGCATCGCGTCCTCGAAGAGCACCAGGTTCATGACTGCGTTCTGCTCGTTGTACTCATCAAGCGCGCCGTTGAGCAGGCCTGACAGGTCGTTGAACGTCGGGCAGCGGTCGTAGCACTTCTCGCCCACGCCGCCAGCAAAGTGGCAAAAGATGAGCGGCTCGGCCATCAGCGTGGTCGGCGACATCTCCTTGAAGAACTTCTTGGCCTGCTCGGCGGCGAGCTCCTTGTACTTTTTCAGGTCCTCCTTGGAGACGAGACGGTCGCCGTAGATGCGTTCCGACTCGTGCAGCCACAGCTGGCCCATCTTGAGGGGGTCGCCAAATTGCGCCGGGTTGGCGTTGAGCAGCCCCTGGAAGACTCCGGCCATGTGCCGAATGTTGAACTCGTAGTGGAAGTTGGAGGCCGTCTTGCGGAAGGTGGCGGAGACGCGCTTGTGAAGCATCAGCCCGGCCTGCACAATGCGCTTGCCAAGCTCCTTGACCTCCTCGTTAAACTTGGACAGGTGGCCGAGCAGGAAGGTGGAGTAGATGCTGTTGAGGCACTCTCCCGACGGAAAGTTGATGGCGAAGGTGTTGAACCGGCGCTGCAGGCGCGGGTTGACGATGAAGGAACCGGCCGTCGGGTTCATCGCCGCCAGGTACTGCGTGTTGAGCAGCACCTTCTGCTGCAGCTTGTTTAGGTCATAGATGTGCCCGTAGTCGACGTGCTGCCGCATGAGCGAGATGTTCGACGCGGTGTTGTAGGCGTCGAGGGCCGCCATATTGAGGTCGTCCACAAAGTAGATGAGCTTCTTGTTGCCGGGTGGGCCGTAGTTCTTCCCCGCCTTCTTCTCGAGCGGCGCCTCCAGGATCTTTTGGAACATATTCGCGTTGGTGTAGTAGTTGATGTTGACGAGTTCAGCAGAGTACTCCTCGGGCAGCAGCCGCAGCTTGCCGTTGATGATCGCCGTCTTGCCGCAGCCGGCGCCTCCGACGAGCATGGCACCGTGCTTGTTCTTGATAAGGTTGTCGAGCCAGTACGAGATGGCCACCGTCTCCGAGGTGGGCACCGTCACCTGCCCCATCGGCGTCGTGGCGGAGTCGAACGCAATCTCCGGGACGATCTCCGTCCACGGCGTGAACTCATGCTTGGTCTGATCAACGAAGCAGTCGAAGACCTCACCGCGGTGGGGGAACTTGACCGTCTTCCACGTATCCTTCCAGTACTGCGAAAACTTCTTGCGGTAGTCGACGCCCGAGGTGATGGACATGGCTCCACCAAACGCCCACACACACGCGAGCACAAAGTAGATTTCGAAGTGCTCCGCGCCGGCGACACCAACGTTCTCGACGACAAGTAGGTCATCAAGCAGGTTGCAGAGCGCCTGGACGAGGCCAAAGTCGAGCAGGTTGGGGAGCATGTGCTTGTAGTTCATGCGCAGCTCGAGGAGGACCGCCTCGCAGTACTTTGCGAAGAGCTCCTCCAGCTTGGCCTTGCGCGCCGCCTTGGCTTCCGCCTTGACCTGGAACGGCTCCTCCTCCGTGTAGTGATCGATCCACGACTGGACGTAATTCTTCCACTGCTGCGCCTCCGAGATGAAGAGGATGCCTGCGCGGGTGACAGTCGCCGGCGAGGCGAAGGCCAGGTCTCGGATCTCGAAGATCATGCGCATGTGGCCGAGGAGGCGGATGCGCTCGTTGGAGGCGAGCGTGAGCAGTCTGTTGTCGTCCATGACCGAGTTCATGTTCTCGATCCAGTTCGCGTCGAGGTCGCCGTCGAGGATGATCCACTTTGGGTTCGTGTCGGGCATCGTGGCCAGGTCGCGCATCGTGTACGAGAGCAGGCCGTCCTTCCACTCGCGGGTCGCCAGGTTGATGAAGCCATAGAGCTCGTTGGGCGTGATCGACTTTGGGTTGATGTCGCGGTAGATGGTCTTGCCGCGCTCGCCGCCCCGGGTCCACACCTTGGCGAGCGTGGACCAGGTGCTCGATTTGTTGTTCCCAGAGGTGCCGATGATGAAGATACAGTGCCGGATGTCTAGCAGGTCCTGCGTGTCGACGACGTTCTGCACAAAGTAGTCGCTCGGCTGCAGCTTCTGCTCGACGGCGACGGTCTTGATCAGCTCCTCAAACTCATAGTTGCGCTTGCGCGGCATGGCGTCGAAGACATCGGCAAACAGGTCCTTCAGGAGGCCCATGAAGACGACCATGTCGTCCTCCACGATCTTTGGCAGGTTGAAGTCGCGGAGCGCGCGCATGAGCAGGCCGGCCTCGGGCTGATCCGGCTCGGCGCGAAGGAAGGTGCCGGCGACGACAAGCACCGACTTGATGGCGCGCAGGCCCCAGTCGTAGTGCATCTGCTTAGAGAGCAGGTCCTGGTTCAGTTTGTAAAAGGTGAAGAACTTCTTTGCTAGGTCGTTTGCCGTCGTGTAGCCCTCACCCTCTCTGCTACCCTCTCTGCTACCCTCTCTGCTACCCTCTCTGCTACCCTCTCTGCTACCCTCTCTGCTACCCTCTCTGCTACCCTCTCTGCTACCCTCTCTGCTACCCTCTCTGCTACCCTCTCTGCTACCCTCTCCTGACGACTCCTCTGAGCAGATTCGAACTGGCGACCAAAAGCTGAGTGAGGTGCCGCCACTCCCCCATGACAGTAGTAGTCTAAGTTCTGAGCCTCGCGGCTTAACGGGTCTAAGTGTGGCTAGCCACGCTGGAGTGCTTACGCGGTCTAAGATCAGCGGGAGCCTCTTACACCGGCTAAGTCGGCCATGGCACGCGATATACGGCGCTCGCGCCCAAATTTTCTTCGCCTGCGCGGCGGGCGATCGATCCTCCTCATGCTCAGCAATCGCCGCCTCAGCATCCTCCTCTTCCGATTCTCGTTGCTGCTTCTTGAGCGCACTTCGGCGACATCTAGCCAAATAGTTCTCACAAATAGCCTCAAGCTCAAACAAACGCATGTCAGAGAAGCCTGTGTATGCTGGTCCTCTTTGAACGATCCGCGCGTGAGGTAGCATAGGGCCTTGTTGGCAGCAGCCAGCTTGTTGCGCTGCTTCGTTGCGATGAGCTGATTGGGATCGCAGAAGTGCATGCCAAGCACCGCCACGATCTTGAAGCAGAACACATCGCAACCGCATCGTCCGCACTGCCATCGGCATGCCGCGCCCGCCGCTTCGCCGCAGCCGCCTTAAGGCACGCATAGCGGCAGCACATGGTACGGGTGCGCGTACTTGAGCAGGCGTTGCGCGCCCGCAGTAGCGCACTGGCCCTGGGAGACGGCGATATGGCGTCGTGCGCGGCATACGCTAGTCGGGACCGCGTCCAGGTATTTTTCGGGTAAACCTGGACTTTTGCAGGTATACCCGGGTTTTACCCGGAGTTGGCCTCGTGAAGCCGGTGATGATAGGCCCCGGCCTTCCGCGTCTAAGTCTGAGCCCGGCTCCGTGCGGGAGCTAAGTTGAGCGCTCGCTCGCTGCAGAGGCTAAGTGTAGAGCGACCCTCTAGCCCTACTACCCAACCATTATGACATCATTTCCTGAATTGCCCACCACCACCCAGGGCGGTAGGCGCGCTAATAGAGAACCTGAACTAAAGTAAATTGAACGAAAGTATAAAGAAGAAGATCAAGCATCGCATGTACCATGTTTCATTGCAATGATTTTCAATATATCATGCTTAGTCGGCTTATCACAGTCGCTAGCTGCCTTTGAAAACTGAACAGTTTTTTTTTCCTTGTTAGCTTGCTAGTATGTTTGATATTCATGTGTCAATCATTGTAACATCACACTTCTAATCCTCTATCGCATCCTCTACCACTCCCACCACCACAGCTAGCTGTGGTGGTTCCGAAAAACAGGTGCGCGGGACCTCAATCCGCAACGGTAGCGAGATAGGTGCTCGCATATACTATATGCAAGCACTATCGCTAAAATCTGGCAAAATGAGGCCACAGCCCCGCTGATGCACTGTCTGCTAGCGGGCAGCAGCAGCACGGCTCGGCACCGCGCTCGGTGGCGTTTTGCTGACCTCAAACGTCAAAGCACAGCCGTTTCGCGATGGCTGAGAGAGAGCTGTGCGCCTGTGCAATCCACGCGCACGCTACCAGCGGAGGATGGTGTGCTGCTTTGGCGCGGTGCTGAGAGGTACGCGCGGCGCTGCAACTACAGCGCATAGCTCTAGGCAGCACCTCGAAGTCGACGTTCGTGGCGATTCGCGTCGAGCGGACCGGCTGCGAGCCAGGTGGGCTACGAGCGAGTGCAACCACGACGGCAGCTGTCAATCTCTGAGACACAACAGCTGCCGTCGTGATTGTCAAAGATGGTGCGTTTGGCAAAGCAGGTCACCAAACGCGAGCGATCGAGTCGGCGCCGGCGGCTCGCGTCTCGCGTCGAATAAGAATTTGACGATGCGTTCTGCACGACACGGGGCACGGGACTCGCGCGCACTGGCTTTGAAAGAAAAACACTTTTCAGTGAAGAATGTTTGTCAAGGAAACCGAGTCACCACGCACATCTACTGACACGGAAGTATGCACACTGTTCCAATATGAACATCTTCAGAGACGCGCTACTCAACAAGTCCTCAGCTACTAACAACATGCGGCAGATCAGCGGCCGTCGGTGGGGCTAATCCTTGTACTCAACTGGGTGATCTAGTAAGGCATGTCGAAACTTTTGTTGTTGGTCAGCAGCATGTTCGGATGCACCGCCAGCTGCGCCTGCTGCTGCGCAGCGTGCCTGCGGAAGCCTTTGTCGCGGTACTTGACGATCCGGTACACGAACTGCTTGACAGTGTCCTCGAGAGCGGATGCCCACTCATGCGGCGACATCTCCTCAAACGGCTTTACATCGGGAGCCTCCTGCGCCAGGTTGTTCAGGTGCGCGTAGACGAAGTTGTTGATGTCGAACGCATATGGCGTGTACGCAATGATATTCCCGAGAAGGCAGGTGCGCGTGTGCGCACTGCAGTCAAAGACAAAGCCGCCGCCATTGGCGTCACGCGCACGAAGCGCCACCTGGCATGGAATCAGGTCGAAGTACTTCGTCGATGCCTGTGTGGAGGACGACATGCACCGTAATCAGCACCAAACCATCGGCCGAAGCAATAATCAACGAGTTTAAGCGCAAAATGAGCACTTTCCTCAACCAGCCGCGCTTCTCGAGCGATGCGAAAATCAAGTGGCAGATCCGCAGGGCGCACGAGCACACCGACCCGTTGTACCTCTTTGGGTACGCCTGGAAGCAGCACCTCAGATACACGAACCTCGACGAGTTCTTCCACACGCGGGTCGGCCAGATGCTCACGCCGGACTACCTCAAAGCCGCCTTCAAGCACTACCGCTCGACGGCGCACGAAAACGAGGGTGGGGAAGCTAGCGAAAAGGCGCACGCCGGACCAGGCGAGAAGCGGAAGGTGCCCCTGCTGACGCGCGCGAACCTGCTGCCCGAGATGGAGTACTTCGACCACGATCAAGGCTTCACACCTCTGAACCTCTCCGTCGCCAAGCTCGCCTCCCTCGCCACCTCCCAAGGGTTCTGGAAGCCGCACTCCATGTTCGTGTCAGGAACCACGCAGAAGCCGTCGCCTGTCTGCCAGAACATCTGGTTCCGCATCCGCCGCGATCGTTCCAAGGCGGCGCGCATGGATTGGATGAATAAGCTGCTCTACGGTCCGGAATATGGCCCCGAGGACGACATGGCGATTGAGCAGGCTCTCACGGCACACAACGACGGGCCGGCGCCGTCAGTGACCAACCCACTGACATACGCGGAGTGCGTGCATTCGATCCGCACCGGTGTGCTGCCCACGGGCCAGGTGCTACAAACCGGTCGATGGCTACACAGGGCGCTCGGTTCTCATCGACCTGCACGGCTGCCCGGCTGCAAAAGAGGTTGCGAGCGCGCTGGGAGGCAACGAGATGCGCACCCTCTTCGCGGCGCACTTGGACATGCAGCCGACCGCGAGCGCCAACGGGAGTGCACTCACTGCCGCTGCTGCGGCCCGCCTACTGGCTTCTGCTGCTGAGCCGTTCGCCCTCAGCCTGGCAGATGTCAAGGCGCGACTGCTCCACCCGACGCTTCTGGATCAGGTGGGCCGCATGCTCTACCTCGACTCCGTCTCGCAGGGCCTGTCAGAAGAGGACATGCTTAACCTGCAGACAGCTGTTGTGGACGAGAGCGTGTCTTCGTCTCACCCCTGGATGGCGAGCGACGCCCAACCTGATGCCTGTGTGGAGGACGACATCCTCGACGTGCGCGACGTGCTCGCACGCGTGCAAGGGAGCATCAACACGTTTGAGGAAGGCCCTCCGAAGGTGCACGTGGCAATCGTGCGTGACAACACTGAATACTTCGCAATTGCGTGGCAACTCAGCCTGCAGCACAATGCCACCCTGCGCCGTCACCGCCGAGAGCCAACTCCCCCGCCCCCTACCACAGAGGCAGGCTCGGGCGCGTGTGCTGCACACGAAGATGCCCTTCGAGCCGCCCGGCGAGGACTTTAGCCACCCTTGCTACGTTAGAGCGCGACGATTGTGCTCGCCACATAAGATCTGTCCAAAATGGTGTATGAGCATGGCCGTGTTTAATATCAATACTTGAGTAGTTAGCTGTTAGTCAGTATGTATAGCTGTATGTGCCGACGTCGGTTGCTCGGCGTCGTGTTGCGCCGCTACTGGAAGTGCGCGCATGTGCAGTTGATGTGTGTAGACGATCGTTCACTACCTGTAGGGCTGGGCACCGTCTCCTGCTAGCGGTCCCTTTCGTCGATACCGGCTCCCTCCCCCCCCCGTGGCCATTCGAGCCGACAGTCGGCGGGCTTTTCCACCGGTCGCAATGGCGGATCTGCTGTGGCCGCCGGCGGCGATGGCGGACGGCAGCGCGCCTGGCGCGCCGGCAGTACCGTCGGATGGCACGGCTGGTCGGCCGCGTCGACGCGCAGCCGACCTGCGCGCTCGCCCTGATGCCGCGTCGTCGCCGCTCACGACCGCCCTCTCGAAGCGCCCTGCCGAGTGGCCAGCCGGCGAGCAGGAGCGCGCAGCTTCTCGATCCCGCGGCGCAGCGCCGCGGATGGAGACCCTCGAGGCGGTGGAGAAGGACCCGGCCGCGTCCGCCTCGACCGGCACCGCTGAGGCGCCAGCAGTTGCGGCGCGGCCGACTCGCTCCAATTCGGCGCAGATCGCCTTGGAGCCCACCGCGCTCTCAAATCGCCTCGAGACCATGCTCCTCGGCAACCATCCCGTCCCTGCACCCTCCAACGAGGTGAGCGTCGCCAGCGAGGTCTCCAACGGCACCATTCTCGCCGCGAAAGCTGCCGTCGACGCGCTCTTTTCATCGCCGCAGCGCAACGCGCTGATGGCTCTCGGGCTGCGGGACCTCAAAAAGGCTGCGCTGGCGTATCTCGTGTGGGACCTGCGCGGCGTGCTGGCGGGCGCGCGCCACGGCCAGGCGGTCGCGTACGGCAAGCGGCTCCAGACGCACGCGGCCGGCGTCGAGAAGGAGCAGGGCCTGCGCAAGCGGCGTAGGGTAGACGGCGCGGAGGAGGCGCTTCTCGCCGCGGTGCCGGCCGTGCTTCAGGACGTGCCGACGCCGGAGGCGGACAACGATCCCGACCCAGAACCGACGCCACCCGCCGCCCCCCTCGCCGCCGCCCCCCTCCCCCCTTGCCGCCACCGCCGCCCGCCGTCGCCTGGCGAGTACGAGGAGCTCCCACTCGCGGCGGCCGCCCGACGTGGGATAGGCTCCCCCTCCCCCCTTGGGCCCAAGGAGAGGAGATGGCTCGAGGCACGCGCGGCAAGGCTCGACGCCGAGATTGACCGGCGGCGCGAGGCCGAGGCACGCGCGGCCGACGCGGCGGATAAGGTCACTGCCGCCGAGGCGAAGGTCACTGCCGAGGCGGAGCGCGCCGACGCCGCAGATGCCGCAGCGGAGGAAGCGCTCAATCGCATGGTGGCCCTCGCTCAATCGCAGGCGGAGTCCCTCCGCGCCGCCGCCGCCGTGCCCGATTCGGACGAGTTGTTCTACGCGAATATTCAGATCGACTCGCTGCGCAAGCAACTCGACTCGCTGCGCGGGGAGCTCGTGCACGTGGAAACCGAGCTCGCGGCGGCTCGACGTGAGCTCGCGGCGGCTCGACGTGCCTGGCCTCACGTCGGAGGCGGGCGGCTGCGCGCGTAGGCTCCAAGGCACCGCTCCGGCACACCCGCTCTGTCGCGGTCGGGCGACGAGAATCCAGGCCCGTGGGGGCCGTGTCGACGGCAGCGCCACCAGGCCGTCGGTGGTAGGCTCGGCGCACCCGCTGGCGTGCTGCGGCCCCGCTAATGAGCTCGCGAAGTGCGGATATCGCACTCGTGCGGCCGCCTGCTGCCGGCGCGGCTGGGCACTCCGGGAATTTATTTCGAGTACTCTCGTAAACTCGTGACGCTTGTGGGGCTAGTATGGTGTTTTTTGGGGGCGTTAGGGGCGGGGGAGTATTTTTTTGTGCGCGCGGGCGGCCGGGGGCGGCCCCTGGGTGCCGAATGGCCACTAAAAAAAGAAATAACTCGCCCGGGCCCCCCTAGCTAGGGGTCAGGGCTCTCTAGCCCGTAGCCCGATGCCGATCATCCGGCTCGCTGGGCGCGCTTCTTAGCTCCCCGGCCCTGGATGTGAGGTTGATGACTGCACTCCAAGTGCTCCAAGTCACCTCCAGGAGAGATGGGCGGGCGACGCACGAACACAGGCCCCAAATGATGTGTGAGTGTTAGAGTTGTTTGGTATTGTAAGGTATTGCGAACACAGAGGCACGAGTGCGCACCCCGCCCCGCTCGCAGGGCGTGCATCACACAGGTGGACTGTGTGACTCCTCGGGTTTCTGGGGACTCTTGACAGAGGTGTGCTAGTCGCTATTCTCAGAACTCAGACAAGTCCGACATGTCTAAAAAGAAAGAAAGAAAGCAGACAACCCAAGTGAGGGATGGGAGGACGGCACGCCGCCACCACACAGGGATTTTAAGGGGAGAAGTGTGGTGCTAGCCGTCGCCGACATAAAGAAAGAAAGAAAACGGACAACCCCAAGGGAGGATGGGAGGACGGCACGCCGCCACCACGCAGGGATTTTAAGGAGAGGGGTGTGATGCGCTAGCCGTCGCCCACCCTTGGGCGTCCGCCTCTTCCTATCTCTCTTCGCAGTCTCTCGCCGATTCTCACTGCAGCCTTCATGCCACCTCGCGGTCGTTCGAGGTCGTCCCACTCTCGTCGTTCTCTCTCTTGTCGCTTCTTCCTCTGTCGCGTCGCTCTCCTCTGCCTCGTCCTGCGACGCCGCCGCCGCCTGCCGCTCCCTTGCTCTCGCGGCTTTTTTCCCCGACATGGCTGGGGGAGGAGGGTGGAAAGGCTTAGAAACGGCGGCGTGGCGCAAGATCCTGTTAGCTGTTTTCTTAATGCCCGCAACCCACTGTAGGACATCGCGACAGACAAGACGCGCCGACTAAGGGACGTCCACGTGACACGATTGTGGCACAGAGGGTGTGATGCTGGAGTATTGACATTCATGGGGCACGGCGCAGGATGCGCCGTGCTAGTACACCGTGTGTAGCGTGTGTGAAGGGTAGCACAGGCGTCCGAATTCAGACGCCCCCCCCAGGACCGATGCTGAAGGCGTCGGGGATGTTGGATGTACCGTAGATCGCGACGCCTGTGCGGGCAAGGCCGGAATGCCGGCTGAAAGTCGCCGCGAGGAGGCGCGGCACCATGTTCTGGTCGCTGCACGCGTGTCGCTGCACGACCATCGACACGCTGCTCAACAGCGAGGAGGGCTTCACCCTCGAGCAGCTGCTCGACGAGGACGATTTGCTGCAGGAGTGCAATTCGCAAAAGCGCTGCGAGGCCTTCCTCACCTCGACGCCGCCGCAGCTCGACTGCCTCGTGCGCGACACCGCCGCCATCGAGGCGGCGGCGGGCGAGGCGGACTTCTCCTCGATCCTGCTCCCCGCGCCGCTCTCGGACGTGCCGGACGCCCCGCTCCTCTCCAGCTGTGTCATGAAGCATGATAGATAGACACAGAAAGCATGAACCAAGGGCTCTGCCCGCAAGGCGCCCGCGTTGCCGACGCGGTACCATTGACTAATCCCGGAATACACACCCACACGACCAAATAGCGAAAACCCGAAAATCGTGCAAAAACCACGGAACGTGAGACGAAGAACGGTGGCAAGTTTGGCTAACTCCATAACATGGGCGATCCAGCGCTTCCTTCGATTGGACGGACGAAAGGATCGCGGGAAAAGCGGGACCGGCATCGCGACATCTCGGGGGTACACCATATGCCGAGCCTCTCGGCCTGCCATGCGCACGCGCGCTCGCCCGAGCGCAGCCACCTGCGGACCTGGCCAGCCTGTTCCTGGTTCGTGCCCAGCCTCTCCTTCCGCTGCCGCCGGCCTCGCAGTCCCGCCAGCCATCACGCTGCAGAGCCTGCGTAGACGCCACAGACGCCAATTCTGCAGCCCACAGCCCTGGCAACTGAGGGCGAGGGCCAGCAGTATACGACGACGACAACATCTCACACCCCGCGCTGTCCAGCGCCATCAGCCCCTCACGGCCCGGCCCAACCTTCCCTTCGCCACCCTCGCCTCCGGTGCCTCCAATCAAGTCGCACCTCTCTTCTTCAGCGAATGCAGCGGCAGCACCACGTCAGAGGCCGGGCCGACTGGCGGACCTGCATGCCCAGCCATGCCCCCACTCCCCACCCGCTTGGATCGATCAGCTGTAGACAGCTCCACCAGCTCCCACACCACCGCGTGTCGTGTCATGAAGCATGATAGATAGACATAGAAAGCATGAACCATCGAAAGGTCTGATCTCCAAAAGGAGCTCTCGGCGCGCTGCGCGCGCCCGCGCCCCGCCCCTTTTGCGCAGCAACACCTTAAAATTCATGGCCCTCAAAAATCGGGTCGGAGCGTAGCGGAGTGGGCCCTGAGTTTGAAAAGGGCGACGGACGCTTGCGTCCTAGCCTCCAACAACGCCTCCCCGGCGCAGAGGGGCCCCCGGAGGAATGCTCAACCGCCCCACGCCACGCCGCTGGAGGGCTGGAGTCAGACTCACGTGCGTTATTTTGCGAGGTGTCGATGCTCTTCGCAGTCGCACTCACAACAGCGTTGGCGCTCCACGCGTCTCCGCGCCTGCTGTCCCCGCGCGCTCATGCTGCCTGTGCGCGGAGTACTGTCTGCGTCGCGCAAGCCACGGAAGCGCAGGACGCATTGATCGCCAAGCTGCGGGCCGCGCCGCTCGACGGGCTCACGGCAATAGTGGCAAACGACATGAAGGCCATTGACCAGCGCTTTTTCCTGCGGCTGGCCGAGCTGGCAGACGCGGCCGACGATGAGGCGGATCGCGATTCGATCGCGGAGCTCGCGAGCAGTGTCGCCAGCTCCGTCGAGACGCTGCTCCGGCTCGCGGATGAGAAGATTCAGGATGACGGCTCAAAAGCGCAGGCGATCCTCCAGATCGCCGCGTCCGAGAGCGGCGAGTTCGAGGTGCCGATCCCAGCGGAGCGGGCGGCGGCCGTGCGGGCCGCCATCCGCGAGCGCGGCGGCTCGCTGGACGACGGATTTGTCGCGACCATCAAGGCGTACATGTCAAAGGCGGACAAGGACGGTGCGCGCGGCCCCCCCGCGCGGCGACTGCCGCAGCCCCGCTGCCGGCTCTCCTCGCCTGAGGTCCGTCGCGCACTCCGCCGCAGGCATGGAGGGGCTCGTCGAGATGCTGCGCGAGGTGCTGCAGCTCTTCGCGGCCGAGCGGCTGCTTGCGCTGGTCGAGCCGAGGCTGGAGGATGGCTCGGGGCTCGCGGCTGCGCTGCGCGCCGTGCTCGCCGCGAAGCCGGACGAGTGGGAGGAGACTCTGCGCGGGCAGGTTGCCACGGCCGAGCCCGTGTGCGGGCCGCTCGAGCTGCAGTCGGCGCTGCAGGACCAGATGGGTGAGGTCGTGCTGGGCATGCCGTCGGGGTCGGCGCTGCAGGCCCTGCTGGCCGAGTACCTCAACGAGCTGCTCGAGCGGACGCGAGTCATCGTCGCCGAGCTCGCCTAGACGACCGTCGGTGTGCGGTGTGGCAACGCGCCCGGGCGTGCTCGTCGCTCGGAGGCGTGAGAAGCACTTTTTCAGTTAGAGCTCGTTTAGCGTGAACCACGTCCGTCGCGCACCACATCGCGCACACCCACGGGCCACGGCGGACAGTAGCGAAGGACAAACACTCAGAGCCGACGGGCAGATTTCCAGGAAAAGGTCCATTCATTCACAGACACAGTCCGTCCGTCAGTCCCATGACGCTTTGAGTTTGACTATTGTCTATTGAGAAAAAAATAGCTGGCAATGGCTTGGAGGGGTTGCGGTGCGTCACAGACCTTGTTATTGAGAAGAAAACACGTCGCTTACCTATTCACAGCCAGTGTTTGCCTTCATCGACGGTTTCGCTCCGCTCAGTTGTTGGCAGCATCCGTGCTTCCGTCACCGATTGACCTCTCGCTGATATGCCGCATGTCGTTGGCTGGGGGCGTGCGGTGCGGGGCCAGCTTGGTCTCGACGACGAGTATCGAGGCAGCCATGCGGTCCCGCCGTCCCTCGCATTCCGAAAGCTATCAGAAGAGAACACTGTCGTCATGGTTGCTTGCGGCGCCGACTTCACCATCCTACTGCTCAAGTCTGGAGACGTCTTTGCCAGCGGCTGCAACCTCGCCGGCCAGCTGGGCAACTCTGCGGTGGGTGCATTTAGTGCCAAGCCGGTGCCCGCACTGGCGGGAAGGGATGCCCTCAAAGTGGCGTGCGGAGCACAACACGCGAGTGCCGTCACGCACACTGGAGAAGCATTCCTGTGGGGGCTGAATGACTCTGGTCAACTCGGTCTTGGACACCGCAAGCCGTGCCCGCAGCCGGTGTCGTTACCGCCTCCAACCCTTTTGAAGACGTGCGATAGCTTCCCCCAGAGCGAAAACCGGCCGATGCTTCCCATGCTGACGAGATCGAAGAGCTCCATGCGCTTCAGCCTCGGGGATGAGGCATCGGGCATTGACGGGGCGTGTGTGATCGAGGACGCCGACGTCCTCCGCCGCAAGGTCCTCCATGCGCGCGGCAGTTGGGCGGAGTTTGTCGCCGGCGTGGAGGACCGCACGTGGGGCTGGCGAGAGATTGCCTGCGGCGCACAGCACACCGTCGCCACTTTCCGCTCCCACGACCAACGGGAGCTGCACGTGCTGGCATGGGGATCGGGTGCTGCCGGCTGCCTCGGCCACGGCGACCACGTCGACTCAAGCTCCCCCGTCGAGATCGACGAGGTGACGCGGCAGCAGCTCGACGTCATCCAGGTGTCCGCCGGCGCCAACCACAGCGCGCTCATGTGCCGCAACTCGGAGGTATGGACGTGGGGCTACTGCGCAGACAATCGGCTCGGTCTAACAACCTCGAGCGTCGCCGCGAGCCAGGCTCAGCTCCGCAGGTTGTCTCTCCGACTGGCCCGAGGAGCGCCGCTCAGCTACTCTGACCTAGACGTCGTGGCCAAGCTGCGACCAGAAAAGGAGAAGGAGCAGGCTTGGGCGGGGGTGCTGACCCTTCTACGCTCTGGCGACGCGCTCTGCAGCCACGACCAGGCGATGCTTTACGCGCGGGTCGAGGAGGCCCTCCTGGAGAAGGAAGTCTGTCTCGCGCCGGGCCAATTCCGTTCGTCGGTCCCGCGCCGGGTTGCCGCGCTGCTCGGTGCGCCCATTGTGCAGGTAAGCTGCGGGAGTGCGCACACTGTCGCCGTCGCTGCCAACGGCGAGGTCTGGGGCTGGGGTTCGTCTTGCTTCGGCCAGCTGGGGCGGCAGCGGAAGAGCCTCGAGCCCCAGGTCATCCCTGCTCTCTCGCACCGTGATGCGATTGAGGCGGCGTGTGGAGCGCATCACACCGCGGTCGTGACGCGAACCGGCGCCGTCTTGACCATTGGTATGAACCTCGAGATCCAGTGCGGCTCCGAGAGCTCTCTAGGTCAGTCGAAGAGGAAGTCGCCGTCACGGTTGCGTGCCTTCGTCGACAAAGTCCACGGCTGCACGAGCGTTGCGTGCGGCGATGCGCACACAGTTGTGCTCTCGTCGTCGCAAGAAGGGCCCCGCGCGGCGGCGCAAGAAGATAACGGCGAGGCAGATGCGCTCCTGCTCCCCCCGGGAGTTCAGCTGGTGCCACCGACGGGATTGGGCAAGCCGCCACGGCTGCGCTACTCGCGGTCCCTGCCGACATTGGTGACTCGCTCTCGTGAGATGGAGTCTCTGAGCAAGGGGCCAGAGACCCCTCAGAGCATGACAAGGGTCCGCCCATCTGTAGCCGCTCTGCGCGGCCGCGCCGACCCCGTCACAGGAGGGCCCGATGCGTCCTTTGCCGGTTCCATCTCGTCTTGGCAAGATTCCGGCCGGAGCGAGGCCTCGACGAGCGAGACGGCGAGCACCCTTGAGTGGACGCAGCTGGACAGGCTCGGGCTGCAAAACAGCAACGTCTACCTCTCGCCCGAACTCAAGCGGCGACACAGCTTTGTTCTTCTCTGACTTGCTCCCTGCTCGGTGGCCTGGCCTCGATGAGGGGCGCAAAACGGGTCATTTACATACCGCGCGAAGCCCGGCCCTAGCGCCCATCCCCTAGCCCCACCATCCACCCCTAGCGCCCTTGGCGCGAGTCCTCTAGGTCTTTCCCCACAATTGGTTTTGTTTCTTTTCGTACAGGTCGGTGCGTACTCCACCAATAGCAGATTCAAATTGGGAATTTTGGTGTGACGTGTGACGTCTTCTGAGCACTGAGACGTCTCGCTGTGTGTGTCTCGTGGGGAGTGGGGTGTCTCTGACACTCGCGCGGGTCGCGCGGGCGGCGCCCGGGGGGCGCATATGCGCCGCGGCGGCGGCGGCGGCCGGCGCGGCTCTTCCCTGCGCTCTTTTTGTCTTTTCCTGATTTCTCGTCTTCTCCCCGCAAGAGCCGCACGGAATCACGTGTGCACGTGTCGCGTGTCGGGCGGCTTGTCGGCCGCACAGAGTGAGAGAGAGACGCGCGCGAGAAAACTCTGAGAATTTGGCGCTACCCCCTGCCTCGCCTAGTAAAGATTCTACTAGATCTTTCGAGATTGGATGCCTGCTGGACAAATGGTACATGGCGACACAGGCCACTAATAAAACGGGAACCCGCTGTCACTCGCTAAGTACGGTCGCGGCACCTCGGGCGGGGCCTCGACAGGCGCCTCTATGCCTGAGCGGTTGGCGCCGCTGCCGATGGCTGCCGGGGTCGCGGCCTCCTCTACTTTTGCGCTCTCGTTGAAGATTTCGCGCTGGATCTGCGCCACCCAATCGCTGCTCGCGCCGAACGCCTTGCCCACCGCCTGGTCGACGCGCGCCCACGTCGCGGAGAGGGAGGCGCTGCTGCTCGCGGCAGCGCCGGCCGCCGACGCCGCGGTCGCGTTCCATCCCGCCCCGACTGACGTACTGGTGGATGCGAACCATGACTCGAGCGAGGAGGCGGTGGCCTGCGGCGAGGCACGAGGGGTGTGGCGCGGGCAGCACCTCTCTAGCGCCCGTTCCTTGCCGGTGATGGGCGTTTGTGGTCGGGCAAGCTGGAGGCGGGCGGGTGGGCGGGCGGAGGGGCGGCGCGCCTCGAGCGCTGCAGAAGCGGACCTCGCCACTCGCTCGAGCTTCATCGCCTGCACTTGCGAGTCCATCTTCTCGAACAAGCGGCCCGTGCGGTACACAAAGACGGCCTGAGGCGGAGCAGCGGAGAGCGGCGAGTGGAGAGTGGCGCCTCGCGGGAAATGGGAGGCAGAGGCGGGAGGCGCGGGAGGCGCGGGAGGCGCGGGAGGCGCGGGAGGCTCGGGGGGAGTCTCGCGGCCGGTGCGCCGCGCGCCTGGCGCCACTTTTCGAGGATGCCCACCTACAGCCACGCACCTCCCCGCACCGTCACACGCGGCTCTCTCCCGCCTCCGCCATAAGAAGTCACAGGCCTTGTCGAGGATCCAATCCCAGACGGTGAGGGCGAAGGCGGCGGCGAGGCGAGACAGGGCGCCGAGCTGGTTCGCGAGGGTGGTCGAGTAGGCGAGCAAACACCCTCCGACGATCGCGCGCGCTGCGGCGGCGGCGGTGGCCGCGCCCGCACCGCCGAGGCCGGAGAGGGCGTAGTGCAGCGCCAGGCCGGCGGCGGAGCCGAGCGCGAAGGAGGCGCCGAGCAAGCGGCGCGAGGCGAGCTGCCTGCGGGGCGGGTGCCGTGGGCGCGTGTCGCTGGGGCGTGTCGCCGGGGCGTGTTGTGGGCCTGTGTGGTGCGGGTGGTGGAGTGTCGGGGCGTGTCGTGGGCGTGTCGTGGGCGTGTCGTGGGCGTGTCGTGGACGTGTCGTGGCGTGTCGTGGGCGTGTCGTGGGCGTGTCGTGGACGTGTCGTGGGACGAGTGCTCTGGCGATGAGGCGATGCTGCACCTGCTCGCGAGTGCGAGCGACGAGTTGAGAGCACCCAGCGTCGAGGTGATTGCGCGGTCGATCACCTGTTGGGTGGACTTCATCGCTAACTCTCAACTCTCACTGCCAGTGTCGAGTTGCCTGCCGCGGGTCTAGGAAGTGTCTAGGACGTGTCGAGGACGTGTCTAGGAGGTGTCTAGGAGGTGTCACCTCGCCCGGCTGGGTGCGCCGCAGCCGCTCGCGCTGCCGAACGAGCAGGTCGCGCGAGTGGAGGATCGAGGCGAGCCGCGCGGGCGTCACGCGGCCAGCGGCTGGCGGGGCGACGGCGGGAGGCGGTGCGGAGGCGGCGGCAGCAGTCAGCTCCGGCAGCTGGATGCCTTCGGGCAGCTGGATGCCTTCGGGGAGGGTGAGCCCGTCGGGCAGGTCCGGCAGCTGGATCACCGACGAGGCGAGCCTGCCCGCGTCCGACACAACCTGCGGGAAGGCCCCGAGAAGGTCAGGGAAGGGCCCTGCGAACTGGAGCCGGCGCCGGATGCCAAACCTTGTCGATGTCGGAGGCCACCCGGTCCGTGATCTCCTTCGCGGAGACCTTCGCCATCTGCTCGATGTCGGAGGCCACGCGGTCCGTCACCACCTTGGCCGACACCTTTGCCATCTGCTCCGCCGACCAAGTCAGCCGCTCGAAGTCGCCTCTCGTGAGCGAGTCGAGCGCGGAGGTCGAGAGGGACTGGAGCAGCGCCTCCGCCTCAGCGAGCGCTCGGATCATGTCCGCGTCCGCGTCCGCGTCGTCGGCGGAAGCGTCCGCCTCCTGCTCGACGCGCCGCCCCACCAGGCTGCTGCTTGCGGCGATGGTCGCGGCGTCGACCAGGCGCGAACGCAGGCCTGGCAGCGGAGCCGCGCCGCGCAGCCGAGCGGCCGTGTTTGCGAAGTGCGACACGATGCGGCGCGGGATCCGGGCGGAGAGCGAGCCTTGCTCCAGGGCCTCCACGCGCGACTCGAGCGCCTGTACCCGCGCCAGTAGGATGGCGACCTGCTCCGGCGTCAGCATTACCGGCGGCGCGGCGGGCGCCGCGCCCGCGCACATCCGTGGTTTCAGCACGGCTGGTCGCGGCGGGCTCCACAGCGCAAAGACCAGCAGCGCGGGCAGCATAGGAGAGAGTGAACGAGCGAGGGCCGGCGGAGAGGAGGGAGGAGGCCGGCCAACAAACCGGTTCGTCTTCAGGAAGGTGTTTCGTTGCTTGGGCAGGGGTAGGTAGGGTAGGTCTGTGCCCTCCCGTCGGGTTTTCCCTCTCTTCACGCCGGAATTTACACGGCAGAAAAAGAAATTTTCCGCGAAATCACGATGTCAACCCCCTCCCCAAGTGGGACAGAGATTTTTAGGGCGGTGGGTCCGTCCACTTCATATAAAGTACTCTCCTTAGGTTTGGGCTTGTTTGGCCCACATCGTTTGGTTTTCGCCATTTCCCTCCATTTTCGCTTCGCTGCGCGGATTGCTGCTGTTACGTCTTCGGTCCGAGTCCCCGCGGGAAGCCCCGCGCATGGGCAACAACGTCTGTCCCACACACGCACAGACGCGCACATACATCATGCCCGGGCACCCCCCACAGTGTAGTGGTGTGAGCACACAAGTACTAGCAGAGTGCACACCTGCCTTGGCGGGTGGGTCGTAAGAATCAAAGCCCTGGAGGCGTGAGGGAGGGTGTAGAGGATGTAGAGTGTAGAGCGCTGTAGAGCTGTAGAGATGTAGAGCGCTGTAGAGCTGTAGAGCTCTACATCCGCCGCGTGACGAAGCGCCTGCGTTGTAGAGCGATGCAGAGCGCGATTTTGTTGTAGAGTTTGTTGTAGAGGCTCTACAGCCAAACCGCCGGGAAGGCAGTGACTCGAAGAGGTCGAGTCGCACTAATGGGGTGTCTCCGAGCTTACTGGAGCTCTGATGGACGGCCCTGACTATCCCTGACACACAGAGAGTCACTCTGACAGCACACAACACCCTATAACTGCGTCATGACCAGCCTGCCATGCGTCGCCGGTGCCGCATTCGTCGCTGTGCTTCTTTAGCGCAGGCGGTGGACTGTCGGCTGCGAGGACGGTCGCATTTGCGTGAGGCGAGGCGAGCATTCAGACGCGTTGCATGCGCCATGCCTCGCGCCAGCGCGTGCGGGAGCTCCGTGGCTGAGCGTTGAGTCCAGGCGAGTTGCGCTGGCCACTATCGCTACACCTAGCCGAGCTGACGCGCCGAGGCGCCGGCCAGTCGCAGCCGTGAGGCATGCCACAGCAGCAGAGGCACCTCCCACCCATTGGGCGGGCAGACAGAAGGCCAGGGCAGCACTGCCACTGGCAAGTGCAACGCGCCTCATGTCGGAGAGGACCGTGCCTCGTTCGCCGCTGATATAGAGTTTGTTGTAGAGATTTCACGTTGTAGAGCGCCTCTACATCGCTCTACAACGCAGGCGCCTCGTCACGCGGCGGATGTAGAGCTCTACAGCTCTACAGCGCTCTACATCTCTACAGCTCTACAGTTCCGGACGGGCATTAAGAACGCACAGGTTCTTCGCCCAGCCTCAGGTTCTTAGCTAAGTCGGCGGTCCGTCGGGGGCCGAGCCTCAGGTTCTTAACCGGGTGGATGGTTTTTTAAACCGTTTCGGCTTCGATTAAAAATCAATAAATGGGTCTTAAAACAGTTTGGAAGTTTGGAACAGTAAGTTCGCGCATGGCGTGACAAGAGAGTCATTCGCTGCCGTGAGCTGCCCCTGCGGCTGCGGCCGCGGGGGCAGGGGCGCCGGCTGCAGGCGTTGGCCCAGCCTCAGGTTCTTAGGGAGTTCTTAGGGATCCGGCCGAAATATGAGCCTCAGGTTCTTAACGTTAGAGGTTCTTAATGCCCGTCCGGAACTGTACAGCGCTCTACACTCTACATCCTCTACACCCTCCCTCACTACTCAGTCAAAGCCTCTTGGACTTGGTGTGCCAAACGTGCTCGAGCGCGCCGAAGAGAGACGATCTACGCTCGAGGGAGTTAGCGAAAGTCGCACGGGCAGAGGGGAGCAGACCGAGGCCTCCGGCAGTCCGCACCGCCTCGCGAAAGGGAAGCGACCACAACGATCTCGATCAACTCCAGCCCCAGCTTGGACTTAGGTAGATTTATTTGTTTTGACTTAGGTGCGCCGAGCGCCGGCGCGTAGGTCGCGACCGACGCGCAGCGCGGGCACGTCGCGACTGGGGATAGGTCAATGTCCACAGACCCCAATCCGGCAAGGCCCGAAGAAGAAACCCTGGGCGAAATTTGAAAAAGAAATCTGCGCCGCGCACTGTGGCTCCATTGGCGGCTCCGTTTTCTTTGCCCAGTGTTGTGAGAGCTTGTAAAAATTTTTCCCCGCAGAATTCCTTTCTTTGTGGCACCTTGTGTCTCCGCCGCTGCCGCCGCTGCCACCGACCCGGCACAAGGGCACTGTCATGCACATCACCGTCGTGGGAGGCGGCAACTCGACTCCCATCTTCGCTGCGCTCGCCAAGGACGCCGGCCACGAGGTCGCGACCGCCGCGCCGCGGATGGCTGAGACGCGAGAGCTCAGCCGCTGACGCTTCGATCCCTCGCCGTCAGGTGGCGATCCTCACCCGGCGGCCCGCCGACTGGAACAAGGACGACATCGGCTTTGTCAACGAGGACCTCGACTACTTCCCGCAGGCGGAGCTGCGGGTCGGCATCGACCTCGTGACTGACGACCCGGCGCTCTGCATTCCGCAGACGGACCTGATCTTCATCGCCGGGCTGCCGATCCACCACAACCCGACGGTGCTGGCGCGGATCCGGCCGCACCTGGACATGCAGAAGAAGGTCTTCATCGGCTCGATCTGCGCGTACGGCGGCTTCAACTGGGTGGCGGCGGAGGCGCTCGGGCCAGGCAACTACTCACTCTTTGGCACGCAGCTGATCCCGTGGTGCTGCGGCACGCTCGAGTACGGGCGGACGGGGCTGGTCATCGGGGCGAAGCGGCTGCTGCGGATCGCGACCGAGGACGGACGCGACTCTGACGGCGTCAAGCCCATCCTCGCCAAGATCCTCAAGATGCCCTTCCTCACCGACACCGACTTCATCGCGAGCACGCTCTGGCCCAACAACCCGTCGCTGCACCCGCCCATCCTGTACGGCCTCTTCAAGGACTGGGACGGGAAGAGCCCGTACGACCCGGACAAGGAGCGGCGCCCACACGACCGACGCCGCTCCCACCCGCAACGCGCACGACCGCTCGCATCCCGCCTCCCACCGCCGCCTCCCTCCCCTAGTCTCTCACAGCGCCGCCTCTCACAGCGCCGCCTCTCACCTCCGCCGCGACACTCCGGCCGCCCCTCCTCTCGGCGGCAGGTGCCCACTCTCATCTACAAGGACCTGCGCACCGACTCCGCGGTGCCGCTCCTCGCCTCCGCCCCGCCCCGCCCCTCCTCCGCCCCGCCCCGCCCTCCCCGGGCCCCGCCACCGCCTCCGCCGCCACCCCCCCCCCGCCCCGCCCTCCCCGGGTCCCGCCTTCGCCTCCGCCTCCTCTTCCCCCCCGGCCCCCCCTCCCCGTGCCCCGCCGCTCCTCCTCCCTCCACCGCCAGCCTGCCCCCCCCCCCTCCCCCTCCCCTCCCCGCGGGCAGGTCACCCTCGTCGAGATGGACACCGACCTCTGCGCCATCGTCGCCGGCCTGCGCGGCGCGCTGCCGCAGAACGGCCACCTCGTCGACAGCGACTTCTCGATGAAGGCGTGTGTGATGCAAAACTACGAGGAGCAGATCACCTGCGCGTGGGACACGGTGCGATGCGCCGCACCTCCGCCGCACCTCCGCCAGAGATGCGCCGAGCGGAGCCCCTTGCGTGCTGGACAGGCTGCCCCGCCCGTGCCACACCGCGACAGCGAGGACTCTGCGCCGCGCTCGCCCCGCGACACGCGCCCGCGCGCGCTCCGCCTCCCGCAGGTCAGCTGCATCATGTCCAACAAGGCCTTCGCCAAGCACAGGATCCCGTACACGGCCATCGAGGGCGGGGTGGTGCCGACGCTCGCACACAAGTTCTTCGAGACGGACCTGCCCTTCGGGCTGTGCACGATGAAGGACATCGCAAACATGGTGGGCGTCGCGGTGCCGTGCATCGACAAGATGATCCTGTGGAACCAGAAGCTGATCGGCAAGGAGTACCTCACCGCCTCGGGCAAGATCGACGGCAAGCACGCCTCCGAGTGCGTGCTGCCCTCCGCCTTCGGCCTCGACGCAAAGACGCTCGAGTTTGGCAACCGCAGCCGGACCGCCAACGGGGCGGAGAAGAAGCAGAAGACATGATCCCGGAGGGCGGGGCGGGGGGAGGAGAGGGAGGCAGGCCGGTCGGTGTACGTGATGGCCGGACGGCTCTCCCCCGGGGAGCGGAGACGGCCGCGTCGTTGGTCGTGTCCCGGTGACGGCGGGCTAGTGTCAACTGTCAAACGTCGATGGTTATTGGTATTTATGTCCGGCGTTTTTTTATTTTCTGAGGCGGACTGTGAGGGGCGGCGCGCGGCGGAGAGCGCAGCGGGGCTGGATCGGGGCGGTCGGGTCGGCGGGGTTGGGGCGGGGTTTGCCGTCGGGCCGCCTCGGGCTCGGCACGTGGGGGCTAGCTCACGGCCACGGGGGGTGGGGTGGGGTTGTGGGGTGGGGGTGTCGCGGGGTGGGGTGGGGCGGGCGCCGGAGTGGGAGTCGCAGTCGGTGTGTGACTGCTCGGCTGTTTTGGGTCGAATTCATTTTCTGTGTCGAGCCTGAAAGAAAGAAAAAGAAAACAGACAGCCCAAACGAGGGATGGGGGAGGAGGACAGGCTCCCCACCTGCACGAGCAGGATTTTGGAAGGACGATCAGGGGCACAGCCACAGGTGGGGCGCGTCTCCTGCTCCTGACAAGGGACACGACAGGCTCGCAGCGCGGTGCACGGTGGACTCCCAACTCCACTGGCGGTCTCATCTCAGTCTACATGTGCATGCACATGTACATGTCATGTGCGTGTAGCGACCTGCCTCCAGCTTCTCACTGGCAGTCTCTCGCTGCCACAGGCACACTTACAGGGGTGGCAGGGGCGGCGGCAGGAGTCTCCTACATGCTATCCGGGCCTCGCTAGAGGTGCGTCCTGTGTGTGTCGTCGTCCTTGAGGGTCTTGAGGGGGAAGGGGGAAGGGGAGTGTGGTCATCTTCCTGTTTCTTTTGTAAGATTCTTTTGGCCTGTGTTAGTGCCAGTGCGCGCCAGTCCCGTGCCCAGTGTTGTGCGAGGGAGTTTAGTTTTATGATAAGATTCTTTTGGCCTGTGTCGAACCTGTGTGCTGTGCGAGAGAGTTCTCTTCCTTGAATTCTTTTGGCCACCGGACGACGCGGACCGCGCAAACGGACCGCGCAAAGCAGACGTCCAGCTCCATTGTCCACGTTCGCGGCCGCTCCTCAGCTACCTCTCATGACGGCGGCGACGCTCGAGCTCGAGCTCGGCTCGGTCGAGGAGACGGAGCTGCTGGGTGCTCAGCTCGCTGAGGTCGTGGAGCGCGGCGACGTCATCTTCCTCTCGGGCGAGCTCGGCGCCGGCAAGACGTCGCTCTCGCGCGGCTTCCTGCGCCGCTTCTTTGCCGACCCGGAGCTGGAGGTGCCGTCTCCGTCCTACCTCATCTGCCTGAGCTACGCCGACGACGGACCGGACGGCAGCCCGGCGGGAGCGACTGCAGACGACGCAGGCGGCGCAAAGGCGGCGGTCTCCGGCCGCACCCTGAGGCCTCGCGGGCGCGCCCGGCTGCCCGGAGTGCGCGTGCTGCACCTCGATCCGTACCGGCTGCCCGAGGGCCGCGTCGCCGGCCTCGTCGACCTGCAGTCTGCCTTTGAGACGAGCGTCTGCCTCGTCGAGTGGCCGCAGCGGCTCGGCCCGCAGCTCTGCACGCCGCACTCGCCGCAGCGGGTCGAGGTGCGGCTGGGCGGGATCGGGCCGCAGGCGGCGGGCCGCGCCGCCACGGTGACGGCGGTGGGCCCTCGCTGGGCGCCAATGCTTGCCGAGTGGGTCGCCGCCGGTCGCGTCACTGTCGAGCTGCCTCCGCTGCCTCCGCCTGCGCTGCCGTCGGGCGATGGCGAGGCGGGCAACGGCGAGTCGGGCGACGGCGTGGGCGGCGGCGGCGGCGAGGCGGGCGGAGGACAGGCCGCGGCGAGGGTCGTCCCTCCCGTGCCGGAGGGTGCTGGTCGGCGGGGGATGCTGCAGAGGTGCGGACGAGTGGGAGTGGTCACTCGAGAGGAGTGCGAGGCTGCGCGAGAGTAGGCGGGAGATGCTCGTGCTCGGGATCGAGTCGTCCTGCGACGACACGGGCGCGGCGGTGGTGCGGGGGGACGGGACCGTCCTCGCCGAGGCGATCGCGTCGCAGGCTGGCGTCGCACGAGGAGAGTGAAGCATGGCTGACATGTGGTCCTGAAGGGCTCCCTCGCCTCGCAGGTCGGCGTACACGAGGAGTGGGGCGGCGTGGTGCCAAAGCTGGCGCAGCAGTCGCACCGCGCCGCCATCGACGGGACGGTCGCCGAGGCGCTTCGCCGCGCCGCCGTCTCTCCGGCCGACCTCTCCGCCGTCGCCGTCACCGTCGGTCCGGGCTTGGCGCCCTACGGACGTGGCGAGAGAAGAAGACGTCGACGGGCCGTCCTCCACCCGCCAGCACATACGGCGCTTTAGGCGCTCTGCCTGGACGTGGGGGTGCGCAAGGCGCTCTCGCTCTGCCGCGAGCACCGCATCCCTCTCGTGCGCCCTCCGCCCGCCGCCGAGGCGCCGCTGCGGGCCGCGTCTCTTCACACCTCACCTGTCGTGAGCAGGTGCGGGTCCACCACATGGAAGCTCACGCCCTCGTCACGTGGCTCCCCTCCTGCCACGCGCACCACGCACCCCGCCCGCACCCGCCGTCCGCGTCCGTGCCGCAAGCCCCGCCGCCGCCGCCGCTGCTGTCGGGGCTGCTGCCCCCCTTCCCCTTCCTGACGCTGCTCGTCTCTGGCGGGCACAACATGCTCGTCCTCTCGCGCGCCGTGGGCGAGCCGCCCTCCCGCGCCGCCACACCCCGCCGCCCCGCCCCCTCCCCCCTCGCCCCCTCGCCCTCACTCCCCCGCCCCACCGCCGCCCCTCCCTCGCCTGCCAGGCGATCACACGGTCCTCGGCTCGACCCTCGACGACTCGATCGGAGAGGCTTTCGACAAGACGGTGCCACGCTGCCCGCGCTGCCCCCTGCCGCCCGCCCGTCCGACCCGCCCATGCGTTGCCCGCCCGCCCGCCCGCCCGCCTGCTCGGCACTGCCCATCCGACCGAGCCGCCCCCCCGTGCAGGCCCGCCTCCTCGGCATCGAGGCCATCCCGGGCGGGCCTCCCCTCGAGCGGCTCGCAGCGAGCGGAGACCCTCGCGCGTACGCGCTGCCGCGGCCGCTCTCGCGCACCCGCGACGAGGCTCTCCGCTCCAACTGCGACTTTTCGTACGCCGGCCTCAAGTCGGCCGTCCGGATGCTGCTCGAGCCGCAGCAGCCGCCAAAGAAGCAGCGCAAGCAGCAGCGCAAGCAGCAGCAGGGACAGGGGCAGCAGCAGCAGCCGCAGCCGCAGCAGCAGCAGCCGGAGCAGCCGCCGCCGCCGCAGCAGCAGCAGCAGCTGCCGGCGCCCGAGCCCGCAGTGGCCAACGGCGATGGCGGCGCGTCAGCCGCGGGCGGCGCCGGGGCAGCTGCCCCCGATGGCGCCGCCACGCCAGCAGGCTCGGGGGGCGCGCAGCGGCGGGCCGACATCGCCGCCTCCTTCCAGCGGGTCGCCGTCGAGCACCTCGTCGAGCGCGTCGAGCGCGCCATCGGCTGGGCGCGCGAGGCGGAGCCGGGTCTCACTTGCGTCGTCGTCGCGGGAGGCGTCGCCGCGAACGGCGAGGTGCGGAGGCAGCTGAGCGGCGCGTGCGGCCGCGCCGGACTTCCGATGGTGTGCCCCCCGGTGCGGCTCTGCACGGACAACGGGACGATGGTTGCGTGGGCGGGCATGCTCCGCCTCTGGCTCGGCCTCGCGGAGCCGCCCCTGCGCGAGAGCGACGAGCTCGACCTCTTCGTCGAGGTGCGGCCCAAGTGGCCGATCGGGCCGCGCGACCGCCGCTCGACGACGCAGGCGCAGCAGCTCGCCAAGCGGAAGACGCCCGCCCAGGCCTCCGCCGCGGCCGAGGCCGCCGGCTACGCACCCGCGCCGCTTGCCGCGCCCGCCGCGCCCGCGGGTGGGAGCGCAGCAGAGGAGGCGGGCGAGAAGCGAGCGAGGGGGTGACGGCGTTCCGCGAGTCTTTCTCGTTCCTCGGCGGCCCCGGGGGGGGGGGGGGGTCTTTCCCCCAGGGATGCCTTGAATGCCAAGAAAAGAGAAAGAAAACGGACCCATGTAGAGAACTTAGAGCGTGACACGGGGGGTTTCGGGGCGTGTGTCAGCTGAGACGTGACGAGAGCTGTCACGACACACACGCGCTCTCACGCGCATGATGCGGTGTGGGAGATTGCAATCTCCCCAGGGTTCACCCCCAGTGTGGGTAGGGGATCCCGCACCCCCAGGGGGGGAACCCACACCGGACGCGCGCCCTAGCGCGCGCCTGGGAACATATGTGAAAACCAGCCGAAACGAGAAACGAGCCTCCTCTCCCCAATTACCCCAAAAGAGTAAACGGACCCCAGCACCCGCGCACTGCACTGGTCCACCCAGTTAGCCAGACGATTGGGATCGGGTTGCGGGGCAAGAGAGCCCTAGCCCTGGGGGGTGCGCGGTCGCAGAGCCAAATAATAAATAGAGCATACATCTCCTGGGGAGATATGGCGACAACCCGACGGGCAGACCCCGCCTCCCGCTCGCCGAGGGCGTGCACCACACAGCACACAGACATATACCTAGGCGCTGCACGGCTCCAAGGGCTTTCTGGGGTGTTGTGTGTGTGTGTGTGTGTGTGTGTGTGTGTGTGTGTGTGTGTGTGTGTACGATGTGTGTGTGTGTGTGTGTGTGTGTGTGTGTGTGTGTGTGTGCTCGCTCGCTCGGATGCGCGGGCGCTGTGCGAGCCGCCCTGCCCGCGGCGCTGCTAGAGTTGCGCCGCGGGGAGGGCTCGGCGGCCGCTTCTAGAGCTCTTCGTCGCTCTCCCCGTCGAGCGAGGGCTCGTTGGACTCGCAGGGCCATAACACGGTTCTTGTCCTCCAGCGAATTCTTTTTGGGCCGTCGCCTGCTGCCATTTGTAGTGCCAGTCTGAGCCAGTCTGCTGCGAGGGGCATGAATTCTCTTTTTGCCCCAACGCCTGGACATCACCATTTTGGCTCGCCAACATACAAGCAAAGAAAGAAAGAAAGAAAACGGACAACCCAAGGGAGGGATGGGAGGACGGCACGCCGCCACCACACAGGGATTTTAAGGAGAGGGGTGTGGGGCGCTATCCGTCGCCCACCCTTGGGCGTCTGCCTCTTCCTATCTCTCTTCGCAGTCCCTCGCCGATTCTCGCTGCAACCTTCATGCCACCTCGCGGTCTTCCCACTCTCGTCGTTCTCTCTCTTGTCGCTTCTTCCTCTGTCGCTTCGCTCTCCTCTGCCTCGTTCTGCGACGACGCCGCTGCCTGCCGATCCCTTGCCCTCGCCTCTCGGCGCAACTCTGCCCTCCTCGCAGCATATCCTGGCCCCTCGAGTTTATCGAGCTCTCCTCGCGCAAGGACGACTCTTCTGACGCCCACTGCGACCATTTGCCGCCAAGTCATATCGTTGCTCAGGTCCACTCTCTCTTCGGACACTTGTACCTCCACCGATGATGCCGGCGCTGGGGTCCCCTTCGGGTGCATCGTGACAGCTGACGACGGGATTTCCACTGGCTCGTCCTCCTCAGAGCCGTCTTCCCCGGCTTCCTCCCATTCGGCTCTACGTTCAGCACGTTCAGCGTGGCTCACCCTCCATGCCGTGAACAGGCGGGGTTGTGCGTTTATGTGAACAGGCGGTTTATCCACCCTGTCTATATTCTTCTCTCGTTCCTCTGCCCTTGCCTTGGTCTTGTCGTTGTTTCGCATCCATGTCAGTATGGCGATCGAGGCTGCCTTCCCCACTACCTGTAGTTCTCTCGTCACCTCTCCTGCGCCAACAAGCTCTCCTTTGCCATAATACTTTTTGCCCCACATGCCCGGAGTTCCTCGATAGCGGTACACTCTGCTGCAGAATTCAATGTCCGAGGTGGACCGCTGGAAGCCCGAGGAGGACGAGTCGCGCGAGCAGCGCGAGGGCAAGCGCCACCGCGACCGCGACCGCGATCGCCGCGAGCGCAAGCGCGACCGCCGCGACGACTCATCGAGCGATGAGGACCGCCGACGTCGGCGCCGCTCGCGCTCGCGCTCGTCGAGTGACGAAGAGCGATCGCGTCGGCGAGACCGCGACCGGCGCGACCGCGACCGGAGGCGCGACGACAGCGAGGAGCGGCACGCGCGGCGGCGCGACGACCGACACGAAGACAGCGGTCGGCGCGGCACCCACGAGGAGCGGGAGGTGAGCCGGCCGCCGCAGGTCGACCCGGAGCTCGAGCAGCTGCGGGAGGAGCTGCGGATCGCCGAGCAGCGCCTGTACCAGCTGCAGCAGGAGGTCGAGCAGCTCGAGGCGGCAGAGGCATTTCACCTGCGCGGGGGCGGGGGCGGCGGAAGCGACGGTGCCAGCTGGGCCGCTCCGCCGCCGCCGCCGCCGCCGGGGCCGGCGGGCGGCGGCGCCGCGCGGCCCGTCTCCCCGGGCGGGCTGCTTGGCACCTTCTCCCTCCTCCTGATCCTGCCCGGCGACATCGGCGGCGACGCGATGCGCCGTGTCGCAAAGCTGCGGGAGAAGGTCCTCGCGCCGTGCGACTTCAACGTCAAGCTTCCGGCCAAGCCGAAAGAGATCCGGAAGCGGTTCGCCGAGGCGGCGCGGACGCAGTCGCAGGACGACACGACTCGCGCCAAGGGGGGCGACCTCGGCGAAGTCTGCGGCGGCGACCTGCCGGCCGAGCTTGAGGAGGCTGCGCGCGCGCTCGCCGTCAACGGAGTGAGTCAGCCTATCGAGACAGAGCGAGGGGCGCACCTCCTGCTGCGCACCGCCTGAGCGCACCGCCGATGCAGGGCCCGGCGGCCGAGGCCCGCCTCTTGGCGGCGCGGCGAGGCGAGCGCGTGTTTCGTGCTCGAGAGACGGGCCGTCCCGCGTGCGCCACAGCCAACAACATGGCCGAGAAAAGTGCGCAGGGCAATGGGGGGCGGGAGGGGGAGCGGCTTTCTTGGGCGGCCGAGAGCCCCTCGGTTTGTTCTTCCCGGGAGGGCGGAACGAGAGTGAGTGGGCAGCCACAGCGCGCCCTGGGAGCGTGCGCGCCATCCAGTGTGTGTGCAGTGACCAGTGTCGTACCCGGGTAAAAAAAAGGTAGGTGCGTTATGTCTTAATGTGCTTTGATCAGACACAAGAAACAGTCTCGTTCGTCGAGAGATTCAGACACAGAATCACGGACATACGTCTAACACGAGAGTCTCTCTCGCGAGCCCACACACCGCGCTCCGCGGCCGCGCCCCCCGCGTGAGGCCGTGAGCGGCACACGTTCAGCATACACCCTTTTTTGCCAGGCTCACGCACCGTGTGACACCGCGCTGGTATGCGTGCGTCTCATCAGGCACCGGCCAAGAATCGGGAGGAAGCGACGGTGACATTCGACAGGACTAGGCGGCGAGCAATCGAGCAGCAATTGACAAAACGGCGGGGACGGGGGACAGAATCGCGCATTGCCCTCGGGGGGCACGACGGTGGAGCTATGCGTTGCCTATCGGAGGCATAGACCTACTGCGAGGCAAAGATGATGGCGGCAGCGGTGTCTGCAGCAGCCTCCCTACTGGCCTTCGACGACTTGCCCGCTATGGCAATCCCGCCGAGGCAGGTGGTGACACCAGTCGCAGGGTTCTGCACCGTAAGGGCCCTGCCGCCCATGCCCGGGTTGGCCGCCGTGCAGGCATCCTCCGATGCCGGCTCAGAGACCGTGCCGTACTCGGTCGTCATGCAGTCCTCGGGGCCGATGGTCGAGGCGCATGAGCTGGCTGCGGCCACCGCGAGCGAGGAAGCCATCTCGCACGAGAGGACGGGCGCGTTCTCCATCAGCAACCTGCACATCTCAATCCCGCGCGCATCGACGACGACCACGCAGTCCTGCCAGTTGGTGAGCTCGGTGTAGGCGGACTGCATCGCGTCGATGCAGGCGAGCGTGTTCAGCTGCAGAGTGTTGGTGGTGTAAACGGCTGGGGGGCTCGGCGGCGGCTCGGCAGGCGGAGCTGGCGGCGCAGAAGGAGGAGTCTCGGGCGGCGGCGCGGGTGGTGCGCTGGGCGGCTCAAACGGGGGTAGGCTTGGCGGAGGGCCAGGAGGCTCACTCGGCGGCGTGAGTGGTGGAGGGCTCGGAGGTGACGGTGCCAAGGGCGGGCTTGGAGCAGACGGCGGGGACGGCGGGCTCGGGGAGGGAGACAACGGCGGGGGCGGCGAAGGTGTCGGCGAGGCTGGAGGCGGCGGCGTAGCCGGCGGGCTCGGCGGCGACGGCGGCGGCGGCGATGGCGGCGGAATAGTCGGTGGCGAGGGTGAGGCGGGAGGCGATGACGGCGGAGGCGGTGAAGAGGGCGGTGGCGGCGATGGCGGTGGGGGGATTTTCCACCAAGGGGTCGATTGGGCTGCTGAGGCACTGAGAGAGGCTCCCAGCAGAATGAGCAGCCGTGACCGCATCGCCTGCCCCGTCGGCGGCGACGGCAAGCCGCTCACCGGAGGGAGAGTCGCGAAACGCCCGTTGTTGGCCTTTCGAGATTCTGTTACTTCCAAATCCGGCGTGCGAATCCGCCGCGGCGGGCATTTCAAATTTTGTCGTTTCACCCGATCGCTTTTATGGCCCGATTCTCCGGGTGTTGAATCGGTCAGCTGGCGAGCCTGGCTGTTCTTCACCTTCCTACATACATGCCCTAGTACGTCCACCCCCACTGTTCACATCTCATCACCTGCCTTGCCTGGCTGGCGGCGGCAGCAACGCTGCATGTTCCCTTTCCCGGGTTCGCTCCCTAAGTAATAAGAACGGGTGTGTGGTTTGTACTCGCCAACTGCTGGGGCGGCTTCCCCCTTCCTCTTCTTGCAGAGAGAGAGAGAGAAGGAGGGGGAGAGCAGGGAATTAATTACGCGTAGCTGCTGACGAAGAGGCTCCCCGGCAAATACAAAGCTGAGGCGGTCGGCAGCTCGGCACATGCACATGTGCATGACATATGTCATGCACATGTGCATGTCATGTGCATGTTGTGCATGTCCATGTGCGATGCAGGGACAATTCGCGGAAGATCGTAACGACAAAATAATACCCAGTCGTGCTTGCTTTCCTCAAGTCCACCTTTCATCCGGATTTCGCAGCAAAGGGGCCCCCGCGCAGCCTCCTTCATCCTTCTTCGAGCGCGTGGTGACTGACGACTATGCCCTCCGCAGCAGGAGCCTCTTTCGACGCTCGCCTCAGGGGCGTGCTATCGGTCGCAACCCAGCTCCTCGCTCTACCCCTCGTGGTGGCCGCGGCGCTTGTGCAGCTGGCTCTGGTCCCCGTGATGCTCCCACCCTTCCTTGTGCTGCTCTCCTCTAGTGCCCTGATGGCTGGGGCCCTGAAGCTTGTTCATCCAACGCAGACCGGTGAGGTGACGAACGAAGAGGTCTACGGCTCGATCCTGCTTCTGTACATGAAGTCGGCTTGGGCCGCCCTCGCTGCAGTGCTCCTTGCCATTGCCGGTCCCTTTCAGATGATCTCCAGTCTAGCGCGGTCACTCCGAGATTGGCAGGTGGCGCGAATCCTTCAGCCTGGCGCGGAGGGCACTTCTCTTCGCACGCCAACCTCGGTCCTGATCACGGGCGCCAGCAGCGGCATTGGTGCGGAGCTCGCTCGTCAGTACGCAAAGCCAGGCGTCCGCCTCGTGCTGACGGCGCGGCGGGTGGCCAAACTGGACGCCGTCAAGGTTGACTGCGAGTCGCGCGGAGCTGTGGTAGTCACCGCCCCCGCGGACGTGACGAATGCAGAAATGATGGCGTCCATCGTGGCCGCCGCAGACGAGGACGCGCCGCTCGACCTGGTCATCGCGAACGCGGGCTGCTCCGAGTCGAATGTGCCTGGTGGCAGCCCCCTGTGGCACAAGGCGGGCCCCGTAAACTCGACCAACGTCATGGGCGTCGTCAACACTGTGAGCCCGGCGATGGAGCGGATGGTTGCACGCGGCCACGGCCAGCTCGTCATCATGGCCTCGGTGGCCTCTGCCGGCTCGAGCACTAACCCCTCGAGCGTCAGTTACGCCGCCAGCAAGGTCTGGGGACGCGCCTATGGGCAGGGGCTGCGCGGGGCGCTCAAGGGCACGGGCGTCGGCGTCACCACCATCTGCCCCGGCTTCGTGGATTCAGAGATGGTTGGCGGCACGGACGCGCGCAAGTCGGGCTGGCTGCCGTCGACGAACTGCCCCGGCTTTGCCAAGCGCTTCTTGGCGTCCATGACGATGCCGACCGGCGAGGCGGTGCGGCACATGATCGCGGCCATCGGTCGCAACGCGGGCGTCGTCACCCTCCCGTGGTGGTACCATCTGTCCCTCTGGGCGCCGCAAATGCCGCACTACAATTTGATGCCGCCCTTTGTCGAGTACTGGCTCGCGCCGTCCAACCAGGTCAAGGCGCCGGCGCTGCCCAGGGGAACAAAGGGGTTCAGATCAGCTCCCAGCGCGTCGTCATCATCGTCCGAGGACTCCTTGACGCCCCGCTCCCGCAGCGCGCGACTGAGCCCCTCGATACGCAAGCTGCGCCGCGCGGGCCGTGCGGTCCGCTTCTGCGTGTCGCACCTCGAGGCCTGAGTGCGGAGAGGCTTGCAGCTGTGTGTAGATTTAGATCTAGCTCCCAGGGTGGCGTGCCGTGGGTATTCTCTGTCTGTTCCATGGGTATTCTCTGTCTCTTGCCGAATATTTTGAAATTCTTTGCCGAAATGAGGCTCGGCTCTTCTTCTTTTGTGAGGACGACGGCTTCTATTTTTAGAAAAGCCGTCGTTTTTAGAAGTCGTCGTCCGCGCTTTGCCTGTTGTGTGAATTGTGCGGCAAATTCTTCTTTGTCGTGCCAGTGTGTTCTTATAGAAATTCTTTTTCGCACACCACCCAAAATTCTTTTTCAGCGCTCGCTTTTGGTTGTCTTGGATGTCAAGGGCTTTCCTGACACGCTGTCCGCGAGCGAATGAACGAGAACTTCACGCCACAGACGGCCACCCGCCTCTCCGGTCGCACATCCGAGCGCTGTGCTTCAATCGACCTGGCCTGCTGCGCCGAGAGTCATCAGACCAAGCGGCGTTGCGTGTTTCGCTCCGCACCATCGCTCAGCGACCTCTCGACGGCGCTACTGGGCACACGCGACCAGGTCCTCGCCTGCCTCAAGATCCAGTCGCGCGTGCGCGCGTGGAAGCATCAGCTCCAAGCCGCAAGCGCGGTGACGGATGAGTGCATGCCGGACGAGGATGAGTGTGCCATCTGCTGCTCGTTGCTATGCGAGCCCTCGCGTTGGCCGGCCATCGCCGACAGCGAGTGCGAGCACCGCTTCTGCAAGCCATGCATCGCTCAGTGGATGGCCCAGCAAAAGTCGGATAACCCAACCTGCCCGCTCTGCCGCGCGCCTGCCCTGGCCCGCCTCTCGCGAGGGGCGATCGAGGTCGACGAGACGGAGGCGGCGCGGCTGGCGGAGCGGCATCCGTGTTTGTACGCGGAGCGACTGACCCTCCACCGCGCGATGTCGGCCGAGCTGCGCGTGCACGAGCAGACGGGGCGTGTGACCATGCCGGTCGCGGTCGGCTTCCCAGAGGTGCAGCAGCGCTCCGACAGCTACTACTGGGGCTACTTCTCGTTCTCGCGCACCGAGCACCTCAACGCTCTCGCCCACGCCCTCGCTTCGCCGCGCAGGCAGATGCTCGTCCTCAGCGGCGAAGAGCGCGGGCAGGGCGCTCGCGGGCGCGTGGTCACCGTCACTCTGTCCTGGTGGCTGCTGGTCCGGTGCCGCCGCTCCGGAGTAGTCCGCACTGCCGCCGGCGACGCCGACGGCGGCAACGTCGCCGCGAGCGCTCTCCTCCAGGCGCTCGTGGCGCGCCGGACCCGGTGGGGGCAGGTGTGCGTGGAGCTCCGTGTGGAGCGTGCGTGCGCGCTGGCCGCGCCGGCGTGCGACGACGAGGAGCGCCTGGGCGTGACCATGGGCGAGGTTCGATACAGATAGGACCCATTTCTTTGCCGTGCAGAGCTAGATTCAGATACCCGGGTAGGATCCTCGGTGCGCCCTCTTCTTCTTTCCTGGCAGAATTAGTGCCAGTGCGCGCCAGTGCCGTGCCCAGAGAGAGATTTTTGAAAACCAACAAGAAATCACGACTCTCACAGTGAAAATTTGGGCTCGGCAGCTTGTCAGCCCTCAGGCTCAGCCGAAGCTGGGGCCGGTCCCGTTGTCGTGCGAGGGAGCTTTCTTGTAAAATTCTTTTTCTCCGCGGATCAATCCAATTCTTTTCTCGCCAGTCCCGTGCCCAGTGTCGTGCGAGGGAGCTTTGACCTTTGAGCTTTGTTGAGAGAGAGAGAGAGAGATTTTGATCTTGAACTCTTCTCGCCAGAAAAAATCCGAGAGAGCAGGTGTGTGTGTACTTCTTGCTTGGGCGGCAGTCATGCCGGGGTAGGTAGGGTAGGTCTGGGCCCTCCCGTCGGGTTTTCCCCTCTCTGCTCTCTTCACGCTGGAATTTTCCCAGCAGAAAAATAATTTTCCGCCTAATCACGATGTCAACCCTCCCCAAATGGGTGATCTGGTGCGTGTAGGGCTTGAGAGTGGCCTGCCATGTCACAGGAAGGACTGTGGTTGCAGGCAGGAGAGTACCACCAACCATCACTTTAGTTCGTATGGTTCCCCACCTTAACCGGTCCGGTAATTTGTTTTTTAGTTTCCCATAAGTGGGTAGGCAGGTAGGTAGGTAGGTAGGGGCAGGGCAGGGGCCGGCCGGGTTTTTGAAGAATTTTACGAGAAACTCCGTCGCTCGACACTACTCGAGTAGGCACAGGACTGGCGCTAACACAGCTACACCAAGCAAGAAGTACACACACCTGGAGAGAGGCTCCCGCGCTCCCTCCGCCGTGTCGCCCGAGCTAGACATGGGACGCAAGCGCGTGCTCAACCGCCGCGCAGGCCGCCGAGTGCGGTCGCGGACGGCTGCGGCCGCAGCAGCTACGCCGCCCGAACCTCCGTCTGAGGAGCCTTCAGAGCTTCCCGCCGGCCGAGCTCTCTTCCGCGAGTACTACGCGCGCTAGAAGCTGCTCTCGTCGGCGGCCGACTGGCAGGCCTTCGGGCAGTCCATGCGCTCTCCGCTCCCTATCACATTTCGTCGGTGCGGGCTGCCGAGCCGTTCGGCGGCGAGTGAGGCGTGCTGGGCCGAGGGACAGCAGCTGATCCGCGCCTTCGAGGAGTCGAGTGGGCGGCAAGGGCGCGCCCTGCCTTGGTGCCACGGGTACCAGCTGCCACTCTCCCGGCTCGAGCTGCGAAGCGAGGCGCAAGCGAGCGGCGCGGCCGCCGCTCTGCAGGCGTGGCTACTGCGTGCGTCGGGCTGTGGGCTGGTGATGCGGCAGGAGGTGGTGAGCATGGTGCCGGCGCTGCTTCTCGGCGTGCAGGCCTCGCACCGCGTGCTCGACGTCTGCGCCGCGCCAGGCTCGAAGACGACGCAGCTGCTCGAGATGGTCTCGCACGGCGCGGAGGGCGGCGTCGTCGTCGCGAACGACGCGGAGCCGCTGCGCGCGTACGTGCTGGCGCACCGGCTCCGCTCGCTCGGCGCCGGGCTGAACGCCGTCGTCGTGACGCACCGCGGCCAGACCCTCCCGAGGGCTGGCGAGGAGTACGACCGCGTCTTGTGCGACGTGCCTTGCTCCGGCGATGGCACGCTGCGCAAGGAGCCGGCGCTGTGGGCCTCGTGGCGGCCAGGCCTCTCGCTGCGCCTCCACTCGCTCCAGCTGCAGATCGCACTGCGCGCGGCGGCGCTCGTCCGCGCTGGCGGCTCGGGCGTCTCGGATTGCATGGGCGTGACGTGCCCCTGCGGCTGTCCCCGCAGGCGCTCGTCCGGGTGGGCGGCCTGCTCTGCTACTCGACTTGCTCCCTCTCCCCGCTCGAGGCAGGGGCGTGGTGTGGGGACGGCGAGGACACGAGTCAGAAAGGTCACCACGACGCGAGTGGAATAGGACGAGGCGGTGGTTGCGAGCTTACTGCGCGCGGCGCGCGGCGCGCTCGAGCTCGTCGACGCGAGCGGCCAGCTGCCGGAGCTGCCTCGGGCGCCCGGCCTGAGAAACTGGCAGGTCATCGACGACGCGATGCGCCGCGTGCCCTCCCTCGCCTCGCTCTCGTCGGAGCCGCTCACCGTCCGCCGCCGCTTCCGCGCCGGCATGTTCCCGCCGAAAGGAGGAGGCACGTCGCCCACGCCCCCCTCGTCCTCCCTGCCTCGTGCGCCCCGCCGACACCGGGGCGCACGCCCCCCCTGCTGACCCGTGCAACCCCGCTGGCGCGGCGGCAGACGGGGCGCCGCCGCTCGAGCGCTGCATGCGCTTCCTGCCCCACCTCGCCGACACGGGCGCCTTCTTTGTGGCGCTTCTCCGCAAGACAGCTCCGCTGCCCCCGGGGAGGAGAGGGCAGCGGCACGGGCAGGAGGCGCTGCCGCTCTCCAAGCAGCGCGCGGCGGCGCAGCTCGCAGCAGGCCATTCGCTCCGGCCGCTGCCGACAGAGGCGCCGGCGGCGGAGGCAAGAGCGGCGGAGGCGCCGGTTGGGAGGGAGGGCGAGCGCCTCTTCACGCGCTCCCCGTCGGGGCGACGCGCGCTGCACGTGCCTCCGCGTGTGGCGCGTTTCCTCGGCTTCGCGGCCGAAGGCACGGCAGATGGCGCTTCCTCGCCGCTCTGTGTGGTGCACGCGGGCTGCCCTCCCGGGGAGCTGGAGGAGGACGCCGAGGCGCTCGCCGCTCGGCTCGGCGCCAAAAAGTCGAGGGCGGAGCGGCGCGACGCGTCGGCAACTCAGCGGGACCGGAAGCGGGCGCAGTGGTGTCACTGAAAAATGATATAAAAGAAAAAAGAAATCCCGAAATTCCCATGTTTTCCGCGAAAGGAGCCGCCTTACCCGCTCTTCTCCCTCATGGGCTGCAGCAGCAGCAGAGATGCAGAAACCCCGACGGCGACGACGAGGGCCAGCGCCACGACACTGCCTTGCTCTGAGCGTTGCATTAACGACAGCAAGCGCACAGCACGCAGCCGCAGGCACAGCCGCCGCATCGATGTCCCTTCATCGCTCACGCTCCGCGCATATGAGGAGCTCGGCGAGACCTCTGAGCTTCGCGCGGGCAGTCTGCAGCAGCTGCGGTCGGAGTTGGCGACGCTGGTGGAGCAGCGGGTGGCGGGCTGGGAGGACTTGCAGAGGGCGCTGGAGCAACCCGATCTGTGGCTGGTTCGTTTCTTGCGCACCCGCAAGTACGACAGCGCGAGGGCACTCCATGCGCTGCGAGGCAACCTCTCCCTCTCCCGCTACCTCGAGGGCCTGCCTGCTCGGACGGGCGGCGCAAAGCCCGGGGCAGTTGCGGCGGTCCGTTTCTGGGACCTACATATCGAGGATAGCTCCGTGAGGTACGTCCTGGACAGGAGGCTCCTGGCCACGGTGCCCGGTCGTGCCCGCGACGGGAGCGCAGTCGTGCTCCTCTCGCCCTCGAGCGACTTCCTCGTTGCGTGGGGGAGGCTCGGCGTCGGAGGCTTCACCCTCGCCGTGCTCAAGCTGATCGAGGCGCTCTCGCTCGAGCCGCGGACGCAGCTCTGCGGCATCACCGTCGTCGTCGACCTGCGGCGCGCCTCGTCGGCCCTCATCTCGACCTCTCTGCGGCCAGACATGCTTCGGCTCACCGAGCGGCTCGCCTCGCTGCTCGGCAGCAAGGCCGCCTTCCGGGTGCGAGGCCTCTGGATCGTCGGTGCGCCGTGGTACGCGCGCGCCCTCGTCAACCTGGTGCGCACCTTCCTCTCCAGCAAGCTGCGATCGCGCCTCCACCTCTGCTCCGCCGCAGAGGACTTGCACGCCGCAGTGGAAGAGCGCCTCCTGCCCGCCGGCTTCGGGGCCGGAGGCGGTGCGGACGAGGGCGGAGCCGAGGCCAGCTTTGAAGAGTGCCTGCTTGCGCTGCAGCGGCGAGAGTCCTCGACGCGCACGTCGCTCAGGTCCTCGTCCTCGTCGGAGCCCCTCGTCTGGCAGCGGCCGAGGCACGAGCTTAGTCCGACATAGTGTGTCCACCCCGTCTCCGAGCTCAGAGTTCAGAGAAGGAGAAGTGCCGCCACAATAGGGTACCGCGCGAAAGTTTCCGCTTTGTTTCGTGATGGCGGATGCGGAAACATTTTCCGCGCGTGCGAGGTACGCAATACTCACGAAATTGTAAACAAGACATACCAAGACGGAAGAGGAAGACACTCTGCTTTTTTAAAGCCGTACGGGTCACCACGATATCTTCTACTTCATGTCTCTCGCAGCACGCACCCCTCATGCACCGCGATGCCCTCCCGCTCACACAGGGCGAGGATCTCGTCCGAGCCGGCGCCCGGCTGCACAAACGCAGATTTGATGCCGAGGGCGGCCGCGTGCTCCATTTGCACGAGCCCATCCCGCGGGTTGATGATTAGGTCGACGACATCGATGTCGCTCTTCGCTGCCGCGTCGCGGAGGCTTCGAAAGATGACTCCGTGCGGGTCGGTGCCCGGCTTTACGCGAGGATTGACTCGCACGACGGTCTTGCCAAGGGCTTCCAGGCGCTCAGCAACCGCACGTGCTGGTTTCCTGGGATGGAGCACGTCCCCAATCACAGCCCACGTCGGCTGCCGCAGCATGTCCTCACCAGCCGTCGCACACATGGCGATGCGGCTGCCGTGCAGCGACGAGGTCAGAGCGACGAGCAGCGGCAGCGGCCGAGCGAGCAGCATTCCGTGCGCGCGGATTTTTCTTTTGACGAGAAGACTCCTTCTCCCTTGTTTGTTTTCTTTTTATTTTTTAGTCTGTGGTATGAATGAAAGGCAATGTTGGAATAAGTTTTTGTGAGGGTTGCCCGGCCGCGGGTTGCTGCGCAAAAGCTTTTATGTGCGCGGGTTCGCGCTGCGCTAGGCTCAGAGCGAGTTCGCGCTGCGCTAGGCTCAGACGGCGAGTTCGCGCTGGCTAGCTAGGTAGGAGAGAGAGTTTGTTTGTGTTGCTAGGTAGGTAGGTAGAGGGTGAGCCGTCGCGATTTCTTGTTGGTTTTCAAAACTCTCTCTCTCTCAAGCTGAAGATGTTCACGGGCCCTCACACGAAGGTGGGGAGCCCCGGGTGGGTCTCTTTAGGTTTATTTAGCTGTACTCGAACTCGGTCCTAGACTCGGTCTAGGCAGGGGTTTGCTTGCTCGTTCGTCGTTGCTGGAAATTAAGACAACAACAAACGCTAACCTCTTTCTGGCCGCGTCGTCCCTCCCCTGGCCGATGTTCTGCATTCCTCTTTTACGTACATAAAAGTTCGACGGATCACAGGACACAGCTAGACCCCAGCTGGGTTCCACGAGGCCTGACAGCCGGCGAGAGCTTGCGCTGCCGGATAGTCGAAGAAGGCCGATAGCGCTTGCCTCTCCGGCTCCGCGCCCTGCCGCGGTGACGCTGCCGGCTGCGACGCCGCGGCTGCGCTTGCCTCTCCCGCTTCCTCTCTGGCCCTCTCGCCCTCCTCCCACAAACGCGCTACCGCTGCCGGGTCGTACCGCTCGTCTCTCCGTCCGCGCCTCTCTCGCTCTGCGGCCATCCACGGCTCATCTTGCGCGCGCGGGTGGAAGGGCCCCCAATAGTAGCCGCCACAGTCGTCCGTCATAATTGTTAGTCGGAGAATTTCGCGAATCCTCGGCACAGCCTCGAGCGCCTCGAGGCGGTCGTTGCTGCTGTCGAACCGGAGGCGGATGTAGCTCTTGGCCGAGCCTGCGCAACAACAGGAAAGGAGCGTCGGAAGGGGCGGGTCGCGTGTGCTGGCGCGCTGGTCGCATAGCGGAGTGCCGCGCACCGGGCTGGGAGAAGGGGTCGTAGTGGTCGGCGATGGACGTGCCGATTGAAGTGGTCGGCGACGTCCTGGGAGCAAAACGGCACAACTCCCAGGAAAGGTCGTAGCCTCGCAAGTCCAACGGCACGTCCACAAAGCCGCGCAGGGAGAGGTCGAAGTCGATGTCGCTCGCGGACGCGGAGCAGAGACTTGCAGTCCTCAGCTTCAGCGTCCACGAGGGCCACGGGAAGCAGTGAGACGAGTGGGATTCCGGCATGGAGAAGGTCCATCGAATCTCGTCCCGCTCAAAGGTCACGATCCCGGCGCCGAACTCCAACGTTCCGAGGGCAATCTCGCTGCAGTGCTTCCGGACCGGCCGGTCCCAAACGGTATCGGGCCCAAACCTCCAGCGGGGGAGCCCGGGCGGCGGCCCTGGCCGTGGGAGGAGCTGCAGCTTCTCGAGCTCGCTCGAGAGCGACTCAGAGCGCTGCCCCTCTGCGCGCAGCCGCTGCACCTCTGCGTGCAGCCGCTGCACCTCCTCGCGCAGCTGCTGCCCCTCATCGCGCAGCCCGGCCGGCTCGCCAGCCGCATCTCCAGCTCCAGCCGCAAGCGGGCCGCCGCCGCTCGCCTCGCCGCCGCTCGGCTCGCCAGCCGCATCTCCAGCTCCAGCGGCAGGCGGGCCGCCGCCGCTCGCCTCGCCGCCGCCGCTCGCCTCGACGCCGCTCGGCTCGCCAGCCGCGTCCCGAGAGGGCTGCGGCACTGCGAAGACGCGCTGCCGCTTAGCCGGGTCTGCCGCCCACTCTAGCTGCTCGTCCCAGAAGAGCACCGCCCCCTTCGTGACGCCGCAGTCGGCAGCCGCCTGCTCTGCGGAGCTCGCGTCGCCCGCTCGAAAGCGGACGGCGGCGGTGAGTGCGGGCTCGAAGCAGTCCAAGAACGGCCGCGAGCCGTTGACGTCGCCGCCGTTTCCGCGACGCCGAGGCAGCTTCGCCTCTACGAGAGCGCGGCGCGACTGCGTGACCAGCTCGGCGTACCGCTCTCGCAGCGCAGCCTGCTCCGCAGTCGGTCCGACGGGGCCAAAATGCAGCACGCCGCACTCAAGCAGCCTCCGCACCGCAGGCAGCCACTTTGTGACATGCCGCGTGTTTTTGTCAAGGGACCCGCGCCGACGGAGGATCGATCCGAGCGGCTCCTTAGTGCGCTCGTGCTCGAGCGCGGCATCGATACACTGTTGGGATGGGGAGCGGGCATGAGCAGTTTGATATGTGGCGGCGGGAGGTGTACGAGCGGGGCGGCAGAGCAGCAGCACACCGATGGCGTGTCCCTTCCAACCTTGACGGGGAGGCCGTCTGGAATCTCCCCCTCAGCGTCCAACTGCTGCAGCAAATTTGCAGCGTGCTGCTGAAGTAGGTCCGGAAGCGACTCGTCGGGAGATTCAGCGGCGGCGGGCGTCACGTCGAATCGGGCGGGCGCCGCAGTGGCGAGGGTGGCGCTGGCGTCCGACGGCTGCGGCGAGGATGTGGCGCCGAGCGCGCAGCTCTCCTCATCGTCGATCTGCATTCGGCTCTCCTCCTCGTGCTCGATCTGCATCCGCACCAAGACGCTTACGTCTTTGCTGTGCCGCTTGCTCGCTAGGTGTGCGGGTCTCGGAAAGAAAAAGCAAAAACCTAACGGGTCCCTAACAGCCGCTACGAGGCAGAAGAGAACGACGCGACAGAGGAGGAAATGACAAGGGAGAGAACGACGAGAGTGGGACGACCGCGAGGTGGCATGAAGGTTGCAGCGAGAAGCGGCGAGAGAAGACTGCGAAGAGAGATAGGAAGAGGCAGACTCCCTAGGGTGGGCGACGGCTAGCGCACCACACACCTCTCCTTAAAATCCCTGTGTGGTGGCGGCGTGCCGTCCTCCCATCCCTCTCTTGGGTTGTCTGTTTTCTTTCTTTCTTTTTAGCCGCTACGACAAACTCATCTTTTATTCTTTGATAGTTAGAGGCTCTCACTCACTCTCAAAGTCTCAAACACAAACTTGCGCCACAGCTATATGTGTCGCACACACGCGACACGGCGGCTCCGGCAGCGCGCAGCGGAGGCGCCGGCGGGGGGCGCACCGATCTTCCACTTGCTACGCACACCCACACGCACACAGCCACACAGGGTCTCACATAATCACATATTCTCTCTACACGAGACACACCGCGGAAGGGGCGCTTGGGAGCGGGGGCGGGGGCGGGGGCGGCGGGCGGGGGCGCGCACCGCGCAGGCGCCCAGGCCGCAGGGCGCAGCGCCCTGTCTGTCGCCTGTGTGGCCTGTGCGCGTGCGGCGTGGCGCGCGCGAGCGTGCGACGGAGGGTAGGGGTGGGGACGCTGCCGTGCGCTGCGCGCGCGCGCACGCGCGCAGCACACACCCCACGGAGGGTAAGACGGCGAGGAGGGGGCGGCGGCGGCGGCGGCGGCAGCGCGCGCGCTGCGCGCGCGACAGAGGGGCGGAGCAGCGACCGCTGGCGCGGACGCTGCTCCGTCTGCCAGAGACGCGCGCTCTGGCGCAGAGCGCGTCAAGGCAAGGGCAAGCGTGGCGGCGCGGGGACGCGCGGCGGCGGCGGCGAGCAGCGAGCGCTCCGTGCGCGGTGAGGCGGCCGGGCGAGGGCGCGGCGGGTGACGGGGCAAGGGAGCAGCCCACACCCGGCCGTCGCTTTTGAGCGACGACTGTGGCACGCCTGCGCAGGGGCCGCAGGGCGGTCAGTGGTGGGACGAGGCGGTGCCGGCCGCGGGCCGGGTGCAAGGCGCCGGCCTCGGCGCCGCCTCGGGCGCGGCGGGAGGGAGGGGGGGGGGGGGGGTGCGTGTGCGCCGACCGAGAGGCGGCAGCGGCTGGCGGCCGAGATCGGTTCGGCGCGAGCGGGCGGTCGGCGACGGAACTAGGTGGTGAAGCTCGAGCCAAGAGCTTTCGGCTGGAGACGTCGTCGCAGAGGAGATAGTGGGGGCCCCAGATCGTCGAGCGCTCCGCCGCGTTTGAAAGACCGACAGGATGTGTCGGCCGGGGAGCCTCCGGCGGGCCTGCGGCGCGGGGCGCTGCGCGCGGCAAGCTTGCCGGAGTGTGGCCGCAGCAGAAGTCTCCGGCGGACGCCTGGCGGCGTGGCGCTGCGCGCCGGCGCTGCGCGCCATTCGAACGAGGCCTCGTCCTTTTTGCATTTTTGCAGCCGACCCGTCCTTTTTACAGCCCCTATATCTCGCGGAGGAGCAAAGGACGCCCGATTAGCGCTGCGCGCGGCCGGGCAAAAAGTGACGTAGAGAGCACCCCCTTTTTAAGCGTTCCGCGCACACACAAGGTCCGCCTGCGTGCGCCGCCAGCTTCCCAGGGCCATCGCGCGAAAAACGACGGAGGAGATGCATCCTAGCTGTCGCCACCGAAGGCGACTCGACGCCGCTGAGATCGGAGAGCAAGCTCTGACAGGTCACACGTCGCTCCTTTGACGCCGACGTGACTCACCCGTACAGAGCGCATCAGGACACAGTCTCGACGCGCTCGGTACGACGCCTGCGACCCGTCTCGGGTCAGGTGGCACGACGCTCATCGCGCCTGCCAGCGCTGCCGTGCAGGCTGCCACGACAAGGTCGAGCACGCTTCTATACGCTCGCCCAGCCTTCCTTTCCATCCCATTAGGCAGCCTGGGAACGGTGGCGGTCAGAGGCAAAGCCTGCGAGGGGTGGTGGAACCACATGTCACGGCTACTGCCGGCTCGCCTCGACCCCACGATAGCCTCCGGAGGCTGACTTTGCGGCACCATCATCGGACGATGTCGACGAGTTGGGTCGCTCTCGCGGTAGCCAGGTAGCCCCCCATACTAGTCTAACACCAGTGTGCAGTGACCCACGACGATCTCCAGCGTCCAGTGCGGGTAATACCCGAAAATACCCGGAAAACCCCAGCGCCCAGGTATTTTCGGGGTTTACCTGGGGTTTTTGGCATTTTCTGCTTGCTGACCACTGAACAACAGTAACGTACAGTAACAAACAGACAGCAGAGACCAGAGTCTGACAGAGGCGAGGTAAGAGGTAAGGTAAGGTAAATTTCTCCAGAGCGGCCGCACACTGCTCGGTACCCCCCCTGCACAACTAAGCTCATCCCTGCTGCTAGGGGAACTCACAGCTCACGCGGCCTCCGGTAGCGATTCGCCGCGGCTCCGGCGGTGCGATTTTTGTGCGTTTTCGAAGGCTGTGGGCGGGATAGGGCTGGCTAGACCGGCCCTGGTGTGCCCTAGTGTGTTCCCTTACACCCCTGGCCCGGGAGCAGTAGCGCGGTGCGCGTCCCGAGGGCGTAGGGGCTCAAAAAACAATTGATCAAGTTTTCAGCCACTTAGAGCACACAGTGCCTCTCTCGCCTCCCCTGCCCCCACTGGGAGGTGACGCTGACGGTGGTGTCGGCGTGGCGAGTGAGACTGAGAGCGAAGTCGCGTACTGGACTCCGCCGCCGGCGCCGCCGCCCGAACCGCGAACGCCGTCTCTGGCCGTCCGATACCTAGTCCGATACGCGATAGAGAGGGTTAGAGCCGCGAACCCGCGACAGACGTCGTGCTGCCTCCGTCTAATATAGGCTAATTTATAGGTCACTGTGGCCTCGAGCGTCTTCGAGAGGGAGCGTCTGCCGTCTCGAACGAGAGGTGCCGAGGCTGTCGTGTGAGAGGTGCCGAGGCTGTGACACCTCTCTCTCTCTCTCTCTCTCTCTCGCGCGCGCGCGCGCGCGCTCCCTCCCTCCCTCCCTCCCTGTCCCTCCCTCCCTCCCCCTCTCTCTCTGGACCTCAAGTCAAAGCGTATTCAATACACATCGTTCTAAGCCCTCTACAGCACTCTCGACATCTCAACTCACAGCTCACGCGGGTGAACAGTCAACAGTTGCGCTCTATACGACTCTACATCATCCCTCAAGCAAAATCGGGCCTTTTGCGGCTGAACCAACCTGGTCCGTACCGACCCAGACAGTCTGACAAGTTAAGTAGAGATGGCAGCGGCCGCAGGGGCGGCGGTCGGTTCGCTCAATGACGGGTCGGCAGAAGCTGAGGGAGGGTAGCACAGCTGGCCACATCACGGAAGGGACCGGGATCTTGGTTGCTCGACCTACCGCTAGTCGATCGATCGAGCACAGTGTGTGTGTGTGTGTGTGTCGAGCACACCGCGAGCGAGCCGCGCCGGGCTGCCGCGCGCGACTGCGAGGCGGGCAGTACTGCGCCAACAAAGGCGCGTCAGCGCCGCCTGGGTTCCAACTTTTTGCGGGGTATGGTATGGTAATCTCGCGGCCCAAAGGGTGGGGGGGTATGGTCCTGACCGCCCATCCCCGGTCTCCGGGAGGCTGGGTCTGTCAGCAGGCGGGGGGTATGGTCTCGAGGTGGGTTGCGCGAGGGTACCATACCATACCCCGCAAAAAGTCCGAACCCTGAGAGTGCGGCTAGAAAAAGAAAAGGAAAAAACAAACCCCCAGTCCACAGGCTCCTGGAACCAAATCCAGCCAGTGGATGCAATGCAAACAGTGTACACCTTCACCCTCAGCGTCTTCGCACAGTATCCGCCCGTCGCTTCGTCAACACCAGCTTGCGTCCAGCCGTGCGGTGGGTTCACGTGTGCTGAGTTCCGTGACATCCAGTCCTGTGCGGACCAGGCAGTGAATCTGCCAGCGTGCAAGTGCGCTGGCTGCTGTCGAGATGTGTTGGCAGTTCCGCCACCACCGCCGCCATGCAATTCTTGGTGCGCAACGAATGCGAAGTGCGCGCCCTGCCCGCCCTGATTCCAACTCCCCACCCACCCACCCACCTCGCCTGCACCCCACTCACCCAAGCTCCACCCAGGCCAGAGCGTAAGCATCCCTCCCCCAAACGCCACCCGGCCACCCTCCTGCTTACAGTCGGTGGGAGACCAAGTGCAGATGGGCTCGGGAATGCGCGGGCTGTCCAGAGTGTGACGCCTCGCCGCCACCCCCAACCGTCACGACGAAAGAATTCAAGAACACGCCGCCGCCGCCGCCTACCCCAACCGTCACGACGTCGCCGTCCCCGTCGTCACTACCGCCGCCGCCGCCAGCAGACGCACCGCCGCCGCCGCCAGCAGAACCGCCGCCGTCTCCATCCCCGTCGCCACTACTGCCGCCGCCGCCGCCAGCAGATGCACCGCCGCCGCCGCCAGCAGAACCGCCACCACCGCCGCCATGCAATTCTTGGTGCGCAACGAATGCGAAGTGCGCGCCCTGCCCGCCCTGATTCCAACTCCCCACCCACCCACCCACCTCGCCTGCACCCCACTCACCCAAGCTCCACCCAGGCCAGAGCGCGAGCATCCCTCCCCCAAACGCCACCCGGCCACCCTCCTGCTTACAGTCCGTGGGAGACCAAGTGCAGATGGGCTCGGGAATGCGCGGGCTGTCCAGAGTGTGACGCCTCGCCGCCACCCCCCCCGCCGCCACCGCTAGGGTGGGTGGATGGGTGGGTGGGTGGCTGGATCGCTGGGTGGCTGGGTGCGCCTACCCCAACCGTCACGACGTCGCTGCCGTCGCCGTCCCCGTCGTCACTACCGCCGCCGCCGCCAGCAGACGCACCGCCGCCACCGCCAGCAGAACCGCCGCCGTCTCCATCCCCGTCGCCACTACTGCCGCCACCGCCGCCAGCAGACGCACCGCCGCCGCCGCCAGCAGAACCGCCGCCGTCTCCATCCCCGTCGCCACTACTGCCGCCGCCGCCGCCAGCAGACGCACCGCCGCCGCCGCCAGCAGAACCGCCGCCGTCTCCATCCCCGTCGCCACTACTGCCGCCGCCGCCGCCAGCAGACGCACCGCCGCCGCCGCCAGCAGAACCGCCGCCGTCTCCATCCCCGTCGCCACTACTGCCGCCGCCGCCGCCAGCAGACGCACCGCCGCCGCCGCCAGCAGAACCGCCGCCGTCTCCATCCCCGTCGCCACTACTGCCGCCGCCGCCGCCAGCAGATGCACCGCCGCCGCCGCCAGCAGAACCGCCGCCGTCTCCATCCCCGTCGCCACTACTGCCGCCGCCGCCGCCAGCAGAACCCCCGCCATCAGATCCGCCGCCACCGCCGCCATCAGACCCGCCACCGCCACCGCCGCCGAATCCGGACTGCGACCTTCTGTGCGTCGGCGTCGCTTGCCGCACGCTCTACGACGCCACCACTTGCTCTGAGCAGGCAGTGAAGTTGCCGTCGTGCAACTGCGCGAGTTGCTGCCGCCCAGACCCGCCCGCTGCCAAAACGGCCACCGCTCACGCAACGCCCGCTGCTCAGACGCCGGTCTTCACAACGCGTGGGCCCAACAGCGTGGCCCTTTGGCAGCCTCCTGGCCCAGGCCGCAAGGCTGGCGGGTGCGCTGGGCCGACCACGATGCACACGGATCCCATCTGGCAGGCCGTGACGCTCGCCGAGTGCCAAGAGTACTGCGGTGCGCGCCTGCTCGACAACCCACCCACCTCGCGCCCCAACCACCACCACACGCACATGCACATGTACATGTAGCCTCACATATCATTTCCACACGCACCGCTCAGCTCTCGACATCGATTGCGTGGCCATCGAGTTCACGGAGTTCGTCCCAAAGTGGCAGCGCTTGAACGCACGAGAGTACGCGCGCTGCACGATCATCGACTTCCCCTCCAAAGTCACGCACGTCTTGCCGCGTCCCGACGGCGCTCGCTGCCTCGTCAAGCCGGCGCGCGCTCTGTCTTCGCCTGCTGCCAATCCGTCACCTCCGCCCCTGAGCACGATATAACCCCCCCCCCCCCATTCTCTCCCCCCCCCCCACCCACCACCCCCTACAGACGCGCGGTCTCTGCCCTCCCCCAACGCGCGATTGCCCGTGCTGCTGGCTCGCCGGGCCCGGCGTCGATTTCAAGTACGGCAGCACGCCGTGCGCCGAGCTGCAGAACGCCGACCTCAGCAACATGAACCTCGAAGGCACGCGACGCTCCCTGCAAGCCACCGCCCCTGGCACATGGTAATACGCCCCCTCGTCGCCGCAAGGTGCCAAACTGGACGGCGTGGACATGCAGTGCGCCAAGCTGGACGGCGCGTCACTCAAGGGGGCCAGCTTTGGCGGCGCGAACCTCAAGTCTGTCAGCTTCGTCGGCGCCAACCTCGACGGCGCCGACTTCACCCAGGCCGACGCCAACTTTGCACGCTTCGGGGGAGCCAACCTCAAGAGCGCGAAGTTTCTTGAGGCCAACGTCGAGAGGGCCGACTTCAAGGGCGCCGTGGGACTGCGGTTTGCCGAGTTCGCGGGAGCAAAAGGGATCGAGCTCGCCACATGGGGCCCCGGAGGCGTCGCGGGGCGAGGGGCACCGCCCCCTCCGCCCCCGCCCTAGACAAAGAGTCAGAATTTCCTCGCAGCTTGAGAGTCGCGAGTCACTGTGAGAGTCGTGATTTCTTGATTCTTGTTGGTTTAGCAGCAAAAATCTCTCTCTCCCAATACGGCTTTAGGGGACGAGAATGCCATGTTCGTGACCGAAGGCTACGGCCCCGTGAGGGGTGGTCCGAACGGACAGCCGGAGCGTACGCGATGGCGTGTGTGTGCGACGGGGAGAGTTCCCGGGGCGCGGGGGGAGAACGCGCGCAACTAGGATCTAGGTAGGTACTAGCGCGAGCTATCTTCGAGCAGCATAGGGTGCCCGCTCAAGAAGAATTCGTCTTGAGCTTCGCTTCGCTTCGACAAACGCTCGCATATCCGAAAGTAGTAAGTACGCGATGGCATTGTGAGTGTGTGTGCGACGGGGAGAGTTCCCCGGGGGAGAACGCGCAACTATAGCGATAGGGTACCCGCTCAAGAAGAATTCGCGCACGATTGTGCTTTGCTGGGACATTCCACCCCACAACGGAGTGTGGAGCGAGCTCTTCTCCGACGCGTCGCGGGCTCGCGGCGGGCCTTCCCGCCCCCGCCCGGCGGGCGCTGAGAGCGGACAGCGCGCTCGACGACGGAGGGAGGGCACCCGTGCGAGGCCAAGGAGAGTGCCACTGGGGACGGCGCGGCAGGCGGGGGCGGCGCCGCCCGGCTAGGGCGGGCGGCCGAGAGGAGTGAACTACAGGTAGGGGAAGGCAGCCTCGATCGCCATACACACAGACATGGGTGCGAAACAACGACAAGACCAAGGCACGGGCAGAGGAGAGAGAGAAGAATATAGGATGGATAAACCCCAGCGCCAACATCATCGGTGAAGGCACAAGTGTTCGAAGAGAGAGTGGACCTGAGCAACGATATGACTTGGCGGCAAATGATCGCAGTGGGTGTCAGAAGAGTCGTCCTTGCGCGAGGAGAGCTCGATAAACTCGAGGGGCCAAAATATGCCGCAAGGAGGGCGGAGCTGCGCCGAAAGGCGGGAGAATCCGCGAGAGCAAGGGATCGGCAGGCGGCGGCGGCGTCGCAGGAAGGACGAGGCAGACGAGAGCGACGCGACAGAGGAGGAAGCGGCAGGAGGGAGAACGACGAGAGTGGGACGACCGCGAGGTGGCATGAAGAGGTGAGAAGCGGCGAGGGACTGCGAAAAGAAAGAAAGAAAGAAAACGGACAACCCAGGGGAGGGATGGGAGGACGGCACGCCGCCACCACACAGGGATTTTAAGGAGAGGGGTGTGATGCGCTAGCCGTCGCCCACCCTCGGGCGTCTACCACTTCCTATCTCTCTTCGCAGTTTCTCTCCGATTCTCGCTGCAACCTTCGTGCCACCTCGCGGTCGCCCCCTTCTCGTCGTGCTCTCCCTTGTCGCTTCTTCCTCTGTCGCGTCGCTCTCCTCTGCCTCGTTCTGCAACGCCGCCGCCGCCTGCCGGTCCCTTGTTCTCTCGGCTTCTTTCGCCTTTCGGCGCAGCTCCGCCCTCCTTGCTGCATATCCTGGCCCCTCGAGTCTATCGAGCTCTCCTCGCGCAAGGACGAGTCTTCTGACGCCCACTGCTATCATTTGCCGCCCAGTCATATCATTGCTCAGGTCCACTCTCTCTTCGAACACTTGTGCCTTCGCGAGGGACTGCAAAAGAAAGAAAGAAAGCGACAATGCTCCTAAAACCCATAAATAAATAAATAAATACAACGGACATCCCAAGCTAGGGCTGGGTCGAGGACAGACACGTCCCCACATTTGCAGGATTTTGCAAAAGCGAGGGGGGAGGGCGCATCGCCGCGCGGAGAGGGCTGGGCACAGGGCACAGGGGATCTCTCTCGCATAGGATATGCACTCGGCGGCACGGGCAAGGCTGGGCGTCCTATGTTTGGGGAGGGACTGCGAATTCAGAATTTTTTTGAGAGGTTCCACAAGAATCGACTGTCTCCCGATCTCAAGCTGCGATGCTGGTATGCTCCGCGGAGATTCTCTCTGCCAGCACTCACCGCCGCGCAGCCTCGAGCCTTCGCCCGCCGCTCCGCACAGCCTGCCTGCACCCGCGCTGTGATTCAGCGCGCGCGCGCGACTGCTGCGAGGCGCGGCAGTGGCGAGACGCTAATCCGCTCTGCGGCGCCATCGCCTCAGGTTGCTGCCTTCGCTGGATCCCTCTCCCTCTCGATCGGCGCCTCCGCCGCCCCGCGGTCGCGCTCCGCCGTTAACATGCAGGTCGCGGCGGAGGCGCAGGTGGCGCAGCCGGTCGCGCTCGCAAAGGCGCGCAGAGAGCCGTACCCGAGAAACGAGAACTCCTCCCTTGGGCTCTTGCCGGCGTGAGTTTCCCGCCCGTTTTGCACGCGGGTCCCCTGCGTGCGGCACATAGAGCCGCTCTGCCGACAGCTTCGAACCCGTGGGACTGTTGGCGAGCCCCATCGCGCCACCGCGGCTCTCCCCGAGTCCTGCCCTGCTCAAAGCATCCAAAGAGAGAGTGCCTCCTCCTCCATCGCGCGCGCGTAGCAATCGCCCCCGCGACCGCCCCCCCTGCCGCGCCCGCAGGCCGCCGACGAGGCGCGCGGCCTCGCCATCGACTCCATCTCCAAGGCGCACTCTGGCCACATGGGCCTGCCGCTCGGCTGCGCAGAGGTGGGCGCGGTCCTGTGGGGCCAGGAGATGTCCTACAACCCGGACGACCCCACCTGGCTGAACCGCGACCGCTTCATCCTCTCGGCGGGCCACGGCTCCATGTTCCTCTACTCGTGGCTCCACATCGCGGGCTACGACCTCCCCAAGGAGGAGGTTTCGAACTTCCGCGTCAAGGACTCCAAGACGCCCGGCCACCCAGAGTGGCAGGGCATGCACCCGCACACGCCGGGCATCGAGTCGACCACCGGCCCGCTCGGCCAGGGCATCGGCAACGGCGTTGGCATGGCGGCGGCCGCCAAGCAGGCGGCGGCGACCCTCAACACCGCCGACCACACCATCATCGACCACCACGTCGTCGTGCTGTGCGGCGACGGCTGCCTGCAAGAGGGCGTCGCCAACGAGGCGGTCGCCTTCGCGGGCCACGAGAAGCTGGACAACCTCATCCTGATGTACGACTCGAACGGCGTGACCCTCGACAAGATGGCGGAGCACACCCAGTCCGAGGACGTGTCGATGCGCTTCGAGGCGCAGGGCTGGGAGGTGCGCCGCCCCTTGCTGCCCTCGCCCGCCGCCCAGCCCGCCGCCGCCCAGCCCGCTGCCGCCCAGCCCGCCTTCATCACCACCGCCGCCCAGCCCGCCTCCGCCACCCGCCCAGCCCGCCTCCATCACCACCGCCGCCCAGCCCGCCTCCGTCACCCGCCCAGCCCGCCTCCATCACCACCGCCGCCCAGCCCGCCCGCCGCCCTCGCCACAGGTGCTCGAGGTTGACGGACACGACATGGACGCCATCACCAAGGCGTACCGCTACGCCAAGGACTCGGACAACGGCAAGCCGACCCTCATCGTGTGCAAGACCATCATCGGCAAGGGCATCGACGAGATCGCGGGCACCTGCGCGGCGCACGGCGAGGCGGGCGTCCAGTACCAGGACTCTGGCCGCGAGGCGCTCGGACTGCCGGCGGACGAGAAGTGGTACGTCTCGCCCGACACGTACGACTACTTCAAGTCGCACAAGGCGGAGCTGGTCGCCAAGTACGACGAGTGGCAGGAGACCTTCAAGGCGTGGAAGGCTGCCAACGCCGACAAGGCGGCGATGCTCGAGAAGCCGGCGCCGAGCGCGGAGGAGCTGATGGCTAAGATGGGCGGCTTCGAGGTCGGCTCGGGCGTCGCCACGCGCAACGCGGGTGCCGAGGTGCTGCAGCCGATTGCGCAGGAGATGCCCTTCTACCTGTCGGGCTCGGCCGACCTGCACGGCTCCAACAAGAACTACATGAAGGGCGTCGGCGACTTCTCCAAGAACAACTACGCCGGCCGCAACTTCTACTACGGCGCGGAACACCGCCGAGACACCTCCACCCCTGTCCGCAGCGCGACCCACTCCGACGCACCGCCACCGCGTCGGGCTCCAGCGCAGCCCGATGCGCTGCGGCTCCTCTCCCCGTCGCGCCCACTCAGCACACCGCCTCGCCACACCACACACCGGCGACACCGCGACTTGTCTGCAGGCATCCGCGAGCACGGCATGGGCGCCATCCTCAACGGCATGGCCTTCTACGGCCTGCACACCGTCTCGGGCTCCACCTTCCTCGTCTTCTCGGGCTACATGATGGGCTCGGTCCGCGTGGCCGCCCTCTCGGGCCTCCCCGTTTCGTACATCTGGACGCACGACTCGATCGGAGTCGGCGAGGACGGTGCGACACGCCTCCCGAGAGCCCCCCTCGCCGCCGTTCGCGCCCTCGCCGCCACTCACGCCCTCGCCGCCACTCGCGCCCTCGCCGCCTCTCACGCTCTCCGCCCGCCCTCAGGCCCGACGCACCAGCCGGTCGAGGTGGTCGCCGGCTTGCGCGCGATGCCCAACCTGGACGTGATGCGCCCGGGCGACGCCGAGGAGACTGCCGCCGCGTACGCCTCGTCGGTCACCCGCCCCGACGGGCCCACCGCGCTCATCCTCTCGCGCCAGAACCTCGCCGTGATCGACACGTGCTCGGCGGAGGAGAAGCGCGCCGGCACGCTCAAGGGCGGCTACGTCGCCAAGAAGGAGGAGGGCGAGCTGGAGGGCATCCTGATCGGTGTCGGCTCCGAGCTGGAGCTGGCGATCAACGCGGCCAAGGAGCTCGGCAAGGGCTGGCGCGTCGTCTCCATGCCGTGCGTCGAGGCGTTCGAGCGGCAGAGCGCCGAGTACATCGAGTCGGTGCTGCCCAAGGCGATGAAGGCGAAGACCACCGCCGCCGAGGCGGGCTACACCGCTGCGTGGTACAAATACGCCGACAAGGTGCTCGGCGTCGACTCCTTCGGCCTCTCCGCGCCGGGCGACGAGGTTTTCGAGGCGAAGGGCCTGACGGTCCCGGCGTTGGTCGCCCTCGCCAAGTAGGCGGGTGAGCCAAAGGGCGGGTTGAACGATTCCGCCGCCCTCGCCGCCGCCCCAGCCCCACGTTGTGCTGCGCCTCTACCGTGCGCGCGCATATCTGAGTTCTGTGCTGAGCGTGTCGTTGTGTGTGGGCTATATGATCTAGCATGATTGTTAAGAAAGCGCAAATATGTTAAGAAAGCGCAAATATGGTGGCCGCCCGCGCCTAAAGTAGGGCGCTGCGCGGCAGAACATTGCTTTGCAACAACCAGCTGGCAGCTCCGAGCTCGCTGCCGTGTCCTCGGCTCGTGCGGGGCCTGTAATGCCGGGCCCGGGGAATGCTAACGAGGGGCACTGGGCAACTCTGCGCCTGCGTGGCGGACGGCGGGACGCGCGCAAACGTGCCGCTGCGGCCTCTCACTCCTTCTTGAGGAGCGAGGTGCGAATGCGCATACCCCGCCGGGCCGGAGCCGGAGCCGCCGCTGCCGTGGCGGCGGCAGCGCTGCCTCCCTCCGAACCCTCCGGCGGGCCCGACACCGAAGAGAGATGCTTGCGCAAGACCGAGACGGCGGCTGAAACACTCGCGCCCGCCTTGCCACGCCCCTTGGGGCGGAGGGCCTCCGCCAGCTCGTCGTCGCTCGCGGCGAGGAGCGCCGTGGCGGAGCCGTCGAAGAAGTCGCGCAGCGCCGCCTGCTGACGATTGCAGCAGTGAGGGTCGGCGCATTCTCTGATGAAGGCCGCGCGACGCCGCCTTCTCGCGCGGCTTGAGCCCGTTGGAGCCCACCAGCGCGTCGAACGCGTCGGCCGCCTCTCCTAGTGGACGCGCACGCAGACGCGTCCGAGAGGGACGACGGGGGCGGGGCAGTACGCGGTCAGACTCGCCCGCGTCCGTCGCCGCCACCTTGCGCGCAGTGGAACGCGCGGCCGCTGCCCCCCGACGGCGGCCCGACGCTGGCTCACCGCCTTGCTGCCCTTGGGACTCGGCGCGCGATGCCAGCCGCGGCCTCTTGTCGCCCGTGTCGCCGCCCCTCCCAGCCGGCGGCGGCGAGCCGACCGAGAAGTCACCCCCACCGTCCCGGCGTGCGGGGGCCGCCTCGAAGCGGTTCACCGAGGAGCGGGCGCGCTTGGGCCGCTGCGACGAGGGGGGCGCCGACTCTGGCTCCGTGGCCGACGCGCCCTCGCCCATCCCCGCCCCTTCGCCCCCCGTGAGCGCCGCCGCCGCCGGCGGCCCCTCCTCCTCCGCCTCCTCTCCCTCACACCCCACCTCGCCCTCCGCCTCGTCCGTCGTCGCCACCTCATCGGACCCCTCCATGCTCTCCCCGCCGCTATCCCCACCGCCTTGCCCCGCTGCCCCGCCCGCCGCCCCGCCCACCGCCGCCCCCGACACGCCGCTGGGAGTGGCGAGGAATGACGCCGTCTCCGAGCGAGTGGTGGTGCCATCGTGGTTGGCGTCAGCCGCGTTGCCGTACCCGCGCGGCACGGCGGAGGCCACAATCTGGCTCATGGACGAAGAGGCTTTCCTCCCGGCCCTCCGCCGCGGGACCTTTTCCTCCCCCGCCGATCCCCCCTCCTTGGCGGCGGCGGCTGCGGCCGCCGCCGCCACGCCGCCGTCGGTGGCGAAGCCCGCCGCCAGCCAGAGCGCCTCGAAAGCGGCGAGGTTGGCGCGCGCCGCCTGGTTGCACTCATTGTCGAGCTCGGGCGAGTACGCGACCGCGTTGGAGGCGACGAGCCGCACGTCGGTGGCGAAGGCCTCCGCGTCGGCGTAGCTGCCAGCCTCGATCGCCGCGCCGATGGTGCCTACTCAAGAGAGGAGGGCGACAGCGTCCGGGGAGGGCGCGGGGCCGTGCCTCACGCACCGCCCCAGCTCCGCCATAGTCCATCGGCGATTGGATCATCTCGAAGTAGCCGGGCGTGTCGGCGGCCACCTGGCGCGAGTGGGCGGGTGCGGGGCGAGCTGTGGCGGGGGTTGCAAGGCGCGGGTCGTGGGCTCGGGTGGTGGGAGGGAGTTTGCGAGGTGCACCGGCTCTTCGAACCAGTCGGCGTCCTTTCGCTTGCGAAGCGTGGCGAGGATGGCGGAGCACTTGTCGAGGGGCAAAGCCTCAGCTCCACCCCCGCCCCCTCCCTGGCCGCCGGCCACCGGCACTCCAACCCGCCGCCGCAACGCATCGAGCCGCCGCGCCTCCTCCTGCGCCCCCTCCGCTCGCTGCTGCGACGCGTGCTGTCCGCCGTCCGCTGCCGCCGGCGGCATCGCCGCCGCAGCCGGCATCACCACGTCGGCCTCCGCCGCGGCAGACGATCCGCTGGCTGCTGGTGCGGCTGCCCGCTCTACAGCCTCTCCGAGCGCCCTGCCGCCGCCGCCGCCGCTGCCGTCGGAGCCGCCGCCGTTGGAATCGGCTCCGCCTCCGCCGCCACTAGCGCACGCCGAAGCGGCACCTGCTCGTGTCACCGCAGCCCGCGCCATATTTAGCACGGCCTCGCCGCGCGCGCGCACCTACAGTACACACAGGGTCGGTCGGGTGGAAAGGGAGTGGGAGGGGCAGAGGGTGGCGGGGGGGGGGGGGGGGCCCGGGAAAGGGGGGGGAGCTAGCACCTGCTTCGCCGCGGTGAGCAGCTCCTCGAGCCGCCGCGCCTCCTCCTCCCCCTCCTCGTCCTTGGCGAGAGGGCCACTCTCCACCGCCGCCGCCGCCGCCTCCTCTGCCCGCCGTGCCTCCGCAAGCGCCTCTCGCACCATCGCCGCCGCTGCCGCCTCAACCGACGGCTCGGGCGCCGCGCCCTCCCGCCCTGCCTCCGAAGCCACGAACTCCGCCGTCTCTGCCGCCTCCTGGGCCATCCTCCATGAAAGGTAGGGCTGGACACTCAGGGGTGCCGTGCCAGAGCCGGAGCCGCCGCCGCCGTCACTGCCGCCGCCGCCGCCCCAAACGCCGAGGGAAGTCGAGAGCCGCGAGGACAACGGGTCGATCCGCTGCCAGGCCTCCGCCGCGCCCACCCCCTCGCCCGCCCGCGGCGAAACTGGCCCGTGGGGGGTGGGTGCGCCGGCCGCTGCCTCGTCCGCCGCCGCCCGGCGCACCGGCTCGGCGATCGCCCACTGCGGCACCACCAACGCCGCCTCCGACCAGTACGGGGAAGCCACCGCACCGCCGCCCGGCGCGCCGCCGCCGCCGCCGCGGCCGCCACCCACCAAAGTGATCTGCACGGCCGAAGCGTCGCAGATCTCTGGCACCGCCTGCATCCTCGCGCGGAGCCACCGCACCGCCGCCTCGGCGCTGTCGACGGGCGCGCTCACGCCCAGCGCCGCGTGGAGCGCCACGGGCGCCGCACCACTGCTGTCGCGCTGGCCGCACGCTAGGACGGGGTCGACCTGGACATGTCCGTGGACGTCAGTGGGTGGAACCAGGGGGCGCTGGGCCAGAAGGGCTCGGGGGGGGGGGGGGGGGGGGATTTGGAGGGAAAGGGGGATTTGGAGGGAAAGGGGGATTTGGAAGGAAAGGGGGATTTGGAAGAAAAGGGGGATTTGGAGGGGAAGTTTTGGGGGGGGGGTAGGGGGGCACCTCTGCGTCGAGCGCTAGGTCGTGCACCGACCTTGCCAAGCGGACGACATTCTTCAGCCGGGTGGGCGCGAAGCCCTTTGCGCGCAACATCGCGAATGCGGCGCCCGTCATCAGCGCGTCGAAGGCGGCGTGGTGGCTGCGGTCGGCGGCGCCCCAACCGGCGAACCTGCGAAACATGCCGCGGGCGTGTCGACGACGTGCCATGGAGTCGTGCTTCTCTGCCCCGCCGCCGAGCACCCGTCGGCGAGTGCAAAGAGGCGACCCGAGGGGAAAGGGGGCGACTGATGCGGCCGGTTCGGGTCGCCCGCCGCGTCCGCCGCCGCCTCGGCGGAGCACGCCTCGTAGAGCGGCTTGAGCGCCGTGTCCGAGTAGGCGCCCGACTGGTCGGCGAGCAGCTTTGTGTCCCAAACCTGCGGACACGTTGGTGGAAGCGTCGGCGGCATGCCACAGGCGGTGGCGTGGCGGCGGAGGAGCGCGCTGAGCGGGGGAAGCGGCGAGGGGGGTCGGTTCGGAGAGGCGTGTGTCGCGATTGCGGGGGAGAGGTGGACGAAGGAAGTGTCTCGGAAGTGCCCACACACCTCGGGTAGGGCCGCGTGCACGGCCGCCTTGAACTGCGTGCACGGCGCGGGCAGCGGGCCGATGAGGGCGTCGTGGAGGAAGAGGAGGTCGAACAGCCCATTGTGGACCAGGACGGGCACCTTTGCGGCCACGAGCGCCCGCCACACGCGAAGGAAGCCCTCCGACTCGCGCAGCTTGCTGAGCTTCTCGGCCACTTGCGCCTCCGCGTGCATGGCGGGGGAGAAGGGCTCCGCCGCGGCCTCCTCGGCGGGCCGCACGCGCAGCCGCACCGCCTTGTTCCCTCCCCCCTCGCCCTCCAGCGACTCGGTGACCAGCCACTTGTGGGCCGCCGGCGGGTGCGCATGCTCAATGGCAGCGTAGAGGCACTTGCGCAAGAAGCCGTTGCACTCTGGCAGCGTGAGCGGCTCCGGCGGTGCGCCGCTCGCGTGCTGCGTCCTCGCCCTCGCCACCCACGCGGCGACCCGCTCCATCGCCTCGTTCACAAAGGCGGCTTCCGCGGGCCTCGAGGGCGAGAAGACCCTCCCCTGGGCCCGCCGCTCGGCGTCAGCCTCGGCCTGTGCTGCTACGCGCTGCCGCACCGCCGCCGCCGCCGCCGCCGCGTCGGCGGTGGAGCGGTAGGGGACAGAGTGGTCGAGCCAGCGGTTGAAGTCGATGCCCTGCCCGCGCAGAAACTCGGCGGTGCTGCAGTCGAGGACGACCTTGTCTCCGCCTCTCGGAGCCGCGCGGCGGACAAAGAAGTTGAACGGTCGCGCCTGCAGCGCGCTCCCTGCGGCGGCGCCGCCCGGCGGAGGGCGGTGGAAGGTGCAGATTCCGAGCTGGACGAGCGAGAACTCGGACGCCACCCTCCGCATCTTGGTGTAGCGCGCCTGCGTCGAGTCATGGTCTTGCGGTACTGTCCCCGGCAGTTTAATGCCTGTGAACTCCGCGTCGACAGCCACAAACTCCGCCGTGGCGAGCAGCGCCTCGAGCGCCGCCGCCGCAGCCTCGAAGGAGTCGCGAGTGATGTCCTCGCCGTCTTGCATTTTTTCCGAGGGGCCTCGACGTGTGGAGCGGTGTGGAGGCGCGGGGCTCTTGCAATTCTTTTCCCGAGTGTACCTGTGTAAGTGCCAGTGCGCGCCAGTCCCGTGCCCAGTGTTGTGCGAGGGAGTTTTGTTGTAAAATTCTTTTCCCGATTCCAACATTCAACATCACATTTGATACCGGCGCCAAAACGGTATGGCGGTGGAGTGCTCTCTACTGCCGCGGCGCCCCTGTCGGTTCGGAGGCGCCCGGCGGCCGCGCGCTTGGTGCCGACGTGGCGACGTCGACCGGCTGCTCTCGCGGCGCCGAGGCGTGCCGTTTCGGTCACGTCTCGCGCGGTGCGAGGTGTCTTTTGGCATGTGAGCGCTTGCCATGGACGCCAGGATGCTTGGCTTCCACGCCTGCGGCCGCGGGCGAGCGGGCGGGCACGCCAGGCTCGGCGACGCTCTGCGCGGGTCTTCGAGCTCGCAGCCTGCGACGAGCCAGCATGGCTCGTCGCTCGACGGCAGCCTGCTCAGAATGCTCTCGGCATTCTGGACAGCCTCGCCAAGCTCTCTGGGAAGGTCTACGGGGCCAGAGCGGCCTGTCTCGGGCGCGATGGCGAGCCTGGTGGTACCACAAAGGGAAACCCGGTACACGGAACTAACCCTCGGAGACCCGTGTTTACTTTACGGCCCTTTCCCTGCGAATGCGCACCCCCCCTAGCTAGGGGTCAGGGCTCTCTAGCCCGTAGCCCGATGCCGATCATCCGGCTCGAGCTGGGTGCGCTCGCGCTTAGCTCCCTGGCCCTGGATGTGAGGTTGATGACTGCACTCCAAGTGCTCCAAGTACCACGACTACCAGCTCTCCGATCGGCCCGCCGGCAGCGGGCTTGCCGTCGTTGGCCGGGTCTGGCATGATCACCACCTCCTCGTCGAGGGTCAGCCCCCCGGCGTGGTTGTCGGTGGTGGGGAGGAAGACGGAGTCGCCGCGGGTCACGTTGTTGTCGAGCGTAGCCTTGTCCGACTCGTCGGGCATCTCGTCCGCGGCCACAAGCTCCGGCCAGGCGCCCTCGATGTCCGTCGGGGTGAGGTCGGAGGTAGGAGCACGGTACTCGATGCCGTTCCAGAGCTCGTTGACGCAGAAGGTCGTTTGTGTGGTGGTGCCGATGCGCGGACCCTCGGTGATGACGTACTTCCAGCCGGGCGAAGTGCGCGAGATGCCGAGGAAGGCCGCCATCTCGCCTGTGGGTGTGTTGAAGACCGACGACCGCGCAGCCGTCTAGTCTACGGCCACACACACACACATAGTGTCCTTACCACCCCTGGACTGCATCTGCGCAGTTTCGTACCGCTGCGGCGCGGTTTTGCAAAAACCGTTCTGCAGCGGCGCGGTTTTGCCCTTCACCCGCAGCCTGGATTGATAGTCATTGTGGGTGTGGGGGCCGCGGGCCAGGACTTTTGTTTGAACAAAGTTTTGACAGTACATTTCTGTCGGGCCTTGGAACAGCTTGTGAGTGGTCACTGAAGACCTTCACAGTTGGTAGCGGCGGGGCAACGATCCCCGGGACATTACGACAACATGTCGTCGACGGACAAGCTGGTGATTCCGGCCTACAAACAGGGCTCCGAGCGGGAGTTCAACGAGTGGCTCCGCAACCTGCGGACCGCGGCGAAGCAACACAAGTACCTCCTCGACATCATCGAGGTGGGCACCATCCGGCCGGGCGCGGAGCGCGAGGCCGAGGCGGTCGCGCTGCACGTGCGCTACAAGAACGTCGGCGTTGCGGACGGCCTCATCCCGGCCACGATCGACAAGTACTTCGGGGACCTGGCGGTGTCCCTGTCCCGCCAACTCTACGGTGCGCTGCAGAACGCCGTCAAGGACGACGACAGCACGAAACTCATCGTCGTCATCTACGTGGACGACTTCGGCATCTTCCACTCCGGGACCACCGCTGGCAAAGCGCTCGCGCACGAGTACATCGAGCACTTCAACAAGCACGTCGGCAAGCCGCTCAAGGTCCACGAGGGAAAGGTGCACGAGTTCCTCGGGCTCACCATCACCAAGACGCAGACCGGTTTCAAGCTGTCTGCCAGCAAGTACATCGACATGCTGCGCGCGCGCCGTTCTTCCCGTCGGGCGTCACGCACGCGGGCTACAAGGTGCCCGCGGACAAGGACCTCCCGTCCATCGTCATCAGCGCAGCCGAGAAGAAGACCGCGCCCGACCCGCAGCTCCTCCAGCGCTGCCAGTGCCTCATCGGCAGCCTCATGTTCGCCACCAACGCGCGCCCCGACATCCAGTACACCGTCTCGCAGCTGGCGCGCTGCATGGCTTGGCCCGACGCGAACATCGAGGCCGCCGCCGAGCGCTGCCTCATCTACCTCATCGGCACGCAGGACCTCGGCCTCCACTACGAGCGCGTTGCCGACCCCAAGCTCTTCGGCTGCTCCGACGCGAACTGGTGCACCCGCCAGAGCACCTCCGGCTGCGCCTTCAAGATCGGCACCGCGATCATCTCGTACTTCTCCAAGAAGCAGGGTCACATCTCCCTCTCGACGTTCGAGGCCGAGATCTCTGCCGGCACGCTGGCGGCTTGCGAGGCGGTCCACCTGCGCTCGCTCCTCGCGTCGCTCGGCTACAAGCCCAAGGGCCCGACCGTCATCAAGATCGACAACACGGCCGCGCTACGCGTCGCCGAGGACCCGGTCATGCACGACAAGACGAAGCACATCCTGCGCAAGGAGCTCAAGATTCGCGAGCTCGTCGAGTCCGGGGAGGTCAAGGTCGAGTACGTCGAGAGCCTCAAGAACTTCGCCGACTTCTTCACCAAGCCGCTCCCGCGCAAGGAGTTCGAGTCGTTCCGCAAGGAGATCATGAACGACACCGCCTAGGACGGCACAGAGGGGAAACGCCGACTTCCCCTTCATCAAATGTAGTCGACAACCGGCAGTATGGGCGCTCCTGGAGCTCCCCGAGTCACCTGTATGTTTGTCCTCCACCCTTGAGGAGGCTGCGCAATTGTGCGCGCGATAGTAGGAGATGTAGGAGTCGTCTAGCTTCTTCAGATCCTCAGCCTCGCTACCCGATGCGAGGATGGGGGGCTGTTGAAGACCGACGACCGCGCAGCCGTCTAGTCGACGGCCACACACACACACATAGTGTCCTTACCACCCAGGGACTGCATCTGAGAGGCAACACTGTTGTTGCAGCTGCGTGCAAGCAAGGAGAGCACGCCGCGCTCCTGGGCTGCCTGGGATGCCACTCTCGCCGGCTCGTGCAGCGCGGCTACCTTTGTGTACCCTGTTGACTTGTGCTCTCAGGGAGCTATGGCGCGCGCGTGGCCTTCCAGACTTTTGGTCACTTCGGTCACGTTGCTCTTACTTCGGTGATGTAACTTGATGGAGCCGAGCAGGAGAGGGACGCTCAACCCCTTGTGCAGCTCTCAGGACAGCGCTCACCTTGGCCACGTCCTGCATGGCGCTTGGCGGGCGCGTGTGTGCGTTGGCACAGTGTGTGTTGTCTTGCAGCCGTTCCGCATCCGCTGCGGCCGTTTACCGTGCCACTTGGCCACACGGGAGCGGCGGTCTCGCAGTTTTTTGGAAATGTCACACACAAGACACCTAGTTTAGCCATTGCGTGCAGCCGTATTCGCGCCACGTGCACAAGCACAAAGGAACGAGCAAACGTAGACCGGTAGAGCGGTCCTAGCTGGGGAGCGCCTGCTGCGCGGCGCGGTACGTGGCGACGATCGCCTTGAGCGTGGGGTCCGCCGTGAGCGCGACGGAGATGGTGATCGCCGTCATCGCCTTGCAGCGGGGGCAGCGGGCGTGAGCTCAGCGTTGGGCGAGAGAACGGCTGCGCGGTGAGGGTAGCGGCAGCGGAAGGGACAGGGCGGGCCGGGGCGGGCGGGGTGCGTATGCGAAGTCAAGCAAGTGTATGTGTGTCTGTGCGGCGCGGCGGAGCCGCCGGCGAGGAGGCGAGGCGCACCAGCCGCCCGTTGAGGACCTCCGCCTCCTCGGTGAAGCCCCACGGCCGCTCCTGCGGCACGAGCTGCAGCTGGTCCTTGGTGTAGAGGGAGACGTACTCGTTGACCACGTTCAGCGCGACGGGCTCGCCTAGTCTCAACCACCCTTTGATGATCCGCATCGTGGCTATTCCTCGGCGGCATCTCGGCTATGGCTCGCCCTGATTGATGATCTGCATCGATGGCTGGTTGAGGTCGGGCAGCGCCTCCTGGACCACGCTCGCCAGCGCGTCGATGAAGTCGGGGTCGGTGCCCAGCGTCTCGACGCGCGCAAAGGAGGTGATGCCCGCCTGCTCGGCGACGGCGGCGAGCTCGCGGTCCATCTCGTTGAGCGTGCCCATGTGCTCGAATACGAACGAGATTGGGACGAGAACGAGCGCGCGCGTGCCGTCCGCGCCGAGCTGCGTGATGACGTCCGCCGTGGAGGGCTCTGTCCACGGGACGGCCGACGGGCCAACCTACGGAAGTGTGCGAGCCCTGCTCTGCGCGTGTGCAAAACGAGCGTGTGTGTGTGTGCGTGCGTGTGCGAGCGTGCGTACGTGCGTGCGTGCGTGCGTGCGTGCGTGCGTGCGTGCGTGCGTGCGTGCGTGCGTGCGTGCGTGCGTGCGTGCTGTCTCCAACCTGCCCATGTAGTTATCGATGGATGCGTGGGTGGAGGCGCCGGGATTGGGACGGCGGGCGGGCGCCAACCTGCCCCTGGTACGAGAGCGTGTGCGGGTTGGAGACGCCGCGCGCGCGCAGCTCCTCCGACAGCAGCGCTACGCCGCTCTCCACCTGGGTGGTCAATACTCGCCAGGTGAGGCTTGAGGACCCCTACCCGACCATTCAGCGGCCACCCGCCTGGCCGAGGTACGGGTCGCCCAGGAACTCGACGTACTTGCGCGGCAGCCCCTGCGCCGAGTACACGACTTGCGCCGTCTGCCGCTCCGCCTCGGGCAGAGAGGCGAGCGCCTTCTGCACGGCGCGCGCCGACGCATCGACGTACCCTTTCCGGTTGAACCAGGAGGGGACGACGGTCGACTTTGTGGGGAAGCCGGGCGTGTTGTACAGCATCCGCTCCAGCACGCGCAGCGCCGACCCCGACGTGGAGATGGAAAAGTGCGGGTACAGTGGCAGTATCACCAGCCGCGTCACGTTCTGCGCCTTCATCTGAGCGACGGCCTCCTCAGCGTAGGGCCGCCAGTAGCGCATCGCGATGAAGAGCGACGCGTCCACGCCGCGCGCCACCAGCGTGCGTTGCAGCGCCTCTGCCTGCCGCCGCACCGTCGCAACCTACTCCCGCATGACGTGCCGCTGTGAAGGGGACGGCGGCGGCGGCCGCCGGCGGCGGCGGCCACCTGCGGCGACTCGCCCCCCACCTCCGCCATCGCTGCGCGCGCCTCGGCCGCGCGCGACTTTGCGACGAACCACGCGAGCGGCTTTTTGAGCCACGAGAGCAGCGGCGGCAGCGTCACAATCTCGGGGTCGCAAAACACGTTGTAGAGGTACTCCTCGACGTCGTCGGGCGTCTCGGGCGAGCCGACAGAGAGGAGCAGCACACCCACCGACGAGCCCCCGCTCGCGCTCCAGCTGTCGCCCAGTTCGTCAAACTCGAATGGAGTGGAGGTTGCCGCCGCCGCCGCCACCGCCGTACGAGGCGGCGCGAGGGCGCGGCGCAGCGCGACGTGCGCGGCGGCGGCGGGAGGCTGCGACGGTAGGCGCAGCGAGAAGGCCGAGGACGCGAGCGCCAGCGCGAGCGCGAGCATTGGTGGTGGCTGAGTGCCGTGAAGGAAAAAGAATTTTACGACCATCCCTCGCAAGAAACCGGGCTTCGCCTTTCTACCTACCTACCTACCGGGTACGGGACTGGCACTGCAAAGGCGACGGCTTAGAAGCCGTCGCCCACACAGATGCCGTCCTCCTCACAGAAGGAATTTTGTGCCTTGAGAAAGAATTTTACAACAATTTGGTCGCACGACACGATTCACGCGACAGGCGAGGCGCGGGCGACGGCTTCCTCAGAAGTCGTCGCCCGCACCACAGGAGCAGGAAATCTCGCACTTTTGGCATCACGCTTACGTCAGGACGAGGTACAAGTGTCCGACACAATGGTTGGGTAGTAGGGCTAGAGGGTCGCTCTACACTTAGCCTCTGCAGCGAGCAAGCGCTCAACTTAGCCCCCGCACGGAGCCGGGCTCGGACTTAGACGCTGTATGGTCGGGGGCCATGAACTTAGACGGCACAAGGCCAAATCCGGGTAAAACCCGGGTATACCTGCAAAAGTCCAGGTTTACAGTTCCTGTACCCGAAAAATACCTGGACGCGTCCCGACCAACGTATGCCGCGCACGACGCCATATCGCCTTGTCCCAGGGCCAGTGCGCTACTTGCGGCGCGCAACTCCTGCTCAAGTACGCGCACCGTACCATGTGCTGCCGCTATGCGTGCCTTAAGGCGGCTGCGGCGAAGCGGCGGGCGCGGCATGCCGATGGCAGTGCGGACGATGCGGTTGCGATGTGTTCTGCTTCAAGATCGTGGCGGTGCTTGGCATGCACTTGTGCGATCCCAATCAGCTCATCGCAACGCGAAGCAGCGCAACAAGCTGGCTGCTGCCAACAAGGCCCTATGCTAGATCTACCTCACGCGCGGATCGTTCAAAGAGGACCAGCATACACAGGCTTCTCTGACATGCGTTTGTTTGAGCTTGAGGCTATTTATGTGAGAAATGTTTGGCTAGAGATTGCGCTCAAGAAGAGCAACGAGAATCGGAAGAGGAGGATGCTGAGGCGGCGATTGCTGAGGCATGAGGAGGATCGATCCGGATTAGAAGGCGCCCGCCGCAGGCGAAGAAAATTTGGGGGCTAGCGCCGTATCGTTGATCACGGTGGGAGCCTCTTGGCCCCAGGCTGTGCCACGGCCGACTTAGCCGATGTAAGAGGCTCTCGCTGATCTTAGACCGCGTAAGCACCCCAGCGTGACTAGTCACACTTAGACCCGCTCAGCCTCGAGGCTCTCAGAACTTAGACTACTACCCAACCAGTTCCGACACGTCACACGAGACTCGAGAGTGGGCCGCCTGAGCAACGATATGACTTGGCGGCAAATGATCGGAGTGGGCGTCAGAAGAGTCGTCTTGCGCGAGGACAGCTCGATAAACTCGAGGGGCCAAAATATGCCGCGAGGAGGGCGGCGTTGCGCCGAAAGGCGGGAGAAGCCGCGAGAGCAAGGGATCGGCAGGCGGCGGCGGCTTAGGATGTACAAGGTTTGCCTCTCGCACCCCGTCTCTTTTCCTTTCCTTTTTTCTCTCTAATAGCCACTTGGAGCACTTGGAGTGCAGTTATCAACCTCACATCCAGGGCCGGGGAGCTAAGAAGCGCGCCCAGCGAGCCGGATGATCGGGATCGGGTTACGGGCTAGAGAGCCCTAGCCCCGGGGGTGCGCGTTCGCAGGGAGAGGGCCGTAAAGTAAACACGCGTCTCCGAGGGTTAGTTCCAAAGGCGGCAGGGCCCGCGATTCCCGCAAACCCAGCAACGACGATTTCAGCGAGTTTACCCGCGGCGATGTCGAGCGAGACACCCTTCGCCGTGCGCGTGATCACCTGATGATCCGCGCCAACGAAACAGGCCTCAGCAAGCGACATATACAAATTATGGCGACCGAGAGGGAAAGCAGGCGGCACAAGTGCCTTAAGCGAGAAATCTTTTTACGCCTCTCACACTGCACGACAAGGGCGCAGACTGGCGCGGACTGGCACATGAGCGAGAAGGTTTCCTTGTTCATAGGAGGACGGCGAGGCGATAAGCTCGAGAGTCGTGCAAAAAAAAGAGGAGGGCACTTCGCACGCGTCCTTCCAAAATCCTGCTCGTGCAGGTGGGGACCGGAAGGACGTCACTCTAAACCGGCTAGGCCACACACACACGGCGTGAGTAAACTTTTTCGTAGACACTAGTGAGTGGGAGCGTGCGATACCGTACGCACATGGAGCACTTGGAGTGCAGTTAGTAGCCCACATCCAGGGCCGGGGGGCTAAGAAGCACACCCAGCGGGCCAGACGATCGGAACCGGGCAAGAGAGCCCTAGCCCTAGCTGGGGTACGCGGCGCAACGCGGAAACGGCGAAGAAACGGAGAGAATCGGAGCTGCGAAGGAGGCGACCCGAGCGAGCCGACAAGTCAACGGGGGACTTGTCTTCGCTCCTGTGAGACGGTGCCAGAAGGCAAGCGCTCGTCACGATCGACCCCCCACACACACACACACAGTGCCAGCATAGACTGTGCAGGTAAGGCGGAGCGCCTAAATTCGACGCCTAAATCCTTGACGTCGGCGAGGGCAGGGCGCACACGGTGGAGGATGGACGCAACGTGCGCACGAGAGGTTCGTGCGCAGGGCCGACACGCGCGCGAGAGCCCGCTTAGGTCGCGTCTCGCGGAGCTGGCCCGCTGCGCGGCAGAGAACGTGCCCCGAGACCTGAGTGGCATATCCCCAGTGCAGGGCACCAGCACCGCCTCCTGCTCCGCTGTGCATGGCGTTGGCGCTTGGGACATGGGAGGGACGCGGACCGCTCTCTCCGCGGACGGGGCCCGCGGGGCCCGGGGCGGAGGGGAGAGGCCCGCGGCGCGGGCGCGCGGCCGCGCGCGGGTGTCGATACGATGTCGGAGAACCGAGAGATGCCTCGGCAGCGGGCGGAGAGCGGGGGGGCAATGTCGAGTGCTCTAGCTGCAGCGCCGCCTTCTGATGCAAGTTTTATGAAACATACAACGTAGACGCCGCACACCGTTGGTGTCGCCTCGCGCAAGACACACCATAAAAGCACATATAACACAGCACATATCTTTTGGACACGCGCGCCGGGGCGCATCACAATTGGTACACGCCACTTTCTACCGCGGCCTCCTCTCACACCTGCTCGGTCGTGCGCAGCTTTTCCCCCGCTTGCGAAGTGCGGACAGACCGAACGGTCAGGTGCATGCCAGACCAAACGTCAACTAGCCGGTTGGCCGAGAGGATCAACGCGGAGCGGCGCCTTCTCTCCTTGAATCTGTGGTAGGCGGCGAGCATTGCGATGCTCAGCAGCACCATGGGCACGCCGGCAAGGAACAGCGGCCTCCAGACTGAGTGCTCCTCAGCCGCCTCAGGCATGCCCCGTGAGAGTGCCGTTGCATTGCCTTGCGATTCGGCCAAAACGCGCAGCATGCTGCTGTCGGGTGGCCGCCTCCGAGGCAGCCAGCCGGACGCTCTCCTCTGATGCTAGGTGCCTGGGGCTCACTCGCGCCGGGCAATCCCGCGAAATTCTTTTTTCCTCGTAAAATTCTTTTTTCGTACCTCCTTGCCCTGTGACTGCACTCCAAGTGCTCCAAGGTACCTGGTTAGTGCCAGTGCGCGCCAGTTCCGTGCCTAGTGTTGTGATAGTGTTGTGAGAGGGAGTTCTTGTAAAATTCTTGGGGTCGCCGCAATCTCTGTACTCTTAGAGAATGCGCTTCTTGAAGAATAAAAAAGAGAAATCAGCGCTTTCGCTGGTGTGGGCGGGAGCGCCCGCTGCAGCCCCAGCAGCAGGGGGGTGCCAAGCGCATCTCGGTCCCGAGTACGCTAGCTCTGCCCAGCACACACACATACGCTCACCACTGCGAGCGCGCGTTGAGGCCATGTTAGCCAATCGCTTCAACCCCACAGTTCCCCGAACCGACCAACGCCAAAGCGCCGCCTCGTATCGCTCTACTCGTTCGCGTCACTTGCGGACATGACACCCTGATGGCCTGCCCTTGGCGTGCCCGCCGCACACACTTGCTCAATCGTGGCGTGTATGCTGCCGTGGCTCGTGGATTGCCTGACACGCAGTCGCCTCTCTCACCACGAACTGTTTTGAACACCTGGATCTCTTGCACAGATGTACCGGCGCTGTCGGCGATTTTGTTCTTGCTGATCGAGTCGGGCCGCGCCTTTTCCTCGCCGCTCCAGGGAAGGCCGGTGCTCCTCTCGCGGGGGCGCTCGTGCGCGGAAGCTGGCCTGGCGTCGATCCCAACGGGCAACGCTGCCTGTCGCACCGCCGCCGAGCTCCTGGCCAACTCGACTGGCACCAGTCTGACGTGGCAAAAGCAGCCTCGTGACGAGCCCCGCCCGCGCGAGTGTTCGATTCAGAACGCCGCTAGGTATGTGAGGCTGCACAGTGGAGGCAAGACCAGGGGAGGCAAGAGGAGACCGCAGCCCGCTGGCGACAGGCCAACCCAGGTCTACAGGCCACGGCGATGGGTATGTGCGACGGCGCAAAGTACTTGAGCGAGTCGCCTTTCTGGGGTGAGCAATATGCGAGCGCATTCCGACGTATTCGCTACGCCGCGATCATGTCCTCGCAGAGCACGGCGGCTTCTATGTCGACAGCGACCACACGCCGGGCAATCTCTCACTCATTGAACTGGTGAGGACCGTGCAGGACGCCGAAAAGAATCTGGTCCTGCCCCTCGTCCCAGAGAAGGAGCTGGTGAAGGGCGAGCAGGTTCGCGTTTACAACGCTCTCCTCGGCGCGGTGCCGCGGCACCCTGGAATGATCCACCAATCATGCCCAGAAGGGTGGACAGAGAAGCACTTTGATGCGTCAGATCCAATCACCGAGCGCTTCGGAAACGCGTTCGGCTTCGCGCAGTTGCTGGCAGTGCTGGGCGAAAGCACAGAGTCGTGGAATCTCGGCCAGATGACGTGGTGCAGGTTGCTCAAGATGAAGAGCGATGAGCAGGGGGTCCGTGCGGAAGCATTGTGGAACATCCTGGCTCTCGACGGTGTGCGAACGATGCTGCCTGGAGGACAGGCGGAGGCTACGGCAGCGTACGCTCGACCTCGGCAGCCAGTACCACGAGGTGTGCAATGTTGCCCTTTCATCGCGCAACACCTCCGCTCCGGGTGCCTGGGCACGCCTCGGCAGCGCTCAGTTTGTCGGTCCCCCCCAGAAGGAGCTTGAGCAATCTCATGCGTCTCGAGCGTCGGACAATGACCGGGCTAGGCTCGCCAGGATGGCTGCCGTGTCGCTGCGCGGCTTGCTGAGCGCAGAGCTTCTGGCGGAGTATCCACACAATGCCACTGAGAGAGTCTCTCTCCCGCTTCCGGGCGCGGGGTCGGGGAGAGATATGCTGAGTCATATGTCGCTCGGCTTACGGATGCTTGCTGTATTCCTGTGTGTATACGAACCGCCGGGCAAGACCGGATAACCCTGGAGAACACATTTTTTCATGAGTGATGAGATCGGATGGACGCGGATCGGTATACAGTACATGTCCACATGTGTTGTCATGTTGTTGTTGTATGTGTGTGTATGTCTGTGTGCGATAGCTGCACGTGTGGCGACTCGTCGCGCGCGCACGATCACAAAGGCCGGGGTGGCGTCTGCGTCCCTCCCCGAGACAGTGGCGCAACTCTTCAGATCGGCTGGTATCCCCACGTGTCGAGCTCGATCCGCCTCTCGTGCTCGGCGAGCTCCGGGTGCCAAAAGTTGATGAGGAGCACGACCCGGTCCTCGCCGCCGCGGTGGCGCACCTCGTGCTCCCAGGAGTCGTCAAAGACGAGCACCTCCCCCTCCCTCCACTCGCGCCACTCGTTGCCCGCCCGGATCGAGCAGCCTGGCGGGATGACGATGCCGAGGTGCGCCGTCAGGCGCGTGTTGGTCGAGCCGCAGTGCGGGCGCAAATGCGTCCCCGGCCTAAGCGTCGAGAAGAGCGTCTCGCCGCCGCCCGCCATCGCGAGCCCGATCGCCGCAGAGACGCGCTCCATCGTGCCGGCGGTGACGGGGCAGCGGGCGCAATTCTCGGCGTACTTTTGGCCGTTGCCAAAGAGCGGGTACTCGCGCCACTCGCCTAGAGCAAAACCCAGAGAGGGCTCGGGAAAGGATCTGCCAGGAAGCGGGAGGAAGCCCTGCGCCACTCGCCAGCGGCGACGAGGGTGTGGTCGTGCGCCGCCCGCCCGCCCACCGGCGTGAAGGACGCCGGCTTGCGGCGCAGCCGGAGGACCTCGTCGCGGATCTGCGGGTACTGCTCCTCGAGCAGCGCGCACCACGCAAACTCGCCCTTGTCCCACCACGGTCTCGACGTCAGCCGCTTGACCAGGTGGGGCGGTCGCTGCATCCAGTTGGCCCACAGCCCCGCCGCCACGCCGCCGCGCGCGACCGCCTCGAGGCGGCGACGCGCAACCTCGTCGTCCGGAGGCAGCTGCTGCAAGCAGTGCACGCCGTTGACGTGCGCGCCGTGGTGGGCCGCGTCGAGCCGCAGCGTGGCCTCGTATGCCCCTGCTGCATCGGAGAAGCGCCTCAGCTGCATCAGCACCACACCCACCACATACTGCGGCTCCGCCGCCTCGGGCTGCGAGCTAGCGAGCGTCTTTGCGAGCACGAGGGCGCGCTCGAGGTCCCCGGTGCGCTGCCGTGCGAGGTAGGCGCGCACTAGGTTGCCGTAGGCGATGCCCAGGCCGGGCATGGCTGCGATGGAGGCCTCGTAGGGATCGACGGCGGCGGCCTCGCCCTCGAGTATACCGGCGCACACGCCGAGGTAGAAGAGCGTCACGCCGTGCGCCGGCTCGGCTTTGCTCAGCAGCAGGGTTCGCGCCACCTCGGCGCGCCCCTCTTTCAGGAGCTGAGGCAGACGCGCCTCGAGCGATCGGTCGTCGCCCCACCACTCGCGGCTAGGGCCACGCTCATGAACGCAGAGCGGCGAGGCGGCGCACGCCGGAACGGTCGGCGCCACGTCTGCTGCGGCGAGAGCAGCCGCTGGCGTTGTCGCCGCCGCCGGCTCTGCGCCGGCCCTAGCGGCACGAGCGCGCCTCCTCCAGTCGCCGCGCTGCGAGGAGAGCGTTGTGCTGGTGCTAGCCGGCATTCCGGGCCCTTGCGTCCAAAACGAGAATTCGGACTGCGTTTTGGCGTTCTTAGGAGAATCGGAGTCGCCTCTTGGGGGGCTCACGATAGGAAGGGTGAGCTCTCTTCCGTGGGCTGTGGCACAGCCAGCCAGCGCCGCGCTCGCCGCTGCGCGACGTGGAGCGGGTGCGATCCGCAGAGGCGAGGGCGACGCTGGAGCCGATAGCCTCCGCGCTCCGGAATCCGAACCGGAACCTGCGTGTGAGCTCACAGCTCACAGCGGGCGGCTGCGCGCGCCGCGAGAACCCGTACGGCCATCGAATGCACGAGCCCAGTCTAGCCAGGGTAGCCTGTCTCAAGCACGTCGGCAGGTGGGGCACGCCCGCGGTAGGTACCCAGCTCCGAGCTCGCTCTGCGGCCGTGACCTTGTAGCACGTCTGTCTGGGTGGTGGGGCGAGAGTCGTCCGTGCCCGCAGGTGAGCATCGCGCCGAGTCCCACGCATCTGCCGCGCGCAGCGCAACACTGCCCGCGGATCAGAGGATCACGCAGTCATCATCCCACTGATTCTCCTCCCGCAGCCGTGCCGCGCGCGCCTCTCGGATGCGCCCTTGCCGCGCCGCCTCCTCCGCTCGCGCCTCGTCCATTCGGCACCGCCACGCCTCCTTGGCGTCCCACCTTCTGGGCATGCACACGGATCAGCGTGACGTGGCGAGGCAGGTGCGGTGGGGCGGCGGTGCTGCGCACTGCTCTTGGAGCGTCAGCTCCGCAGCTTGCGTCAGCGCCACGCTCTCGGTACCCGCGGCGCCGCGCCCTCCCTCCGCGGGCGATTTGCAGGCCGAGACGGAAAGGCCCGCGCGGGCAGCTACCGTCCGCCGCCACGCCTCGAAATTCTGAGAGCCCGCGGCAAGAGGCTGAGACATCCGCTCCTCTTCAGAGCGCATGTGTGGCCAAGAATTTGTTTTAGAAAAAAGAAAAGCTTTTTCCAGGGCGCAGAGGGCTCTCGAGGTTCTCGAGGTGGATATCCTTTGTCCGCATTGGGTAGCGAGGATTGGTGTGACGCGATCCACGCAGGCGTGTTTTCGACCGTCAGTGCACGGAGTTGCCCCTTCTCCGACTGCCCCGGCTAGTTCCCGAGTTTCGCGGGAGTGACCCCATGCGTCAAACCCGAGACCTAGCGCGGGTGGGTTTGAGGGGGGCTCGCTGCAGGGAAGGGCTGTGTAAGAAGCCGATCCCCGTAGTCCGCCCCGCTCCTCCCCATCGGGCCGCATGAGCGGCCACGCCTCGCAGATTCGTTTTCGCGCCTGGGTCAGGCGCGCGGGGCATCCCCCGGGTCGCTCGACCAGCGATCCGAAGAGTGGCCGCTATGCGAAGGAAAGAGTGGGGCCCTCGACGCCTCAGTCCGGCCCTCCGAGGGGGGAAGGGAATTGCGGGGTCCCCACGCGCCACGCCCGCCTAAGTTCGGCCCTCCCGAGGGGGGGGGGGGGGGGACCCAGGGGGGGGGGGATTGGGGTGGTGGGGAGGGGTCTCCGTTTCCTGGGGCTAATACTTGCCTTTCGGGGAGGGGCCTCCGTTGGAAGGCGAGGCTAGCTCAACCCTACTTTTTCCCCTCCTCCCTCGGGGAGGGGCCTCGGTTGGAAGGGGAGGCTAGCTCAACCCTACTTCTTCCCCTCCTCCCTCGAGGCAGCGAGTAGGCAGCGAGGGGGGGTATCGAGCGCCTAGATGTTGAATGTGCTGGCGGGGTCGGCTTAGGTGAGGTGGGCTCGGGCGGGCGGGCAGGCGGGCAGGCTGGCGGGCAGGCGGGCGGGTGGGCGGGCGGCGGGGTTGGGGAAGTCGTATCTGGCAGCAGCAGAGGGCTTGTTGGCGAGCCAAAATGGTGTTTTCCGAGGCGCTGCGCCAGGCTCAGAGCGAGTTCGCGCTGCCACTGTGTGCTTTCTCCGGGGGTATATTTTTGGGCTATCTCTCCTCAAAAACGATGTCAAGCGCCCGCTCGCAGCCAGCACGCGCCGCGCCCCTGGGCGCTCCCCGCTGCGGCGCGCCGCCCGCGCGCGGGTTGCCCGGGCGAGCGACCGCCACCGCTCGCCCCTCAGCACCCTCTGCCCGCGCACGGCCGACGCGCAAGCCCGCGGTCGCGCGCGAGCCGTCGCTTTGCGCACGCCGCCGTCTACCCGCGCTCGCTCGCGATCGAGTCAGACGACCCTATCTTCCGAGTAGCGGAGGTGTGCTTGCACCCCCTTCCCAAGGCACATGCACTTTGGAGGGAGAAAGTAATCGCGGCGGGGCCCGCAATCTCACATTTTGCGACTCACCCCCAGCAGGCGCGTTCTCGCGTGCTGCTGCTGCACAGGTTTTGCGGCCGCCCCGAGAGGGGGAGCGGCCGCTCCTCCGCACCATCGGCCCACGGCATCCTGGGCGGCGTCGGCGCCGCCCCAACGGCCGGCTCGGGCGCTTCCCGCCCCGCCTCGGCTACACTTTGTCGCGGCGATCTAGCGGTGCGCCGCCGCACCGCGCGCCTCCCCCGAGCCTCTGCACGGCGCGATGAGCCGCCTCGGCTGCCGCCGTGGTTGCGCCGGCGCCCCTCCCGCACGGCGCGACGCGACCGCAGCCGCGTGCGTGGTCTCACTCACCTCTCCCGCCCGCGCGTCCGCCTCTCAGACCCGCGCCTCCCCTTTCCCAGGCGCCATCACCGGCACGGCCGCCGCCGCCCGTGCGGCACCCGCGGCACCTCCCGCCCCCCCTGGCGATGCTGGCCGCTACCCCGCCGCCGTAGCTACCCTCCCCACCGCTGGTGCACCGCCTCCGCCGCCCCCCTCGGCGCTTCGCCCGTGATTTTGCCGCCTCCTCCTCCACCACCACCCGTCTAAGCTTCCGCCCGCCTTCTCGCCACCGCCGTCCGCGCCACCTCAGCCGCCCTCCCCGGCGCTGCACCGGCGCTGCAGTGCCGTCGGCGCCGCCGCCCGTGCCGCCTCGGCCTCCGCGCCTCCAACCTCGCCGCGTCCGCAGCGGTTCCGCCCTCGGCGCCTCCCACCTCTCACCCGCCAGGTCGAACTTCCGCCGACGATGGTGCCACCGCTGCCGCCCCCCCCGCTCGAGCCTCGGCCGCCGCACCCCGCCGTCCGCGCCCCGCCGCCACCCCCTCCGTCACGGCACACGCCGGCACCACCGCTACTACCGCTGGCTCCGCCCTAGACGCCGCCGACCGCTCGCAAGAGCGGCGAGCCCGCGGCCGACATCCTTCTGTCAGGTGACGGTCGACGGCTCCTTTCGAGGCTTTGTGGCTTTTTAAGAGGGGTCCAGCAGCTCGGGGGGTGCGCGCTGGATGGCCGGCGCGGTGGAGCAGCGGCGCGGAGCCGGGGGTGCGATGTGCGGCCGTCGGTGGCGCGACACGCGGCCTCCGGTAGCGATTCGCCGCGGCTCCGGCGGTGCGATTTTTGTGCGTTTTCGAAGGCTGTGGGCGGGATAAGGCCGGCTAGACCGGCCCTGGTGTGCCCTAGTGTGTTCCCTTACACCCCTGGCCCGGGCGCAGTAGCGCGGTGCGCGTCCCGAGGGCGTAGGGGCTCAAAAAACAATTGATCAAGTTTTCAGCCACTTAGAGCACACAGTGGCTAGACTCAGACGGCGAGTTCGCGCTGCGCTATAGGCTCAGAGCTGCCGCCCCGCCGCCGCTGTTGCTGCCATCGAGTGCGCCATCTGCTTTGCTGAAGACGATGGTACCGTCGGCAAATTCGCCCTCGTCCGGTGCGGGCACGCGGTGTCGCATGCTGAGGGAGGGTGTAGAGGATGTAGAGTGTAGAGCGCTGTAGAGCTGTAGAGCTGTAGAGCGCTGTAGAGCGCTGTAGAGCTGTAGAGCTCTACATCCGCCACGTGACGATGCGCCTGCGTTGTAGAGCGATGTAGAGGCGCTCTACAACGTGAAATCTCTACAACAAACTCTACATCATAAGCGGCGAACGAGGCACGGTCGCTCTCCGACATGAGGCGCGTTGCACTTGCCAGTGCTGCCCTGGCCTTCTGTCTGCCCGCCCAATGGGTGGCAGGTGCCTCTGTGCTGCTGTGGCATGCCTCACGGCTGCGACTGGCCGGCGCCTCGGCGCGTCAGCTCGGCTCGGCGTAGCGATAGTGGCCAGCGCAACTCGCCTGGACTCAACGCTCAGCCAGGAGCTCCCGCACGCGCTGGCGCGAGTCATGGCGCAGACAACGCGTCTGAATGCTCGCCTCGCCTCGCGCAAATGCGACCGTCCTCGCAGCCGACAGTCCTCGAGACAGTCCACCGCCTGAAGCACAGCGACGAATGCGGCACCGGCGACGCATGGCAGGCTGGTCATGACGCAGTTGTAGGGTGTTGAGTGTGTCGTCAGAGTGACTCTCTCTGTGTCAGGGATAGTCAGGGCCGTCCATCAGAGCTCCAGTAAGCTCGGAGACACCCCATTAGTGCGACTCGACCTCTTTGAGTCACTGCCTTCCCGGCGGTTTGGCTGTAGAGCCTCTACAACAAACTCTACAACAAAATCGCGCTCTACATCGCTCTACAACGCAGGCGCATCGTCACGCGGCGGATGTAGAGCTCTACAGCTCTACAGTGCTCTACATCTCTACAGCTCTACAGCGCTCTACACTCTACATCCTCTACACCCTCCCTCACAGGTCGCATGCAAGGCCTGCAGCCAGATGTGCGCCGAGACCGGCGCGAAAGAGTGCCCGGTGTGCCGGGCGCCAGTAATTTTTGTTCTAGAGGGCAGCGGTTTGGTACCTCCTGAGGCTGAGCGCGTTCAGACTCGGTGACCGGAGTTGGATGGTCCGATGGAGCTCGGCGAGCTCCATCAGAGCTCGGCGAGCTCCATCGGACCATCCATGGCCGGACGGCGGAGCGTGAGGTGGCGAGCGGAGAGATGTACCGCAAGACCAAAAAAACACGGATCTGACGCGATGTCCCAAAACGTCAGATCTGGCTCACCCAGGGCTGGACCTAGTCACGGACGACATGCTAGCCCAGCAGGCCGCTCCCACCGCCGCCCGCGGCGGAGGCAAGGCGGCAAAGGGTGGCAAGGGCGGCGGCAAGGGCAGTGGCAAGGGTGGTGGCCGTGGCGCACCAGACCCGCTTTGCGCCGCCGCCCTCAACGCCCGATACTCGGTTAGAGCCAGGATGGAGGTGCTGCCAGAGGACTGGCCGAGGAGCGTCACCTTGGCCGCGTCGCCGCCGAAGGCGGCGGCGTACTTCGCGACCCACCGCATCGCCAGCTGCTGGTCGAGGATGCCGTAATTGCCGCTCACTCCGCTTCGGCCGAAGCGAGCTCCTCCAGCGCGGCAAAGCCGAGCGCGCCGAGGCGGTAGTTGTAGTTCATCGCGACCAGCATCGCCCGCCCGCCGCTGCCCTGACCAGGTTCTCGATCGCGCCATACGAGGCGACGGACCCCTCGACGAGAGAGCCGCCGTACAGCCAGACAAGGACGCTGAGCCTGGCGGAGGCGTTGCCGAGCGCGGCGACGGGAGTGAAGACGTTGAGCGTCAGGCACTGCTCGGAGACGGCCGGAGGGCCGTACGGCGGTTTCATGCCAGGGCAGCCCGGTCCGTCGGCCAGGGCATCCAGTACGCCGTGCCAGCAGGCGGCGGGCGTCGGAGGTAGGAAGCGGCCAGCTTCGCCGAAGGGAATGCCGTGAAAGGCGGCGACGCCACCCGCTTGCGTCCGCCCCTGCACGACACCGCAGCTGGTGCGAGCAGTGACGGCAGGGCTCTCCTTCCTCGACAGTCTCCCTCTCGACAGTCAGGACAGCGGAGCGGGCGCTGGCGCACCACGCGCATGCGATGGCGAGGAGGAGGAGCAGACTCAGAACAACCAAGCCGCAATGGCGGTGAGGGCTCGACTTGCCGTGGTGCATCCGGCCGCCGTTCAACCGTTCAGCGACGGTGCGCTTGGGCGGCGCGGGGCCGAGCAGTGGCCGCGTGTGCATGTGCAGACACTGCAGATCTGAGTCGGGTGCACCAGCGAGAAGCCGTGGGGGGGTGGGGGGGTAAACACACACCGATGATGATCGGCCGCCATTTGTGTTTTCTTTGTTTGATTTTTTAAATTCGTGAGAGGGAGTTTTGTTCTCTAAATTATGTTTCTCCCCAAGTTCAGGATATAAGCTAGCACGATGCCGAGCATCCGGCCCGCTGGGTGCAATTCTTACTCCCCGGCGGAGGCGGGGGGGGGAGGGGGGGAGTTTGGGGTGGGACGGTTGGTCCATCCGGAATCGCGTGGCAACAAAGCGAGCTGTGCAGCATTCACAAAATGAAAGCTCTCGTCCTCGGAGCAACCGGCGGGTGCGGCGCGCCCTGCCTCCTTCGCCTGCTCGAGCGCGGCGTCGAGGTAAAGCGCCAAAAAACCCTGCCACCAGCCGCCTGCGAGGCCGCGTCTGAATGCATGTAATTGGCGCCGCTCAGGTCACGGTCATCGTCCGCTCGGCCGACCGCCTGCCGGCGGCAGCCAAGGGCCACACGAACCTGAAGGTCGTGGTCGCGCCAGAGGGTCACCTGGCGCTGCGCGTCGATGAGTTTGCGGCACACCTGCGCGGCGCCGACGCCGTAGTCTCGAGCTTGGGCCACAACCTCACCTTCAAGGGCGTATACTTCCCTCCTCGCATGCTCTGTGTTGACTCGGTGCGCCTCATCTGCGACGCCGCGCGCCAGCTGGCGCCGTCGACGCCGCTGCGGCTGGTCGTCGTGAGCACGGAAGGCGTGGACCGGCCCGACGGCGCCGACCCGAAGCGCGGCCTGTTGGAGCGCCTGCTGCTCTCTGTCCTGTGGCTCCTCCTGCCGCCGGTCGGCGACAATGAGGCCGTGCTGCCCTATCTGCACACCGAGGCGTCGGCCAACCCGCACGTCGACTTCGTGGCGGTGCGGCCCTCTGACATGGTCGACGGCGACGAGCGGCCGTACAGCGTCTTCGCGACGCTCCAGAATGGGATCTTCAACGCCGGCCAGTCGACCAGGGCCAACGTCGGCGCGTTCATGGCCGACCTGGTGACGAAGACCGAGGTGTGGACCAAGTGGCGGAACGACTGTCCACAGCTGCTCGACGACACGAAGAAGGCGGCGTGAAGCGTATAGAGGCTCGAGGGCTGTGCCCCATTCTCCCGGCCTGGTCGCGCCCTGTAGCGCCCTCGCGATCGGACGGTTGTGCGTGTTCTCTAGTCTCGTTCTCGGTTGTGTGGGATTCGTTTGTGCAAAGCAGCGGATCTGTCGTACCCCGGTTTATTGTGTTCCATGCGCGAACGAACTAGAATGAAAGGGAATCACGACCAGGCTCCAGGGCGGCGCGAACGGAGTGACAGCGCGCAGGCGGGCCCCTCCGCAGGGCAGCGCGCCGGCGAGACAGGGCAGCGCCCCGGCGAGGCCGGGTGGGCTCTACAACAATCTCTACAGCAAAATCGCGCTCTACATCGCTCTAGAACGCACGCAGTGCCCGCGGCGGATATAGAGCTCTACAGCTCTACAGCGCTCCACAGCTCTACACAGCTCTCTACAGCGCTCTACACTCTACATCCGCTACACCCTCCCTCAGCTCTGGAATGGCTACTTTAGAATGGTCGACAATGTTGGTTCCGGAATGTTGGTTCAAGAAACTGGCCCCACTGATCCTGAGCTTCTTGCGGATCATATGCAAAACTTCTCGAGCTGGCGTGGGTTCATCATGCTTGATGCTTCATGGGCGGCAAGCTCTGTCTCTGGCCGATAATCGTACTGAACAAGATGTCATGACCAGCTTCCTCCCCGACGTTATCACGCGCCCAGTCTGAAGCAAATCCGGTTTTTCCTAATGCTCGAGCACTCGCGGGCCTCCAGAGAGATCTTGGATGAAAGGGCATGCGCCTGCTTCGAGCAGCCGCGCACGGATGCGAACACGCTCGCGTTGGCTGCCCGCGAAAGCTGGGCTAGCATGGTGCAGTGCGGGTACTAGTCCTCTAGACGAAGCTGCCAACAGCAACAGCAATGGACCCCCGGCAAAGAATTTCACCACAGGCCGGAACACTCACTTTTCAAAGAATTCTACGAATACAAGCCCCTCTCACAGCAGACTGGCACGGACTAGCACCACAAAAGGCACAGCAGACGGCGGCCCCTTATGGGCCGTCGAAGGCCGACATACTCCTCCGGCCCAACGCGGCCAAAGGATAACCACCTCGAGAACCTGGAGAACCTCCGGTTGCGCGCCCCCTTCCCAACCCTCTTATTATTATGTATATGTGTGTCTCGCGCCTTGCGGGGGGGGAGCGGAAAGGAGGAACCTCTTCCCAAGAGCACCACTCTTGGAGCGCCGCCACTACCACCCACCGAGCGCTGCAAGCAGCGCCGGGCAATGACGGCTTACCGCCCACCCAGCCCCCCCCTCGGCACACCCCGGCAGCCAATGTGTGGCGGCTCGAACCCAGCTCGACGGCGGCGAGGTCCGGCATCGTGGCGCTGGTCGTCTCGCCGAGGGCTGCCTCTCGACTTTACTCCCGCGTCACAGCGAAGCACGAGAAGCGACAGCCCGCAGCGCACTGCCGTCCAGTCGGCGAAGGGATGGCTGCTGCGCAAAGTGATCAGTTCTAATGGATGTACCGGGGCCCGACGGATAGATGAATCCGGGGCACCCTCCCCTCAGACGCGGGACAGATGATGACGACATGGCTGCCTAGGGGGCAAAAGAAAAACCCGCTGCCGCCGCAGCCTCCTTTGCCACCAGCCGCCAAGGCACTCAGCTCCACTTCTGATGGTCTGCTTCCTCCTCTGTCCGGACACGCCGCCCGAGCGGGTACGCATCCGCCGCCCCGTGCCACTGGGAAATCCGCCGCCACGGAGTATCCGCTGCCCGTCGCTTGGCGCTGCGTCCGACATCTCCACTCCCTACTGAAGCGACCCCGCCCCTGCCGGCTCCTCCGCGCATCTCCACTCGCCACCGAGACTTGAGCGCTCCTTACTCAGGCGGACGCCAAGGGCGGCAAGGGCGTCGAGCAGGGCAAATTCATTGCGGCGCAGCACAACCCGAACCAGTTTGCGCTCGGACTCAAGGACGCGTGCTGCGTTGAGCCGGGCTGCTGCATCCTCTCCGGCCTCGGCGCGCCCTTTGGCCTGACCGCGTGCTGGACCCGCAAGGCTGTGCTCGACAAGTACGCGGGCGGCATGCAGAACTACGTTTGCTTCCAGGGCTACATCCCCAACTGCTGCTGCATGGACACGTCCGACATGTGCCGCGGCTCCGAGCTCGGCCTCTGCCTCGAGGCAGCGCCTAGAGAGAGAGGGGGCGGGGCGGGGAGGGAGGGAGCGAGAGAGAGCGAGAGCGAGCGAGCTAGCGTATCGACGTGTAGCCGAGTTGTTGCCCCCGCCCATGCTCGGCATCGCTCCCCTTCCCTGAGCTCGGCGTCGTCCCGCTGCCCGTCCTCAAGCATTCGCGTTGCCGGCGGCTAGGGCCACAGCCGCCGCCGCCTGCCGTGAGCCCCCCTCCCTCCGCACTGGTCGCGCAGGGCTGCTGCTGCCCCGTCTTCTCCATCTCCATCGCGCGGCTGCACCTCATGGACTCCAAGCGGATCCGGCCCGACCCGTGGGACTACCAGATCATCGCCTTCTCAAACTGCCTGCAGGTGTGTGCAAAAGTGCTCGGCCACACACAAACCGACATGAGCCCCGCGGCGCGGGGAACGCGCTCGGGGGGGGGGGGGACTAGCCCCGGATCCCGCAGCGGGGGGGGATTGAATTACCGCCGCACAGGCCGAGCGAACGGCGCTCGGCTGTGTCTTGCCCTCTCCCGCCCTCTCTCGATCTCTCTCACCGAGCCTCCCGCCTCCTCTCCCGCCCTCCGCAGCTCGCCTCGTGCATCCTCGACATCATCGCCATCTTTGTGGAGGAGGTGCGCGGGCTCCCTTCCCTCGCAGCCAACGAGGGCCCGATGACGGAAGCTGTAGTCCCGCAAGCAAGATGCAGTCCCGCCACACATAGGAGGCGACGCTCGTGAGGAGCAACACCCCCCCTCCCCCCTCCCTTTCTTGCTCGCAGGCACGCGAGGCGGCGAACATCGTCGACCTCATTGCTGACCTCGTCACCCTCTCTGTCGCCGGCTGCATGGGCGCCCAGATCAACCACGAGATCAAAACGGACGCAAACGGCGCCGAGCAGCACCCCCCCTCCCCCCCCCCCCCCCCCTTCCCCCTCCCCCTTTCACCCCCAACCCCCTCACCCCCCCCCGGTCCCGGTGCGGCGGAGGCGTGTAGGGCGCCTCTCACACACACGTGCTGCTGTGAGCAGGTATCAAGGAGCACCCCGTGGTGATTGGCATCCCCGTCGCGCAGGGCGGCCCGACCCCCGCGGCCGAGGAGATGGCGCGCTGAGCAAACTCGAGGCAAGGCGGCTGCGTCCATCTTCTCAAGGGCCATCCCAGCCTCGTGCCGCATGACTCAGGATCAGGTTCGAGATACACAGTACTAGTAGGACACTAGCGCGCAGCGGACGCGCCGGGGCCGTGGCCGCCGTATGTTGCATGTGTCTTGTGTGGAGTACCAGCCCGGCGCCAAGGGAGTCGGCTGTGGAGGGCCGGTTTGCGTTCTCTGGACAAGTTCAAGGGACGAACCAGATACCAGTTCCACCCGCGAGACGTCACTCCCTTCAGGTATATAGCAAATTTTGCCTTGTGCTTGGTTCGCGTGAGGGTCAAACTTTCTATAAACGACAAAAAGAAAAATCCTTGCCGCGCCAACCCCCCCGCCCGTCCAGCCTGTCCAGCCCCCCCGGGGGGCCAGCGTGGTTGGGCCAACATCTATCTGACCATGTTCACGACAGTGCGCCTCAAAACGTTGGCTAGCCGCTGTCCTGCGCGTGCGGTGATTGCCCAACGAGGTGTGTATCCCTCGCAAGCGGGTCAGCGAGCGTCCGTCTCGCGAGCGGGTCAGCGAGCGGGTCAGGCTCGCCCGCTGTGCTCTCCTGCCACATCCAAAGGCAAGTCAACGCTGCTAGAATGGTGTGAGAGCAACCCGATAAAGTTCGGGGTCGGTGTCGCTACCGTCAAGACTCAGGCCGCCGACCTCCTCACCCAGAAAAGCCTCGAGGGCAAGTCGTGGGCCGAGATCGACTGGCGACGAAACGGACTCTTCACCGTCTTTGGCTTTGCGTACCAGGGCTGCTTTCAGTATTACCTGTACGTGACCCTCTTCTCGCGGTGGTTCGCGGGCGCGGCGCGCTTTGTCAACCAGCCGCTGAGCGTCAAGCTCACCGATTACGCCGGCCAGCGTGACGTGCTCAAGCAGATTGCGTTTGATGTGCTGATTCATCCGATCTGGTGCACTTCCGAGCGCCTTCCCTCGGGCTGCACACCTGGGATGATCCACAGCGCACACGGCGCAGGTTCTTTCCGATGTACTACACGCTCAAGGAGGCGCTGTGCGGCCACCCCAGCCTCTTTGATGGCGAGTCGCCCGCTGCAATCGGCAAGGTTGCGCTCTCGAAGTACGCCGCCAACAACTTTGACACCCGCAGCGAGGACGGCCTCCTCACCGACTGGATCGCCTTCTGGAAGATCTGGGTGCGGGGCCCTGTGGGATGGGGGGCGTCGCCGCTGCCCTCCCTCACCCAGCCGGCTTCAGCCTTCACGCCTTGGCCAATAGGTGCTGGGCGATGTGGTGGTGTACGGCTTATGCCCGATGTGGGCACGGCTGCCAGCGAACCACGTCTTCTCCTTCGTGTACATCTGCGTGCTCTCCTTCATGCGCGGGTCGTCTGCCGAGAAGGACTTGCCCTGCGTAATCGTCGAGCACGAGAGCGACGGTCCCAGCGAGCAGAACCAAATCCGAAAGGATACGTGAGGTGGGTAGACGTTGCGGAGTATTTTGTACCACATTTTTAATGGGCCAGTGTGCTCCCCGCTGTCCCTCAGCGCTCAGGCACCTCGTTGCGCCACACACCTCGCTGCAGGGCGCTACACACGACACACGTGTGAGGTGGGTGTGTGGCGCGTGTGGGTGTGCGCCCCCGAGAGGCGAGAGTCCAGTCCGCCGAGCCGGGTGGAGGTCGCCTTCCGCCGCGCGCCCCGGCGCGCCCGCTGGCCGCGGGGCCCTTTTGTGGTCTCGCCCGCGTCACCCTCGACACGGGGTGATCAAGGTTCAAATACAAGCGATTTTTTTTACACACTGTAAACGGGCGGGGGGCCCACTGCGACGTGAATTACATTTACAACCACCGCGCGGGAGAAGTCGAGCCACAAGGCGGGTTCCACGTCACAGCTCTCAGCTCACGCCCTAGTACGTAGTAGTAGTACGCCTACCGGTGCCGGTGCCGCGAGCACCTGCGTTCTCACAAATCGTCAATGTCGCCGAAGAGGTCCGCCTCGAGCGCCTTCGTCCGCGCGTCTGCGTCGCCGGACCGGGCCGTTGCCATCCCCGGACCACCGCTCGCCACCGCCCCTTGAATGGTGGGCGCGGGCGTGGCGGCCGGTTCGGCGGGAGTGGTGCTCGCAACCGGCGGCGCAGAGGAGCCCGCTGGCGGCGCGCCGACGCCAAGAGAGACCATCGAACCACCGTGCGGCGTGAAGTAGCTCGGCGCCGCCGCGGCACAGCGCTGCACGGCCATCACCCAACGCGCAAGGTTCCACGGCGCCGTGGCGGTGTGGCGTGCCTTGGCAGAAAGAGCGACCTGCGCACAGGAAACGATCTGGAAAGAGCGAGAGGGCGGGAAGGGGGGGGGGGGGGGAGCCCGCCTGCGAGAGCGACAGCGGTGCGCTGGCGTTGCGGAGCACGGCGACCATCAGCCGCGTCACCTCCACATCGTTCGGCCCGGCCGATTGCGGCACGGCGCTGGCCACGACCTGCTGCTCAGAGGCAGACGGGGCCGTGGCCGCCGCCCTCGAGGGGACAGCGGCGCTGGACGAGGATGGCGCTCCGGCGGCGCCCCCCTTGCTTCGCTTGGGAGGGGGTGCCGCTCCGCTGCTGCCGCTCGATTGCCGCACGAGCCGCGGGGAGGAGGAGGCGGCGGCGGCGGAGGTGCGGGCGGCCGCGGCGTCGAGCGAGGCCCGCGCGGCGGCAGCGGCTTGCGCGCCGATGGCCGCCGGCTTTGGCCGTGCCGGGGCGCTCGTGCGGTCGCGCTGCGCGGCGCGCTTCCTCTCCTCGATGTACTTGGAGCGCTCCTCCCGGAGGCGCGAGGCGAGCGGCGCGTGCTTCGCGTCGAGCAGCGCCGTGCAGAGGAAGGAGGCGACGTGCCTGCTCAGAAACAGGCGCGTGAGGCGACGATGCCATCAGGCGCGTAGAGCACGCGCGCGGGGGAGGGTGCGCCGCTCGTAGAGCAGCGTGTCGCGCTTGAGCCCGGCCGACTCCGCCTTGGGCAGCCGCTCCCACGCGTTGGACAGGATGATGTTGTACAACTTGCCTGAGACGGGTGTGACCGACGCGTGTCAAAGGGCATGGCTACAAAAGGCCCTTCGGAACCCGGTGTGTGGCGTGTTGCCGGCGCGCGCAGGCACGTGGTCACGGCATTGCAGCAGCACCTCCGCCGCCAGCCGCAGCACCAGCCCGTCGCCTGCGCCCCACGTCGTCGCCGGCGCCTACGGGAAGACTCCGAGAGAGAAAAGTTCAGGGAAAGCTCCGGGAAAGTTCTGCCCAACGCGTCGCCGCCGCAGCCTCGCCGCCCGTTCTGGACTGCTCCCGGGACAGCTCAGCCGACGCGCTGCGCTGCAACGGCGCGCCTGCCCCCGCAGATGCAGGGGCGGCACTCTTGTCGGCCGCAAGCGCGGAAGCGGCCGAGAGGGCGAGGGCGTACGCGGCGTGCTGCGTGCAGACCCAGAGCAGCGGGTCCGCCTTGCCGTCGCGTGGCCGCCGCTCAAACTCGGCGGACCACGCGCGCAGCGGGCCCGCCCACAAGTGGGGGGAGGAGGCGCCGGCGGCCTGTCACAACGCGCGAAGAGTTGCACGAACGGCGCGCGTCGGCGGGCCGTGGGGTGGGGTGGCTCTGTCTCTGTGCTTCGCCGAAGGCACATGCCACATGCACATGCACATGCTGCGTGCACATGCACGTGCATGTGCATGTGCGTGACATGCACATGCGCATGCTCTCCCCCTTCGAATCTCCAAAACCCTCGGGTGGGCCTCGGGGTGTGTTCTCGCTCGGGAACGCGCCGACGGGACGAGCTCCCCGCGCAGGAACAGGGGCTCCGGCTCCTCCTTGCCCTCGGCCTTCCTTTGCCGTACGCCGTCAGGCATCGCGCGGAAGAGGGAGCGCGCCGCGCCTACGGTGGTGTTCAGATGCGGTCCAGAGACGGACCCTGTGGGCCGGCATCGCGAACGGTAGGGAGCGCGCGGCCCCGCCTACACATCTCAGGGTGTGGAGCGGGCCTCGGCTGTGTTCTCGGGGGGGGGGGGGGGGGGGGGGGGGGGGAAAAAAAGACCCACCCCCCGGGGCCCCAACCTTTTAAGGGCGGAGGGGGGGAATGGGGAACGCGGCGCGCTTCTTGGACTGGAAGGGCTGCTCGAGGCCGCCCCCCGTGTGCTCGAAGAGGTGGAGCAAGCCGATCGCGCTCGCTTCGGGCAGCGGCACCGAAGGCGAACCGCCGGGAGGGCGACAGCGAGGCGCGTACGACGGCGCCGCTTCGAGGCAGCGGTAGATGGCTCGTTCGGTGCGCAGCCAGAGCCCGATTGGAGCGACTGAGTAGTCCAGCGTGCCGCCGAGCAGAGCACCAGACAGCACGCGCACCCCGGCCGCGCCTGTTTCGCAAAAGCGCGCGTGAAGAGGCGCTGCGCACAGCGGCACCGGGACGCGCTCCCCATCCGCGCCCGCGACAGCAGCAGCGGCCGCCGCGGGGCCGCCTCCGGCGCCCGGAGAGGCGGCGTCGTTGGCGGCGGGCGCGCGGGGAGGCACGTGGCCGAGGAGAAAGACGGGCGGCTGCCCATGCTGGCCGAGCCGCTCGAGCACCTTGAAGAGGTCCGGTGCGGGCGGGTAGGTTTGCGGCTCGTACACCTCAGCACCGCCTTCGCCGCCTCCGACGCCGTTCCCGCCGCTGTCGCCGCTCGCGCCTGCGCCGCCGCCGCCGCCGCCGCCGCCGCCGCCGCCCTCGTCGGCCTTCGGCGCGAGGACGAGGGCGAAGCGTCGGAGGCGGCGGCAAGGAAGCCCCCCGGCGCCGAGCGGCGGCGCCTCGCCCGTGTCGAATGCGGCGGGCAGCAGCGCGTCCGAGAGCGGCCGGCCTGCCGTGCCTACAGGAGGGTGATGAGAAAGTTCGGAGAAGGATCCTGTCAGGCTCAGAGCGCCCGGCACCACCGCGCCGGGCGGCGCCCACACGCCCTGCATGCGCGGGTGCGGCTTGTGGAGCTCATACCAGCAGCCGGCGCTGCGCACCCACACGCAGAACGAGGCGCCACCGCCGGGACCCGGGGAGCCGGGCCCCGCGGGCGCCGGCGCCGGCTGCACGCGCCATTCCTGTACCGCCGTGCTCGACACCCACAGCCGCGCCGGCCAAGCCTCCTTGGGTGCTGCCTCGCCCGCCCCGTCCGCCGACCCCGCGTTGGTCGCGGCAGTCGGCATCAGCTGCCCGACGAGGCGGAGCCCGGCGGCGGCGCTCGCAGCGTCCGGTGGCGCGTTGCCGTCCGTTGCTCCAAGCGCGACTGCACCGCCGGCAGGGAGCAGCCCCGCCGGCAGACGCCGGAAGAGGTCGACGGCGACGCCGCGCGAGTCCAGCAGCGAGAAGGCGGACAGCCGCACCGATGCGGCGACGGCGAGGACCGCGCCGTCTGCGGCGTCGGAGGCCTCGTACAGCGCAGACTGAGCCGCGCCCGCCGCCGCCGGGCCGCGGGGAGGGCAGCGCTGGACGCGGCCGTAAGCGGCGGCGACCGAGGAGGAGAGGAAGTGCTGCTCGGCGAGCGCGGCGCCGGGGGATGCGCCCGGGGGCGGCCAGCAATGGCGGAACGACGGCGCCGGCGCGCAAGGGGGGTCGCGGCGCAGCAGGTACCACGCGCGCGCAGTGCGCAGCCACACAGACTGCAGCTTGCCCGCGCCGCGGTGCTGCAGCGTCCACCCGAGGACCGGGCCGACCCGCAGATACCTCCAGCTACCCTCGTCGCCCGGAGAGGCGCCCGGCACGACGAGGCCGCTCAGAAAGAGGCCGCCCCGCCCGCCCGCCTCTGCCGCCTCCGCCGCTCGCTCCGCCTCGCGCTCGACGTCGCGCTCGCCGTCGAGCTCGCCGCGGCCTCCCGCCACCGCGGATGCGACGATGCGCCCCGTCGCGATCGCTCGCACAGCAGAGGGCTCTTGCCGCGCCGGTGCGGCCGGCGCCGGCGCCGCCGACGCTGCTGCCGCGGAGGCGGCGGGGGCGGCCGCCGCGCTGCTGTCTGCCAGCGAGGGCTTCGTGCCTCGGTTGGTCGCAACAAGCGCCGCGGCGCGCGCGACAATTGGCGCGTCGTCGTCGTCGCTCGAGTCGGGGGTGGGCGGGCGCGGCCAGCGCCAGTCGTCGCCCTCGGCGGAGAGCTGGAGGGGGCCGTCGTCGTAGTGCGCCTTCCACTGCGTCACCTTTGACAGAGCAATAGATCAATTAATCGGCCGTCGCCGGTGGCCGCCTTCTACCGCGACCTCGATTGCGGAAAGTGACGTGAGCGGTCGCGGGCAATCGCAGCGGCGAGGGTCAGGCTGCGGGCGGCGACGGGGAGGGGGAGGGCTGCGGCGGCGGCGGCGGCGGCGAGGGCGGGGCGGGCGGCGGCGGCGAGGGCGGGGCGGGCAATTGCGGGTGAAATCACCTTGATTCGGAAGGCGCCCGACTTGAGCACCTTTGTCACGCGGCACGAGGCCCAGCACTGCCGCATCTTCCCGCGCTCCTCCCACTCCACCGCCGTCTGCAGCAAGTCCCCCACCTGCGGCTGCCTGCCGCTCTCGCGCCCGGCGGAAGACGCAACTGCCGCGGGGCTCGGCGCGGGCGCGTCTTCCTCCGCCGCCGCGGCCCGCGCCCGCGCGGTCTGCTTGACCTTTGGGACATGCCATGGACGTGTCACGGACGTGTCTTGGACGTGCCACGGTCGTGCCCCGCGCGGACCTGTCGCTTCTTCCGCCCGGCGCTGCTCGCCTGCTCCTCCACCGCGCCGCCCTCTGCCTCCCCCTCCGCCTTCTCCAACCGCTCCGCCCCCTCCACCTTCTCTGCCTCCTCCGCCTTGACCGTCGTCTTGGCCGCCGCCCCGTCAGCCGCCTCCCCGGCCGCCCCCGCCCCCACCTCCGCCTCGTTCGCGCTTGACGCGTCGCCCTTGCCCGGTGCGGCGCCAGGGCTCGCCTCAGCAGATGCCGCCGCGCCTATAGGAAGGTCCAGCAGGCTCCGGAAAGGCGCTCGGGAAAGCTCGAATGCCGCAGCGGCCGCCGCGCCCTCGCCGGCAGCCTCGCCGCCTCGGCCGCCGCCCGAGCAGGCGCTCGTCGGGCGAGAGGAGCAGGCCGAGCCCGCCCGCGGGCGCCGGCCCAGTCCCTCGTTGTTGTAGTCTGCCAGCCGCCTCAGCGCGATCGGAAGCGACTCGTCGCCGCCCTCGCCGCCGCCCTCGCCGTCGCCGTCGCCCTCCTCGCCCTCCTCGCCCTCCTCAGAGTCGGTCTCGTCGAAGATCTCGTCGCGGTCCATCCGCTCCTGAGGGGCGAGGAGTCGGGACCGGGCTCGGCCCGCTGCACTCCGCTCCGTCTCGGCGACACTCCGTCTCCTCCGCGCCTGCGGCTTCTCGCATGTGTTGCGGTCCGTCGGCGACATCCAGCAGAACCACCTGCACGTGCCATGGACATGTCAGGGATGTGTGCTGATGCGCGGCGGCTGACGCCCAAAATGACACCGCTCGGGAAGGTTCTCCGGCTTGTACATGTCCTCGAGCGGCAGCCGCCGCCACTTGTCGCACTTGTCGCACTGCGCCCAGTAGCACTGCTCCACCTCACCCTCCTCTCCACTCTCCTCATCCGACTCCTCGCCGCTGTCCTCGTCACTGTCGCCCTCGCTGCCGCTCTCCCCGCCGCCGCCGCCGCCGCCACCACCGCCGCCGCCGCCGCCGCTGCCGCCGTCGCCAGGCTCCACTCGCGCCCGCTTTGCGCCCGGCATCGCCGCCTTCGGCGCCCGGCGCCGCTGCTTCCTCTGGCCGTTTGGCTTGCTCCGCCTGCTCGGCGCGGCCGCGTCTTCAAGCAGCACGACTGAGCCATCGTCGGCGGGGACGAGCGTCGCGGCGGCGTCGGGAGTCGTGCAGGCGAGAAGGTATGCGGCAGGCGGCTCCTCCGCACCGGGCGGCCCGAGTTGGCTCGGAAGGCTTCGCAGCGCGACCAGGACGCCTCGCGAGTCACGCAGTGTGAAGTGCGCCAGCTGCAGTCTGGGCAGCTCACCGATCTGCGCGAGCGCCGCGTCGGCCGGCGGCGCGCTCTCGGTCGCAAGCGCTTCTACGTCGCCGCCAGTCGCCGAGCCGATCAATTCCGACTCGGAGAGCGGCGCTCCAGAGCGATACACAAGCCGCCTGGTGCACGAGGAGCACTCGGCGGCAGCGGCGCAACCTCGTAGAAGCGGCGGCACCGTGAGCTCCGCGCCGCAGAAGCCGCAGGCCAGCGTCGAGGCCATCGCGCAGCGAAGAAGAATTTTTAGACGCCAGCCTCTCTCACAGCACACGGCACGACAAGGGCGCGATGCGAAGAGAATTTACTACGCACTAGACGGTTTGGCCGGCGCCATGTGGCGCCGGGCCCCGCCCTCCAGGGCTTGACGCGTCTGGTGCCAGCGACGCAAACGGCGAGTGTTTTGCGACGGGTACTTGTAGTGTTAGGAGCAACACGACGCCGATCGTTGAAAGTAGCAACCACTCACACACACACACACGCCTCTAACCAACTGGCTCAGTTGAAGAGGCCGCTCCCACAGCTCTCACACCTATCTCTCTGGTACACAATATTGGAAGCGTTGTGAATTGTAGACCATTGGCCTCCTAAAAATCTCTCTCTCAACTCTCTCTCCGTAAGACTTCGGAGAAGGCAAGCCGTGAAGTTGTCAACCGTCTCGGCGTCGACAACAACTCTCGAACCAGTCGTGCTGCGGGAACGGCCCCTCTGATTGCTCTGACAGGCACGCCTTGCACCTCGCCATGGATCCGCGGCAGAAGCCAATCCCGCAACGCTTTCAGGAAAGAGAGGAGGAAGACGCAACCAAAACTGCTCCAACCAGTAGCTCCATACGTTGCCTTTCACTGTGTAGGAGTTGTTGCAGCTTCTCGATCTTTGAAGTCTTGTCCTGCAGCAACATTTTCTGCTTCCAAATGTAGTCTAATACGTCATCGCACCTCCGCCATGAGGACGGCCTTGTGCGAGCGCTGTCGTTGAGAACGAAGCGGCCCGAGTGTTCTGTTGCCTTCAAGGCATATTTCCTGAGCTGAGGTAGCTCGTTCCCTTGGTGAGGGCGGTCGTGTTTGTCATGGCCGGGTCGTGCATGTACGTCTGGGCGACGTCCGTCGGACTACGGTCCGTTTAGCAGGTCTTTGATCGGCTTCAAATCGTCCTCCTTCACGCCGCTCGCGATGTTGGTACGGGCGAGGTCGGGTGTCTCGGTCATGGTTTTGAAGAGGGAAGTCGTGCTCCCCCCCCCCCGAGCTGCAGATCCCGGCCGGTCACATTCGTGTACGTCTCCACTGATACGCAAGGTACTGTCCAGTTGTGGGGAAGTCGGAGCGGCTCTGAATGCGCATGCCGAGGATCGAGTGTGACTCAAAGCGCACGGGGTTGGTGCCGCCGACCGTCGGGAGAAAGCCGAGGAGTGCCAGGAGGATCCAGAGGGCGCCGACGGTGCCGATTCCGCCGCAGAGAGTGGCGGTCGAGGCCAGGCCGTGCGCGTGGGCCGGTTGGGCTCGGTCCCGTCGACAGGCTCCTCCGGGGAGGCCGGCTTTCCCCGTGCCGGTTCTCCCCAACCAACCCCGCCGGCAGCGCGAGCTGCCGGCCATATTGAGCGGTTCGTCCGCGTCGCGCACTCGTCCCAACCGGGGGCCGCAGACTGGTTCTGCGCGCCAACGGCTGGTGACGCTGTGTTGCCCTTGAGCTAGTCCTTCCCCGGTCGCCTAGCCTCTGCGCTGTCTGGCGAACGCCTGTATGCCATGCGCGCGGACCACGCTTGCGTGGATACGTGGCTGGCAGGCTGACCCGTGTGCGGGGTAACCCGCGCACGGGGAAGCTTCACGGGTTCGAGTCGTCAAACATTAAGCAGCGGAGGTGTGCCGAGGGGGACCGGGAGGCGGTAAGCCGTCGTTGCCCGGCGCTGCTTGCAGCACCATGGCGATGGCGCTAAGAGGTTCCTCTTTTCCGCGCCCCCCCCGCAAGGCGCGCGATACACACGCATATCGCTGGCACAGAGGGCGAAAAGAAAAACTTTGTCGCACCACATATTTTTTGGATCACTCATGCACAAGGCGCTGAACTAATCGCGCATATAAACACCACAAACAGACCAACATTCTTGTTGTCGTTTGCACGTCGCTCGTCGGCCGGGGTGCAGGGCCGAGCGTTTTAAATCTCTCGGTCAGTGGGGGCCGAGCCGCCTCGGGGTGGCGGGCGGGCGGGCGTTTTGAAAAACAGAAAACAGAAAACAAGAGGGGGCCCGGGGGCCCAGGCCCCCCACTGGGAGTAGAAAATACGCCCAAGGGGGCCAAGGAGGCGGCGCGGGGAAGCAGCATCAGGGGTGGGAGCAGGAAGGATGGCGCTTAGGGTCGGCTTTGAACAAGGATTTCCAGGTTTTAGATCAGTATTGGTGTCGGCACACATCCCCACATGAGGTCAGCGGCGCGCAGTGCCTCTCTCGCAGGCTGATTTTGGCTGTTTTCGAGTTTGTTTTTGTTTTCAGACTAGGGGGACCAACCCCCTCAGAGGCGGCGGGCGGGCGTCCACTGACCGAGAGATCAAAAACGCTCGGCCCAGCCCCGCACGGGTTTAGTGCGCGAGATGCGTGGCTTCCTGGGGTGGGCGGCGACCACCGCCGGCCCCGACGGGGCGCCGCGCAGGGCGACCCCCTTCGCAGTCGCGGCCCCCCTTCTCGCGTGCTGCCGCCTTGCCGTCTCGGGGCAGCAGGTCCCGCTCTCCCCGCTGCTCCTCGCTCTTTGCCCGCTCACATTCGCTCTGACGGGCGATGCGTGGGCGCGAATCCTGGCGGCGCTTGGCGGAGCGGGGCTCTTCGACGCCCCCCTCGTCTCAAGCGACTACCTCCTAGAGGCCCTCGCCGCCCTCGCGATCGCCGACGCCTCTGCGCTCGAGGTGGGGGCAGGCGACCTCCTCCCCGTCGAGGGGGTTTCCCCCCAGGCGGCTGTCGCGGCCCAGGCGGCGGCACCGGCGCGCCGCGGTGGTGCCGGGCGGGGCTCCGCCCCTGCGCGCCTGGCGCGGGCGGCAGTGCCGGCCCGCCCAGCCCTGGAGGCCGACGCCGACTTCTTCGCCCACACTACCTTGGGGCTCCTGGAGGACCCGGTCCCGGACGCGGCGCTACCGTGGCTGGGGGGGCTCCGATCTCCATCTCTCAAGTACTCTCTAATCTCCAGCGTCGCCACATCTTAGGCCGGATCCAGTCAGATCTCCGATCTCCATCTTCAATCTCCAATCTCCAACGTCGTCATCTTAGGCCGGATTCAGTCAGAAGTGTCAGATCTCCGATCTCCATCTCCAATCTCCAACCTACAATCTCGATTCCATTCGACGTAAGACGTAGACGAGTCGAGCCCGTTGTTGCTGTGTGCTGCACGCCCTGCGAGCGGGGCGGGGTGCGCACTGTCCCTCTGTGTTCGTGCGTCGCCCATCTCTCCTGGAGATATGTCTGCTCTCTATTTATTTATTTACGAGTCGAGCCCGCGACGCCGCGGCTTGTAGAGCACGGCCACCTCAGAGCTACCTGCCGCGCCCTGTGCGCTGTGCGCTGGTGGGCCCTGCGTGGGAAGATTCTTTTACGACGATGCCACAGAGTCCCGTGCCTAGCTCACATACATACATCTCCAATCCACTCAATTTCATCCGCATCGATTCCAATCATACCATAGCACATATCAACCCGGCACCCCAAGCGATCTCTCACGTCTCAGCACCAGACAGCACCAAACAATCACCCCACTAGGTTAAGCTCGACTCGCGACGCGCCCGCCCACATGACGGCCACCCGCCCACCGTGCGGGCAGCGAGGCGGTGCCCATCTTGAGGAGCTTACTTACTCCGACACGAAGGCCTGCGCGCAGCGAGGGATGGCGCGGGGCGTGAGGCATGGACGGGGACAGCGGGAGGGGCTGGGGCGGCGCTGCGCTGCAGGGGCGTGAGCAAGGGCGAGGGGCCGGGGCTGCGCGCCTCGAAGCGGTCGAAGGCGACGTAGTGCGCCACGAGGGCGCTCTGGATCGCTTTCATAGCGCCGGCCGGCTTGGCGTCGAGCGACGCGAGGGCGGCGTCGATGAGCTCGACGATCGCCTCGTGGTCCGCCTCGTGCTCCTCGACGTCGATAGCCTCGTGCGCGAAGGTCATCTCGACGGCGGCGTTGAAGGTGAAGGCATCCTTGAGGCCGAGGAAGCAGACGCGGCCGGCGATGTTGACGCACGCATCGAGGGCGTTGGTGAGCGCGAGGACCTCGACCTTGGTGGCGTTGACCTTCTCCATCTCCTCGGCCGAGACGGCGAGCTTGATGGGCGCCTGCGCACGGGCGGAGAGGGAGGCGTGGGGTGGGGAGACGCCCAAGGAACAATGCGTGCTCGCCTGGAAGACGTCGCGCGTGTAGTGGATAGTGCTGCGAGGGGTGCGATCCGCACCAAGATTGCGTTGGCGCGGGAGGCGATCGACGGTATGGGCGTGAG